TTTGATGTTGTTTACTTAAGCAAATTCATAAAAAAATCAACAAATGCCTGGTAGAGCTGTAACTTATTAGATGGTTGTGACACGATTTATCTTTTCTTACCTTCTGGCTAAACATGAAATAATGTCACTCAAATGTCCTTAACTAATAGCATGGTAGCTCATCCCACAGTTCTTCACTTCTAAGGGATCCCATGTTGCCTGCCAAGTCTTTAGAAAGAAGTGATGATGCATTCTGGTTCCCAGACCTCCTTTTCTGTCCTTACCTCACATTTGGGTCTTATTAACATGTAATGTTTTCACAGGCTTTGATAAAATATAATCTTGATTTGGAATCTTAGAATAAGATAAATGAAGAAGGATTGATTGAATAGTGATGATGGTCCTAATGAAGATAAACAACCTGAGTGAGGATCTGCTGCTATACCTTGAATACATCTAATCAACAATCTCCACAACATATCCTGACCCTCATATAGCCCTCTTTGAAGTACATGTACCTAAACACTGGTTTGTTTTCCTATAGTCTTCTTCAATACTCTGTACCCCCACCCCCTGTTTTCTTTACCCGCTCTTGTATGCAAGAAGGTGCGGAGTCAAGTATTGGAGAGGGGGTCGCAAGAGCTTGTAGCTAGACTAGTTTTCTGATTGTCTATTGGTTTTAGTGCTTGTAGGAAGATGATTTCTTTGGGTTTTAGTTGAGAAAGATGTAAAAGTACATGTGGTTTATGTTATATTAGTTTGTGAAGATGGGTTTATACTTGTCACAGTTTAGCTCTTGGGCATGATTTATTGAATCAATTTGATAGAATATTTATTGATTAAATTGAAACATACATATTGTTTACATATATTTTATTGTTTAATCACGAACAGGGTCTTTTTTGTTCAGTTAATTGATGTATTATAAGAGCTTTATATTAATGGGATGATGATATTCTGTTCAATCTAATAATATGAGATGATCAAAATCAATTATAGTTATAGTCAGATATACATGTTGTATGCCAATGTTAATACATATATATGTATGTATATTGAGGTATGTAAATGATTAGCACTCTGGGCAATGATAATTATAATTAACTGATTTCACATATGGGGTTATCTTTACAAATAGTTCATTACTCAATATCTCCACCTATCAGCCATCTGGTCTTAAGTTCATATCACTGTATTAAAAGTATTGAATGGTAAATATATATTTAAGAAACAATGTGTAAGGGGTTCAATGTTACATATATGTATAAAACATGTTTTTTTATAAAAGCATACAGACTTCCTTCCTCAAAAAAGTCAAGTGGGCATTAAACTATTTTTCCATTTCTCTTGATCTTTATTCTGTCATAAACTTTGGTTGTGCAGGTGATAGACCTTCTTAATGTAACAAACTATTTGTTTCTTTTCACAATGTACTAAATATCAACATTTGATTTTGTTTTGTGTTTTGGATACGGGTAGGAAAATACACATACAATCTGGGTACTCCTCCCTTCTACATGTTATAACTAAGGAATAGAAACTAGAAACCAAATGTTTGATGTGAGTGGTGATAATTCACTCTGTCTTGGCACATATTCTCCTTTATCCTTGTTAGGTGGGATTGTGTGTAAAGTTTCCCTAGGTGTGTTTCACTTTCAAAATTATTTCCTTGTGCCGGGTTCATGATTTTCTACTGTTATAAGGTTATCAAAGATAATATTTTTAGCTTCTTGAAGATCTACTTGACCATGATAACTTGAACTTTGATTGTTTTGTAAATGTTCTAAGAACTACCATTGTGGCCTATTACGAGTTATTTGTCTTGCATATATACTTCATTTATATAGCAGGTAAATGTTTGAATAGTCTTCAGATCCTGAAGTTATATTGTTTGATGTAAGAGTGTGGCAGTGAGCTTATCTGGTCATTGAGGACCATAAGGAATGCCAATAGTGAGAAACAATGACAGCTGACCATATTACCTTTACTAGTGGTTAGACTTTTGATTAGATACATCTTGGACATTGGAGTAAAATATGTTGCCTTTTAGTCTTACAAACTAGACTTATTTTAGTCTAAATGTTGCATATTTCCCCCGTTATTTTCTGACCTTAGTTTTGTTATGGTTTTCAATCATGTCTTTATCTGCATGGCCATGTTTGCCTTCCTTTTCCAAACTGAAACCAGTTGCAAGTGAGAAGATCTTGGAATGTTTGCAAGAATTGCACATGAACTTAAAACATACCAAAACCCAAAATCAAAGTACACTGTACTTTACACTGAACTGTTATCAATCTAATATATGGAAAGCCAAGATAACTTGAAATCTCAACTCATGGAAGTTTAGATTTCTTATGTTGATGGAATGTGAAACTGTAAAAAACACATGTTAAGTTCACCCAGACCTACCTCAACACTTCCTTGTGTATGTCTGCTAAATATATCTCGGGAATGAAAACAAGAAAAGATACAGAACTTCTGTTTGACAGAATAAAATTGATTGGTTTTTTACAACTTGTAAACCAAACCTACATAGTATGAAATGGCAGTGTATTCATGTACTACAATCATCAGTATTTCTTGATTTTCAAAATTGCAGAGAAGGGTGTTAGACTATGTTGACATTTACTCATGTTTTGAGGTTGTTATTGGCACATGTAAATCATTGTTTTCTGTTCCCTGGGGCCCAAAGGCTAGTATTGTAGGTGAAGCTCTCTTTTAGGTGAAATCAGTCTATTGAAACGGGGATGCTCTATGGTATCTAACTTAAAGATGTATATATGTCAGGTGTTGAGGACAGGCTTCCTTCAATGTGTAACAATTGTCATCTGTGGCTGTATGTTACCCCAGTTAGTCTCAGGCACAGCTATGAGGAAACATGACCATTGCTTATATAAATATATAGAATCTGAGCCATTTCTTGAGGGTTTGTTTCATACAGTAGAGTCTCTTGTCTACTGATTTGCTCCAAGTTTTTCTCATATACAACGTTTTTGTTCTTCATCAGAGGATGAGCTGGCATATTAGATACTCACATATACCAAGTGTATCTCATGTTGATGCACTATGAATGTTTCAGTTTTAAGGATATAAACATACATGGACATCAATAGTTGATGGTCAGTCAAGAGATCAAAGGTAAACATCAACTTGGATATTGAACTAAAAAATAGAAACACTTTTAATTGCAATGAGGAAATGATCTTATCTTGTTTTACATGAACATTAAATTTATTATATCTTTTTTAATGTTTCAGTTTGCTCATTTCAGTTTTAGATTCTCATTTAGATAAGTGAGGATAAGAAGATTTGAAGGGAATGAAATATATGTTTTATAGACATGATGGTTTTGGACCATTTGGTGATTATTTATTAACATGATATTTAGATTTTTGTTGAGATTGTTTATGTTTCAAAGGACAACATATTTCAGCACTTAACCATAGCCTGTCATAAGGTAGCTGAACTTTACACTCCTTCAAAATACATAAAATCTTATTGCAACAGCTTCTTCTGTGTGAAAAGTATATTTTTGCCCACAAGTCATCGGTTTTTTCTGGGTCTTCATTTTTTATCCAGGTATTTTTATGCTAATGATTGTTCCTCTATAGACAGTGACAAGCTAGCCATGGATAAATGATAGGTTTACTATAAATATAAAGAACACCTTGAATTCTATTTAATAATACAGGTATGCGTAAGCTAGATTCTTTCTAGGTCAACTGACAAGCTTTATATCATATCTTGTGTGTTCAATCATTTGAATTCTTTTTATATTGTTTCATGAGCCAGTGGATATAGGTTTCAAAAATGTTTATTTTTGATTTTATTTTTGGAGTACACCCAGGGTGCATCCTTGTTGTTTTATTTCTGTCTGTTCTAATTGGTATAATTGGTATATTTTTGAACAGATTTATCATGAAAGCAGCTGGTGTAACTTAACCTAACCAGAAAAATGATGGATGTGTACTTACTATACTGTTAAGCATTCCCAAAGTTATATTGCAGTCTAAACATCACATACAGACTGTGGTATTAGATTTATCCTGCTGATATCAAATTATCCAGATATCCAGATATAACCTCTTATTTACAAATGATTCAGTATTTCACTTGTTTTTTTCTCTAATAGGTACCAGGTGCAAAATTCTCTTTCTCACAATTCTAACAAAATTTGGTTGAGGTATACCAATTTTTCATGATATTTTTTTCATTTTCAAGTGGGTGCAAAAAGAATTTCTGATATGCAGAAAACAACAATACATGTACTTGGAAGAACTACATTTCTTTATTTATTCATAAATATCATAGACTTAGGTAGAATGTAATATAACATCAGTTTCAAGTTCAAGTTCCAGCAGATGTAAACTCGATAAATCTCATCATGAATGTACATTGAGAACTGGGGTTATAACTCACTTGTGATCAAGTACTGAATTTTTAAACTAACAATAACAGCATCAAAGGCAAAAAATGATGTTAATCACATTCTGTCAAAAATGCCACACTTCAAAATAGTTTTAACCCTGATTTAAGACTTAAATATTTGAACATGTCTGTACTTTTAATCAACTCAACCAAATTTAATTGATTTTTAAATTGTATGAGGTATTATTCTAACATTTAAAGCAACCTTTTAACTTGTATATGTAGTTTTAAATATTTGTGTGATAAAAAGGTTGTAGACAACATTTTTGAGTTATCATCTTCCTCCTCCTTAGTCCTTATATTCAATAACTTGGTCATTCTACTTGATATGGTGATATCATCAACATTGAAATATCTGGTAGCTACACCTTAATGGGAATTTGAAAATTACCTTTAACAGTTGAAATTTAATTGCTCTCAGTTGAGAATCAATTGAGTAATGAAATTAAATATATATATATTTTGACCCATTTTATACAGACATTAGCACAATTGATAATATTAGAATTTCTCACCCAGTTGAGATGGAAACATATTTCAGCAATACAACATTTTTATTTGTTTTTAACATATTTGATATTTTGTATTTGCAGCATTATGGGGAAATGATGACACAGATTTCGCCAAACCCCATGGGGCGGCACCAAAAAAGATGATGGCTAGCACAGGACGTAAGAGCATGATGCCTACCAGTCGGTCTTCAGGCTCAGGTAAGTCACTGATATAAATCTCTCCTCCTCAGATAGAATTTACCTGTACATATACTTACAAGTGTATCTTCTGAGTTTTGTTCTTAAAGGGCCCCAGTGCTTATTTCTGACCCTAAAATACAAAACTCCAGAATAGACTATAAGTTCATCCTTTTCAATCTTGGTAATAATTTTGAAGTATTACAGGGTGTGGCTGATTATATTTTCCCGGTCTAATTAAGCAATTTATGTCGGCTGCTTTACATGTATTATCTGTTATCAAAGTTGAAAATATGATACAAAAATAAGTAAATTACAAATCTGAACGACCTTGTCTTAATGAAGGGATTACCTTAAGTGATGTAATTAATCTCTATAAAGAGAACATAAGTCAATTAAGGGTGATCAGGGTTGCTGAAATTCAGGTGAATTCTTCAATCATGTTTAAGGTCAGATCAGCCAATATTAATAATCTGTTGAAATAATTTATTGAGCTTATATTGTTCAGTTTGACAGCTCCCTGTGTTGAGATTTCCTGGTTTCACAATCAAGAATACTCCAACATATTATACTCACATATTATACTTCACATTTTGACATGGTCAAGTTTTACCTCATGGCTTCTGTTTTTATGTTATAAGGTGTAGCATATGGTTTTCTACCTCCATATACTGCACTGAGATCAGTATAGGCATCAACACATATTCTTGGTTAAACTAATTAGTTTTTTGGCCTGTTCCAGACCCAGAGAATATCCCCTTACATTGATGCCTAATTGTGATTTCCATGTGTAGGAAACTGAACATTTCTTTTCCAAAACTATTTTAATATTTCCTTGTCAAATTGTGTAATAAAGTGAATTATTTGTCATTATAAAGGGTGCCTTATTATTCCATTGGATTAGCTTCAAATAGATTTTGCACCATGAATAAGTTAATAGTAATGATAATTTCTTAATAATAAAAGGTGACCTTTGTATCCTTAAAACTGAAAAATAGAAATATTATCCCCAATAAGTTCAATATTTAGTTATATGCCCATATTCTTTAAATACAAATGGTAAAGTTAAACCTTGTTAAATTTTAGTTTTGATATTGTGTTTGTCCCCTGTGTGTTTGTGCCCCAATATGTTGTAGTAATAGAGCATGTATTGTCGCAGGTATTCAATCATCTCCACGCTCCCGTTCATTTGGGGCTGTCCTCCAGAACCAGTCCCCCATTCACTCCTCAAGACCACAATGGACTAATACATTTGGCATAAGCAAAGTTTGTAAGTGATGGCCTGAGTGAATATATAACATAACACACTATCAGGCTATCCTTATTGTGAATTTATCATCACAGATGTGTGATTGTGTTATTTAATACAGATTTTGATGTCTTTTAACTTAATTCTAAGGTTTTCAACTATTTATGATGAGTTCAGTAACCAGGCTATTCATAAAATAATTTGTTTATGTAATTTATTATAAGGTAAGTGTCTACTTGAGAATCTATGAGAAAATCTTGAGGCTCATCTAATATCATTGAGGACTTTTGATTACTATAATCACTCAAGTCAATACCTCCTTCATTTTCTTTTATTTCTTAGATTTAAGTGTTCAGTTTGGTGTCAGCTTAACAAAATCTTAACTATATATATCTGATGTATATTTGAGCTCCACCCATCTTCAATGTATATATCAAGCATATGTCACCCATAAGATCAAAGTGTCCTGAGAAGTTTCGTTTATTTTTTTGTGAAATACGTAAAATATCAGGTAGTAGAACATTAATGTGTCTGCACTAATTTAGAATATAATCAACATTTTGAATAAATATTTAATTTGTTTTTGTTCAAAGTTTGACAGCAATTTTAATCTGACACGAAAATATAACTTGATGATAAATATTGAGATTTTATCTGATTTTTTGAGGTATGGCGGACATCTTTTCATAAGCCATAGACACGGCAGGATATTGTCAATCTTTTGAAAACCAATTTAAACGAAATTGTATACCTATTTATAACTCTCATTTTCTGTTCAATTTGAACTTGAATTTGTATGGTTTAGCATATAGTTCAATAGATTCATGACTCTATATGTTAACTATATATGGGACATTTAATAACACAGGTCTTTACTCCCAGGGGTGTATTGGCAATGGTTTGCCTCCACAGTTTGTTGACCATGTTATAAGCTTAAAAGTTCAGAATCAACTTTTTATCTTAAGGATATGACTGTATCAAATGAACACAAAATGGTCTATTCAATATGTAACTATGTACCATGTGCTAATCCACCTGCTTCATTGAGTTTAAATAATTGTTATAAAGTGCCCGTTTTGGCACCATTTTTGAAGCCTTTGGCGGTTTTGGCATCTATATCACCAACTTTGTCATTGAAACAGCACTCTAACATCAACACATCCATAAACTTGAATACTTAGGAATAATTTTGTGAAAAAAGGCTATGAAAAGCAATGTTATTGTCAATTGATGTGAAGTCCGTGAGTAATGTATTTGTTTTTGTCCGAATTCTACCCGAGGCTAACATATCGTTAACATAGATGCCAATCACAGGCCAACACCCTCTTGCATCTTTAGAGTCCTTCTTTTGTTAGCACATATTGTCCAAACATCTACCATAAATCCTAATATAACTAAATACCATATCAGGCCCTCAGGTTAATTACGCAAAACAGTCATTTAAGTTTTTTTCTCTTAGCATTTTTAAGATATCGGTTGTTGGATTAGTAGTTTTAATCAGAATCTGAATTCTATTTCACATGTTGTGACCTTTGACAAAAAGGATTTTTGATAAAAAAGGATGTCTTGTAATAAAAAATCTTGATTGGAGATAAGATTCTGATGTTGCCGAGAGCGATGTTTGCTGTAGATATTTCTCAAGGTTTTTCATGTCATACTTTTTTTTGTTTGTTTCATTCATCCTTGCTTGTATCATGAATCATGATTCAAAATATACAAAAAGATAACTTTTTTATTACAATTTCTTATCCTAACTGATTTTGTTTAGTGTCATCACTTGCAAAGACGACTTCATTCAGAAGACGAACTAAATCTCATGAAGGTAAACTCTCATGTATCACACACTATATACTTCACTATTTTGATCTCTCTGTAGAGTACTTCCTTAGATACCTCAGTGTCATATGACCTTGCTAGGCCAAAAATACTCATTGGAAGAAGAAGCATACTATAGTGGCAATTAAGAGATAAACATATGTTTTCAAGAGAAATTACTCGAGGGTCATTACCAGAAAAACATGATTTCTTAAATCCTAAAACATTTGTTGTAACCATGGATATTATGATATGATATTATGATTTGGTAGTGATCCCAATTGATTTCATTGTTTTTTCAGCGTAATTTCTCTCGACAATCACTTCTCTTTTATCCTTAATTCCTTGGTGATGTAATTATCCCAGATGGGACATTTGTTATACAATTTATGTCAAAATTATTTTTGGACTTGAATACAAGGTCATCTGAGAGATCTGGGTTAGTATCGATAAACACAATGATGTGATGTTTTATAAATACAGGTTGTCCTTTATAAAAGCACCCTCTTCCCACTCTTAAGGGAGAGTGGTTATATAATGGACACCCTGTATATGTAGATGCATGTTAAGCAGATTTAACAGCTACTGTAGGAGTCACATGAATGTAGATCTTATTTCTTATTTATTCTATATTTCTCTACTTCAACAATGGCAATTATAACCTTTTTATCAGTTGTACATGTAGTTCACAACCACAGTGACATGTATCTTTGGTTCAATTTCTAGATTCAGCATATTTATATTTTGATTTTGGTATTTGTTAATTTATATCGACTAGATTATGAATTATACTGAATTAAACATTTATTATTCTTCCATTGATTGTTCCTTCACTGATTTGTCCAGTGTTTAAACTAGGAGAACCTACTGGCCTCCCTCCCAAATCGCCACAGAGGATTCCTGTATCCAAGAATATCACTTGCAGGAAGCAAAAAGGCAAACTTTCTTCCTTTGTTGTTGTGATGAACTTCTTTATTATTGTATTTTTGTGTTTTTCTATTTTAATTGTTCATTGTTTTGAATTAGATGTTTGATCTAATTAGGATACTTTTATTCATTCTCAAATATTCTTAAGGGCTCTATTGCTTAACTTAGTCCAACAGATAGGCCCTATCAAAATGATTGTCATCTTTAAGTTTTGTGTCATAATTGAATAACAATCAAATCTTAATGGCCTTAGTTTGCTTTCATAATTCATACTCTTCAGTCTTTTGAGGCATCGTCACATAATCTCAATCATAAATTGTAAAAGTAGATATCCACATAAAAAATGGGATAAGTAGATATACATTTTATATATACATCATTTATTTTATTATTTATTATTGGGTTTTAAGCATTTAATACCTTTCCATCAAGAGTAATGTTTTTCATTATTTTCCCATATTTTTGAATATGTGCTATATCAGACAAAACAAAGAAATCATGAATGCCTGTATACACTGTGTCCCACTTACGAGTATTGATATGTTTAGATGGATATTTCATATAAATAGGATGTTTATTTAATTCATTTTTGATTCCAGGGACTGCAGCTGGTGGGGTAGATGAATCAATGTTTATTAAAGAATTTGAAAATGTTCCAAAAGTCAGTGTAAGTACATTAAACAATTTGATTGTTTTCATCCATTTAATTATGAAATTTGTTTACTTGAACATGATAACTGAAATATTTGCAATCATAATTCATATATGGCTGATGTATTTCCCGTTGTCTAGGGATGTGATGCTATGTGAATGTGATAGAAGTTCAAAATGACAAATGAACAATAACTGTGTTTAAGTAATATTTATTCTGATAGTTAACATAAATGGTTATTGTTTTCTGTTAACAAACATCACATCATTCATTTTTGTGATATCTCATCCATTCACATTTGAAAGTTGAATATAATGAATGAAAACTGTGTCCTGAAATCTGCCTATTTGTTGACCTTTAAAATATTACTTTTCTCTGAGTTAAGAATATTAATTAATAACTACCAAAAAAGTTAGGAAAAAGCAAATCTTCCATGATCACCAAGAATATGGACTTATCATATCCTTATTTTTTATTACAAAATAATAATCATATTAAAAAGTACAGCACCACCACCACAATTATACAGTATTCACCATTTTTGTGGACGATGTTCGGTGTTTGTAACAAATGGCAGGTGGTGACATTTTGCATGTTAATGTCTTGTTTAATCATTGTGATTATGATGACTTAAGTGAACCAATTTGATGTTTCAGTTTTTCTCTGGTAGAGAGTTAGATGATCACATGGAAAAGATCCGAGCAGCACTAACAGACCTGAATCATGACACTTGGGAAAAACGTGTAGAAGCTGTGAGTAGACTTTTACCATACACAAATGGTCACCATATCCAAATGGTCACCATGATGAAATCAGAAACACAGGATATTGAATTATACAATAAATATGATCAAAACAGAAGAAGATAACATCAGTTTTTACAAACAAAATCCAGTCTCATTCGAGCATATGTTATATTTTGTGTAATATTTCTCTCCAGTTACGTACACTGCGGGCATTGATGATAGCAGGAGCGATGGACCATGAAGACTTTAGATCAAATCTGAAGAATCTGGAGAGTTGTACTATACAGGCAGCTAAAGATCTCCGTTCTCAGGTTGTCAGAGAGGCCTGTATCACATTAGCGTAAGTGTAATAAATAGAATAGCCTTACCTGTCACATTAGTTCAAATGCAGTACAATAGTTTGTGTTACATTAGTGTTAAGGCAATACAGTAGCCTGTATAACACAATAGTCAATGTGCGATACAATGGTTATGACTCATGAAATCAATTGTATAAGATTTTTTTCTAAGAACTAATACTACATACCTTGATGACTTGATGAACCAAGTCCATGGAAAGAACAAGTATCATTTGCCATGCAAAAAGAAGGGTAAGATGATACATATATGTTTGACTAATTTCTTTATCAAAACAATGTGAACATTGAAAGACAATCATTTCTCTTATTACAGGTATCTAGCTCAGCAATTAGGAAACAAGTTTGATAAGTTTGCAGAAGCAGTATTTCCTACCCTTATCAACCTTGTACCCAACAGTGCTAAAATCATGGCCAGCTCTGGAACAGTATGCATACGTTTCATTGTACAGGTAAGCGTCACTTTAATCTGTATTAATCTGACTTTCTTCAAGATCCATCAAAAATATGAATATATTAGTTTAAAGATAGTACTGTCACTAAGGCTACACGTGATATGCTCTCTTTTTTTGTTAATGTCAAAACTTATATTAAATATTTTCCTTGTGGCCATTATATATTTATAGTTATATGACTGGGTGTACATTTCCCTGTGTCATTTGAATATTATCATGATGTATGTCATATTTTCTTTCAGAACACACATGCGCCTAGGTTATTGCCCATCATATTTGGTAATCTTTCATCGAAATCAAGTGTACTAAGAAGGTAGGTAACACTCTTAAACCCCTTCAGCAAAGTTTCCTAGATATAAGATGAAAGTGAAATGCCAAGTGACATTTTGATCATGATGTTATGTCTGCTGTTATTTTGTGAATAGTTTTCCTTCTAATGATAATATATGTAATTAGCTCGCCTTAATGTTTTGTGTGAGTTTGAGAAGCAATTTTAAATATGTTTTTAAAACACTACAATGGTTTGTGGTTAACACCCTTTGGCTGAAGATATTTAAACACGCATGTACATTGAAATTAATAAAAATGTATTAACATATGAAAATGATATCACAAATAATAGTTTTAAAAGCAACCTAAGAAATGATTGTAAAACCAACATGTTTTGCAGTAAGAAGATATCAACAAAATGTTAATTTGTGCTACAATGTTTTGTTTACAGAACATCATTTGAGCTACTAGACTTCCTCCTCCACACATGGGAGACCCATACTTTAGAGAGACATATAGCTCAGCTCCAGGATGCTATCAAGAAGGGTCTAACAGATGCAGATTCAGAAGCAAGGGCTCATGCTAGGAAGTAAGATCAGCAAAATTTAAAAATGCATCAAACTTTACCACATCCAATTCAAAAGGAAAGCTAGTTATTGAACTTCAAATTATTGAATAATATGATAATAATGAATAATGAAATATTGATATATTTTTATCACACCATCGGTAGGATACAGTCATTATGATGTCGATGTGATTGTTATCATGATCGTCCCACTTTTATGTCATCACGGTTTCAGGAAAACTGCTCGTCAGATTTTCGCCAAACTCGCACACATGATAAAGGATATAAAGTTCTAGAGCAGACTATATTTTGGATGGTTTTTGATAAATCCTCTTATTTTTGTCTCCAGGGCATTCTGGGGTTTCCATGAGCACTTCCAAGGCCAGGCCCAGAGTTTGCTCAACAATTTAGACAGTAAGAGTCAGAAGATGCTACAGGGTGAACTCAGCAACTCTTCTAGTAACAACTCCATAGCAAGTACAGGGCGACTCACTATGTCTGCCCCAAGTAAACGTACAAGGTCTGTCAGCCAAGACCGGGCAGGCAGTGAGTCATCATATGGGTAAGTGGATAGTGATTGTTCAAAATACAGATGCAAATGAAATGTAGGCAATTGCTGAAAATGAAAGCATCACAATTGAATGATCTGATGTTATCAACAATAATATTCACAAATATACAGAATTCATATTTTGCAATCATTTGATAATTTTGTTCACATTTTGCAGTCCGAGATGTCTTGGGTCCGAGTTGTCCAGGGTCCGAGTTGTCCTGGGTCCGAGTTGTCCAGTTACCATTTGATACTGTGTTCACATTTTGCAGTCATTTTGCAGTCATTTGATACTGTGTTCACATTTTGCAGTCATTTGATACTGTGTTCACATTTTGCAATCATTTGATTCTGTGTTCACATTTTGTAATTGTGTTCATATTTTGTATATTCATATGATATTGTGTTTCCAGGAGGACTTCTACAGGACCAAGACGGTCCATGGTCCCCAAAGTTGCCAGCCCTAGGAGTGACACTACAGGTATGTATCCACATTAAATCTCATGTGTATATCTTAGAATAACTTATATTTAGAAATTACTCATACGTTACATTTTTCTGTTATGATAAGTCTATAAAGGAATGCAATGAGAAATATTCTGAATCATAAATCTTGTAAGGCTTACACATACTCATCTTCTGCAAAAAACAATTAATTAAATAAAAAATCAGATGTGTATCTTAAAATGATATTTCTAATTGAATGATTTTGAATAAGATAATTATCTACTGAGTACTAGGATGCTTTCTTTTATGTGTCAGTTGCTGAATATTTGGACCTGGGCTTTATCAAGCTGCAGCTACCTTGTAGTGAACCTCTATATATATATACGGCTTACCGCCACCCTACTGCACTGTGCCCATTTCTCAACCTTAATCTTATGGCAATATTATCACTTCTTATAAATTCTTGGGATCTATTAGCTAAGATCTATTACAGTTACAGTGAATTACAGTTTTTATAAGTGTATTTAACAAAATAGCACTGCTTTATTGATTGTTCAATCAGGTATAAAAGTATTTACATTGTATAGTGGTTCTGAGCAGTTGGTTCATATATCTTTGTTTGGAAATATCTTTAAAAGCCAATTAAAAGCACAGTTTCCATTCTCCAGGCACTGCTTTATCCTACTGGTATTTTAATAAGAATCAAGAATTGATATTTTCCCAGCAGTGATACTTTGATAGTGTTAACATATCCTTAAACTGTTCAAACTGGTTCTTCGGGATGACTAACTAACTACTGAAATCCTAAGGAAAAATTACTGAAATCCTAACTCCGATTGGTTGAGGTCCTCAAAGTGTTTACCTGGATTATTGAGATTAAATGAATTTAATTGATGTTGACAGAAGAGTCAGCTGATGGTCGTGGAGGGTTGATGCGCTCCAGTAGCGCATCAGATCTCCTGGATGGTGGTACCCCTTCTCGTCGTGGCACCTCCGCAACACGGATCCCCAGCTCTGGTGTAGCCAATTATAACTCCCTACGTAAGTTATAGGAGAAGAACCACTGTTACTCATGGCTTGTTGTACTCATGTTGCTTGTCAGTATATAGCTTATAGATTATTTAGTCTTCTACAGTTTATTTATTATTTTGAGTTTTAGCATATAGCTTTATTGCTGTCGACTAACATGTATGTGTTTCATGTACTGACACAAGCCATTATTCTCATGCTTTTCTCACTGAATTCCACTGAGGAATTTTGATTATTCATGGATTTATAATTGGCATGCTTTATAGTGTTTTCATAGAATCATTGGACACAACTGGGTGGAACGCATGGTTGCATCTTGTATATATAATATTGAGGAATTGGTATCTAAATATAATACTAGCATACATTGTGCAACATGATAATAAGCATAGAGCATTGCTTGTATTAAATTCACTAATACCACAGGCTGGTATCGAAAGATTTGTCCGCTGTGACGGAGCATGCTATTTTTCATAAAAACACTAGAAATGCTTCACGATTTATTTTTTAACTCATATGTTTCGTTATATCAAAGATAATTACTTACTCCATGCAATGGATATATCATTTGCGTGTAACCTTCACTTCTGTTTGAAGTCCAATAACGCTAGGAGTAAAATCTATTGAAAACGGCGCCAGAGTATCAAACTCTAAAATGTACCATTTCTTTTTTAACTTTTTAATGGCATGATATAGTGACACGATAATATTAACATATGTTTTAAGCATAACTCTGAATGTATTAATGAGATATTAATGCATTGGGTCTTTTTAATTTTTTAATAAAAAATAATATTAATATTTTTTGTCCGCTGTGACGGAGCATTTTCACAGTTCACATTTGCAACTGCTCCGGCACAGCGGACAAAAAAATTAAACATTATTTTTTATAAAAGAATTAAAAAGACCAAATACATCAACATCTCGTTTATACCTTCATAGTTATGCTGAAACCATGTGTAAATATTATCGTGTCACTATATCGTGCCATTAGAAAGTTAAACAAGAAATGGTACATTTTGAAGTATGATACTCCGGCGCCATTTTCAATAGCTTTTCTTCCCAGCGTAATTGGACTTCAAACAGAAGTGAAAGTTACCCGCAAATGATATATCCATTGCATGGAGTAAGTAATTTTGTATGGTATAACGAAACATATGAGTTAAAAAATAAATCGTGAAGTATTCTTAGTGTTTTTATGAAAAATAGCATGCTCCGTCACAGCGGACAAATATTTCGATACCAGCCTGTGAATACAGGAGTTTCATAATGCATCAGCATGTCCACATAAATTATGCATTAATGATGATTCAGCATTCAGAGAGTTAAAGGAATGATTTTTCGTCTGCCATTAACATGTATCAAGTATAAATAGACCTATCATACATCTACTGACATATCTTTGTCAATCATCATTTGGTTCCTTGTGCATTGCACTTATTAGATGTCTTTAAGGGATGATTTGTAGGATGAAAGTGGCAAATATATGGTACACCCCTCCCCTCTTTTGCTGGTTTCACATTTGATCCCTGGTGATTTCTGATCATTAGGAATGAATCATCCAAGGCATTAGGGATACTGTTCTACTGTTAATGTTAAATCCTCTCTCCACCTCCCTTTTGTAACATTAGAGCCTTGTTTGTGAGGAGGGGTTGATTGTTTGTATTGATTGATTGCTAGGAAAGGTTGATTGTTTTGTTGCTTTGAAGGTTATGGTAGCTGTAAAATAGCTGAGAGAACGCTTAGTAGAGATACGTCAAAACTAGTGGATATTAGAAACAAATTATTATCAGCATCCTGCAGTGAAATGCCATTTGGTAAGACAATGGCAGGAATGCACCCTGAATTCAACTATACCCCTTTCTACTTTATGGTTGATCATATGGTCAATCTGGGATGCCATTTTCTATTGTATTCCAACCCTTGCATTGCATTCTATAAATGCATTCACTGAGAATGAATCTGTGGGTAAGAACAGCAGAATTTCATTAAGGTATTATCACTCAATTGCCAATAGTATGGTTTTTATTAACATGACTAATTGTGGGGCGAAAATTTGCAAAAATGCGAAAACAAGAAATGATAATTAGCCTGCTTTAATGTATCTGTTATTTAACCATATTGACCAACCATGGGTGATAATACTGGGCCCTAGAGTGTGTTTTGATACTCACCAGCATTGTTATTTCCTGACTCTATATGAATGTTCTGGCTCCTCAGGCAAACCTCAATATACTCAGAGCAGTTGGGACCTGCGCAACGATATCTCATCTCGTCTTTATATGCCTACACACTCCTCTGCTGCTAAAGACAATTGTAAGTTTATAGCCTTTTCTTGGAGAGGTACTGTTTTGTTGCACATTAGGAACCTGCATATTTGGGATTTCCATTAGATACCACAGGATAGGAAAGTTGGTACTTTTTAAATGCCAGCAGTGGTATTGGTATATCGAATTTATATCATTATGCTGGTGGTACTGGTGCATTGACTATGTCACCCAATGTCTAAATGTTTGGGATTTAGAGGTTCTTTACACTTTGCTTCCACATTCGAAATAATTGGAAAGGAAGACCATGTTTCATAATCTACATCCATATTTGTCTGTAGTATATAAGGAATGACCCCCCTCCCCCCCCCCCCATTTTTGTTGTGGTGTTAGGAATAAAATCCTTTGTACTTATGGCAACCTGTTTATGTTTTGCGTATTCTGTCATCACACATTTTATATATGTATAGTACAAACCTAGTTAAGACCGATATATTGTTAGAAAATTCTGGAAGGTTAGGGTTGCTCCCATTATTTGTTAACTTTTGCAGATAATGTAGACTGCATGGATTTATTTATATGCCTGCTTTACACTTACATATAGGTCTTATGGACAGTTTTAGGAATTTACTAACTTTCGTTGGCCTTTGCATTAACATATATCGGGCCAATAAGCTAATTCTTAAAACTGTTCATCATACTGCATCTGCTTTATAACATCATTAATTTAAAAACAATTTACTTTTATTTTATAATTTATTCATTCCAAATTATATATTTATTGTATAAATGTATACGTATTATATCAATAATTTTCCTATGACACTCTTGAGTAAACTGGTTAGCATGAATTTAATTCTTACTTCTCAATTACATTTGCATCATCGTTCACTCGGCTCCCATCTGTCAATGAACGCAGTGAAGAGTGGAGCGCGCGAAGATGGACATTTGCTTATGCTATAGGTTATTGATATCAGTACTCTTCTAAATTATTTCTATTGAGATTACTTGCATGCATGTTGTATGCAATAGTCAACATTTGAATCCTTACCAATATGTTTGTGCACCAATACCTAATACTTATATAGACATATACAACCATAAAAGATACAAAGTTGTTTAATATATTTTATGAATTGCACATTCTATTAGTCTCATTGAAATAGCTCTCAATATTTTCTTTCATTTGGGTCATTTAACTAATATTTTGATCTACGATCGTAGATTCCACAACGATTCGATTTTCTCGAATCTAGTATGTTATCTTTGAAATATACGTAGACATTAGATGATAACCACCATAGTGTCAATTATAAGTGTGTATTTAAGTATATTTTTCCTCAATAGCATACTTTCACTTCTAAAATCTGATGAGAAAACATATTCCTAAAATATGTGAAAGTTTTATTTATATGTTACATAAAGTAGCTCTGAAATGCAATTTTAGTCTGTAAATGACACATACTCTCATGTTGTTCACTCCCACCATGTTTAGCTTAAGAATCCCATACCAAACACTAAACCTTGGTACGTGGTTCATTTTGCTATATTTGCTATATAACTCTTTGAACCATAGAGTTGAGTGTAATCGAACTAGAGAAAACACGACAAAACTTTGTATGCTGGACATTCTAAGAAACATTTTGATTGAATCTTCTCCAATATTTGTAATGACTGTTTGTCTGTTCCTCATACAGTGTCAATGTATCCTTCATAAGGCTGAATATGTACCTGTGCATGTGCTTCTACCCTGGGAGACATTTCAACTGCTTCAGTATTAATGAACACAGATAGGGAGATGAATATTGTGCCATTTACGTTGAAATGTCTCTCCGACTCTGCTTAAATTAGGCCCTCTGTTAACTTCATCTTTATTTTGCCATACAGCCCGACAACGAACACGTTCCTCAAATTCTACCTCGAAAGGCATGTCGAATACATTATCTACTCCCGACAGGAGTGCAAGGCAAAGGTCACGGATAGGTGTCTCTGCTTCACAACGTAAGTTCTCCCGAGTGGTCACAAACACCTTGATTTAAAGAACAATGCTGTCATTCACATTCATATACCAGTTATTCATACTTTGCATAAAATGTTTGTGCTGGAAAATTGTAAGTTGCTCAGGATGTTAAGAAATCTTGAGATTTGTAATATTTTTAGGGTTTATTCACTTGAAATATTTCTGAAAATCTTGAGATTTTGTACATCCTTTGGAATGATGTATTTGAAATGTTTTCAACATAAAGTGTTGCTTTATCCCCTCCCCTGAGTGCTAATATAAAATGGTGACCTGGGCTCACCTAAGGCTTATACACATCGCCATTCAACCACCATGTGTTTCCTTTTATTTGTACCATATCGTTGATACTTAAGCAGTGAGAATCATTGGCTTGTTCTATACCTAATATAGCTTTTAATGTTGTTGTCATTTTCTATTCATTTCATTCTGTTTATTTTCTAATGCTGAGCGCTGTGAAACTTATATGTGTAGATGTTGTCTGTATTGTAGCTTGAATGTTTCCATATAATTGTTTCCAGCCGGCAGTAGATCCACTTCTCCGACATCACGTATGAATTATATCACATACCAGCAACCTGATCAGGGTATGTTGGCCCCTGGGTCAGCTGGGGGCCCCAGGCGTAGGTCTGGGATCCCTCGTAGTCAGGGGGCAAGTAGAGAAACAAGTCCATCGAGCATGTCCAGGGTTGGATACAGTAAGCTGTTTGATTTAGATGTGTCACCGAATAATGAGCATCTTTGCAAATTTGCACCTTAACATTTTAAGAAAATATGCAGATGTTTAAACGATAATTCTGATGTTTGTAGCATAGTATGCTAATAAGAATACATAATCATAAAACCAAGTATGACATACATAGGAAAAACAAATCAACTATGTTGAAACTTGAATCATCATGCATATATTTCCCTGGTAACTTCTAAATTGAATATTAGTTGAGTAAGTGATAATAGGTTAAGTTGTTCATATAGGTCGAGAAAGGCGTACAAGTGGCAGTAGATCACAGCCCAGGCCAAAGGGGGCCCAGAGGGTACTAGGACTTGGAAATGTAGAAGCTGCAGAACAAATACTGGCAGATAAACTGGTGAGTTTGATATAACCCTTTGAGAGACCTCAACTTATCTGCACTCTTAACTCAAAGAGCAGGCAGCAGGCAGTGAAAATGTAATTCGAAAACTAATATTCATTTTAACATTCAGACTTCCATAAAAGAAAGGCTTTATTTGAGATGGTTGAGATAACGTAACTTAAACCTTTTAAACTACAGTTTTACTGTTGTAGTACCATGTGGATGGAATACTTATTCATAGGGGAAAACTCATAAATTCCACCCTCTATAATTCTATTTCAAACCTAAATGGACCTAAAATCTTCACAAAGCGATAATTCACTTATACTGTTTATACTGTTGTCTCTCAAAACGCAATGATAGACAGAACTCCTTGTACAAATATTGAAAATATCAAAAAAGAGCCAAACAGTAAGTTGTATAAATTATTTTCCAGAGACAACCACTGCGTAAACGTTATGACACATACGACTCTGATGATGCCAGTGAGACATCCAGTATATGCAGTGACAGATCCTATGGCTCATATAGCAGAGCATCTGAGGTAATGCAACATATACTCACATATAATGGGGGATACGACAATTCTGACCAATCATATTTAGGGGACATTGATCATGTGATGGTGGCAATATTGTACTATTTTCATGCACTCTTCTTTGACACTACATGTGGGTGTTTCACAGTTGGGAAATGGCTCATCTACATGCTGATATAACACACATTCCTGAATCTGATAGGTCATACGGAGTTGGAATAATCTATCTAAGCAAAACACACTCACTTATAACATGGGTGTCGGTGTATCTGGCATTACTCATACATTGATAATTTATGGTTCATCACATCTATTAATGAGACTCTAAAATTCTCTCTGCATTATATATAATTTATAATTCAGTTTATTTACATTCTTGTGTTTGCATATTTGTATGGGGTTCCTCTTTGAGAAGATAAAACCATAAGATGTTAACCTATAGCATATCTACACGCATAGGCTTACAATAGTACAAGCAAAATCAAACACCGAAAAGTCATTCAGTTTAATATTTCATATAGCATCAGTTATTTTGCCGTGTTACTGTCATAAACCATGTGTCGCCTATTCAAGTGCTTTATTTGCTGTACTAATGAATGCTTTGCTTGCATGCAGTATTCTGACAGTGGTCGACGAAGATCAGGTTATGGAAAGGTATAAAAACATTCAATTTCATTAATAGACCTCTATTTCTTTGCTTTTTCTTATATTGTACATGTAGCGGTTTCTCAAGCCATGCTTCTTTGCTTAAGGTTGTAGCATTATTAACCATAATGTTTAAAATAGGTGCCCACTCTCTTGTGCAATATTCTACGCTGACTTCAATACTGTATAACATAGATAATATAGCATTCTTAGTATCATCACTGGCTTTCTATTTAATCTAAAAACTCAGAAAATCCTAATCTTAACCATCACTGAAAAAGATTAACTATTAATTTAGATAGCACACTAGATTTAATATAATGCACAATTTCACCATGGGTTTAACAGCCCTTTATTTCATGGTGGGTTTAACAGCCCTTTATTTCAAAATGGGTTTAACAGCCCTTAATTTCACTTTTTTTATAGCTACTATGTGTGTAGATTTAAACCACAGATATTTTAAGCAAGTGTTTTCATATAATGACCAGATTGAGTGTTTTAATCATACTTATTTCTAATAGTCACACAACACATTATATTTATTTTACTATATTATGTACTAGCAGTTACATGGAGTAGAATTAGAAAATATCTTCATCTGTGTAATGTACATGCCTTTATTCAGTATTAGCTGTGTTTATCAATGAATTGCATAGTAGAGTATATTAAAATAAAAGCCCAATAGTTCTCTGTGTTACATTTTGTGTTAAAGGGACTGATCATTCATCATGAAGAGAGCATAACCTTTTTCAATAATAAAGAGTATATCCTATATCTGGTTGATCTTTCAACTGAAATACAGTTTGATGAAAAAAATTAAAAGAGATTCAGCTCTTTTTGAAAAAGAAATATTCTGATTAGGCACCAAAGGTTTAGGTCCCCAATATACAATGATCAGTGCCCTTAAAAACTACTTAGAAAATGATTTCCGCTTCTTCCCAAATTCATACTAAACTCTGAATATAAATCTCACTACTCTACAGTGATCTCTGGGTCTGAGTTCTTTTCAGTAGATATCTTATATGCTATCTATCCCCATATACCTATCTATATATCTATTTCTCTTTCTACCTCCCCTAAGCAGCGGGAAGACAGGAAACATCATCCCGTAGAAGAGGTATTTGGACATTCACTTCTTAAAGCTGCTTTCAGTGTTCCAAATAACATTTTTTCATATTTATTTCTTCATAGAAGATGTTATAAGCTTACACATTCAGTTTGAATTTCTAAAATTTCTGTGCAAGAAAACACTGAAGGCCAACATATAGACATTCTCTCTATCACTCTTATGCAGACAGCTTTAGAAGCTTCTAGTCTAGTATAGTATATGGACCATATTGGTGAACATGTTATGGGATCATTCTTCAGGAGTGACCTTTAACATGGAGTTTAATGATCCCTTGTATTTTAATCTCACATTCCTCATTGATAAATAAAAATCCTGAAAGGTAAAACAATCACAAGAATATTCAATTGATTTCAACAAAATGTTAAAACACACGATATAATGTAATAATAAATGGTTTCAAACGTGCTACGGAGGGCTCACAAGTAAGCATGCTTACAAGTGCTATTTATGATTGGTGCTATTTGCATTCAATAAATCTGGACAAATTCATCTGTGACTGCTTTAGAGCCATAGACCTCAATGAAGACAAGACACTGAACTGAATGTCACATTTTACTCCATTGAAACAACTTTCTGTGATTGTTTTTTCATTCAAGTTATTTGCCCATTTCTATTTATTTCTCCAAGCTCTATTTCTTCATATTAACTCACATGTTTCTATGTTTTCTCCTGTGCATTATCAGCCAGCTGAGAGCATTAGGAAGGTAATTGTTATACATGTACATGTACTGTTGTAATTAATGTCACCATTTGTGTCTGTCTCTTATGTCTACTTGGTATTCTATTGTTTATACAGGGTGGGTCACTAAATGTAGGCACTTGAACAATTAATCCCAACTTTTGAATAATATAGATGCAGGAAAATCATTAAAAGTAAAACATTTTTGATGCCTCTCATAAGTGTTACACTTTGCAGGTGTTCTTGTTCTATTTGACAGTTTTTACTGTAATTATAATAATTATAAAAAACATTTCTCAAAATTAGCCCTCTCTCTAACTTATATTGGGCTTTGCTAAATGAATACCAATAGACAAATACAGCTTTTTTACAGTTACATAATATTACAAGCAATGAAAGCTGTCTTTACACAAACTGTCTGTTTCTATGTATCCTCTGTTAACTGTCAACCCCTTGTGTTAAGTTTTACCTTTCAGCTTTATTACTGTTACATTGATGCTTTCCCCAAGCAATAACTCCTTGTTGGGTAACACACAAATGCCCGTAAGGTCTCTTTTGAGTGTTTTAGATATTGATACATGTATTGTTGAGGATATGTTCCTCTTATATTTGTAGACTACCTCAGTTCCTATGCTTTGCTGTGGTTTCATGCTACATTCTATAGTTGTTCTATGTTGATCAACCAAAATTCTCTGCCTGGAAACTGTTGTTGACAAGTCAAAGAACTTAACAGATTAAAAACATATTTTTGTTATATTTACAATACATTCATTAAAAAGTATGGAGCTCTCATAAATATTTTAAGTCATTTGTACTATTTCTTCAAAAATCAGCATAATGCCTTATGCAGTCAATCTAAGAGGTTGAATGGTTCTTATTGAAATGTATGACATATAGGTAGTAAGCTAGCACCCAAAAATGTATTAGTTCGTGAACAAATTGAAATTACTTGTTTCTTATGTATTTTTATGTGATACTTCAGAAAATGTTTGTCTGACGCGCCGTATCCGGGGCGAAAATTGTCAAATTGGCGTTTTCGACCCTAAAATGGAAAATTACAGGGGGTACTTTATCATCATTGAATAAATCCTTCAGTTGGTCTTCAATCATCATAATAATTTTATGGGGAGTTGATTGGATCATGCTGAGGTAGTATGTTAAGGTTCAATCACCTGTCACTCATGGTTGCCATGGAAACCACAATTTTCATTGAAAAATCCTTAATTTTGGCCAAACCTGTACAGGTACATAATATAGAATGAGGATTATTTTTCAAATCAACAGATATAAGAATATTTTAGCACACCCAAAATGGCCAGGGAAGTTCAAGCATTTGTTTAAGCATAAAGGATATTGCAATTTATATAATTGGTAAGTGTCAAAGACCATACTACTACATAAGTGATCAAAAGTGGGCGTCGCCCCCATAATAGTAAATGATTACCATTCTCTGAAAAGACAGAGTTTAACTTGACTTTTGAGATACATTTATATTGAAGTTCTTTGAATATACTTAATATCATGCATTCCTGGTATATAATGTTCATATAAGTGTAAAAGTTGTTACATGGGGAGCGGAGGGGGGGGGTGGTAGTAACAGAATTTGGAGGGGGCAGAGCTAATCAGCCTTAGTATAATTCTCATTTATATAGTTCTGGATATTCAAAGGTCACATCTTCTGGGTCTTCTTCATTTTCATAACAATATATAGGTACTACATTTCACATGATTGGTGTCAAAGACCATACCATTACATAAGTGATCAGAAGTAGGCATCATCACCTTCATAGTAGTAGATGATTTCCATTCTCTATAAATACAGGGTTTAAGTAGAATTTTCAAGATATATATATATATATTTATCATTTATACTTCTTTGATTATACTTAATATCAACCATTTCAGGTAAATAATGTACATCTCACATCTTATAGTTTTCATTGACTTAAACTACTTTATAGTTGATGTAACGCTTTGATATTTGAACTAAACCAGGCTTATATGGCATATACCATCGCTCGATACTGACCAGTGACATCTGAGTTTTATAGTTATTGCATGAGAGGCAGGTTGAGAGGGGGGGGGCTAGTAATAGAAACTGGAAGGGGGCTCATATGGTTCATTCTCTACAAACAGAGGTCAACTTGAGTTTTAAGATCATCCAGTGATCTCCCTAGGATTTCTTCTTAGGTGGGTACAAAATTTTCATTTTCACAATTTAGACCAAAATTGGTCAAAATATGCTGATTTTTCATGATTTTTCTAACTTTCAAGTGGGTGCATATGGATTTTCAGGTGGGTGCAAACCTATTTTCAGGTGGGTGCAAACCTATTTTCAAAATCTCAGGTGGGTACTGCGCCCACTTGCTTTAATGCTTAGAAGATCACTGTCATCTATACGTCATCTATACTTCTATTATTTAAGAAATATAGACTGAAGAGCAGGTGTTATATTGACAAATACACTCCACATGGCTATGCAAGAGAGTGAGGGGTTCGAAAGCTTTTGTACCTAGCCCTAAGGGGTCATTGTCAATATCACACCTGCTCTGAGGTATATATTACAATTCAAACATGAAAACTCCCCAAAATTTTTCGAATATTCAACTTATGGTCTGCCATTACTACAGCCCTCTTGATGTCACAAATTACTTGTATTACCAAGGGTAGTGTTGACATATATACCCGGGTAAAATGTTGACTTTGTTCACAGTTTATAGAAGGCGTGAATACAGTCATGTTCAAATATAATTTATATAAACCATTTCTCATAAATATGTTTAGTAGTATAGTTTTTACATGAGGTGAGGGTGGGGAAGTGGTTTCAGACCTAGGAGGGAGCTCTACTCCCTCCCAATTATTCTGTTACTACTCCCATCTAGGGCCTGGCATAATATATGCAGCCTTCATACCTTTGCTAGATGAAGTAAGTGCCAGGCGTTGAAGGGATAGCACATTTTAAAAAGATGGAGCACCATATTGAGTCCCAGCTGAATGACTCTCAAATCTGCAAGTGTTTAGTGGTATTTTCTCTTGAGAGATTGTTGATATATCAATATCATGCGATAAATCACAAGAATGAAAATGATCAGACTATGAGAAGGCTCATCTATAGTTGTCGTTGTATTGCCATGACTAGACATTCTGATACTCATAGCATCTTTCTGTCTCACCTAAAGGGCCGGGAAGAAATAAAATTTCATGGTTTATCATGATGATCACTAGAAAGGATATGGCATTTCCCACCTGCTACACAGTAGATTTTTTCTTGGCATATTCTGGTCTTATTCAATTAAGTGTAACTGTTATAGTTGCTTCTTGTTTGCATCCTTATTCATGAACTCATTCCAATCTTAAGGGACTCATGTATTTCTACATTTGATAAGGTGATGTGCCACCACCCACTTCTTCTCCTATCAGGTTCGTTTATAGAATTTTGGATTTAATCATCACATAATCACTCTGCTGTTAGAAGTATCTTGAAAAACGTGTATTTTCTGCCAGCTCCAGAAACAAAACAACCCATCAGAGAATCCATGAAATTTAGTATGATATTTCCTTAGGGCCGATATGGGCCCAGAGAGTAATATTGTCACAAGGAATAAACACATTTTCAATCCATCTCTCATGTGCATTTTAAAGACTACATATCTTTCATTTATAAGTCCTTCAATCAATGTGTTAGGATAAGCACAGAATACAGCAAAGTGTAGTGCTGGACACACAAAAGAAGATTGATTAATACTTGTATAATAAAAAAAACATTTATGTTAAGCCACAATGTCTTACACCAGCAAAACCACATAAACCAATTGAAATAGAAGTTTAGACCCCATAAAACAATCAAAGACTATGAAGGAACCGACATCAGTCTTCTTCCACCTTGTCAAGAGCTTACTACAAAGCACTTATCGTGCATATGGCCCATATTGTAAACCCTGACATTCCAGCAGAAGATGGATATGGATGGAAACTAAATGACTCCACCATTGCATTGGGTATTGACTGGTATTCTCAGACAAATGATTGTCCATATAGCACCAGGAGATGAATCAGAAAGACTACAGAAGATGTATCTTATGAAATCCAGAACTCTGAAGATGAAATTGATACTTAATGCTGACTTGTTCCCCCCACCCCTCCGAATTCTGTTACTACCCCCCTCCCATATAATAACTATATACAGTATATTGAGATAACTAATATAAGAAGACCCAGAAAATACTCTATGAAGAAGTCCAAAAGAAAGAATTTATTAGTATTCCTAAGGCTGATTAACTCTGCCCCCTCCCAATTCTGTTACTAACCTCACCCCTCCTTATGCAATAACCAGTCCAATGTAAATGTATCTCAAGTCAAGTTTAACTCTGTTTTTATAGAGAATAGCAATCATCTACTCTAGTATGGGGGCGACGCCCACTTTTGATTACTTGTGTAATTGTATGTTCTTTGACACTGACCAATCATGTAAGTTGTAATATCCCATATACTGAGATGAATATGAAGAAGACCCATGCAGAAGACGAACCCCATGAAATCCAGATATATGTAGATGAGATTTATACTTAAGGCTGATTAGCTCTGCCTCCTCCCAATTCTTTTACTAGCCCCCCCCCCCTCTGTACCCCCCCCCCCCCCCCCCCCAATGCAATAACTATAACACTTAGATGTACATTATTTACCAGAAATGCTTGATATAAAATATAATCAAATAACTCTAGTGTAAATGTATCTCAAAAGTCAAGTTGAACTCTGTTTTTATGGAGTATAGCAATCATCTACTATTATGGGGGCGACGCCCACTTTTGATCACTCATGTAATTGTATGTTCTTTGACACTGACCAATCATGTAAGTTGCAATATCCTTTATATTTAAACAAATGTTTGAACTGTACTGGTTATTTTGAGTGTGCTAAAATGTGCTGATATGTATTGATTCGAAAAATAATCCATATTCTACATGATGTACATGTTCAGGTTTTGCAAAATTAAGGATATTTTGAACGAAAATTGTGGTTTCCATGACAACCATGAGTGACAGAGCATTGGAATTTTACATACTACCTCAGCATGATCCAATCAACTCCCCATAAAATTATTATGATGATTGAAGACTAACAGAATGATTTATCGAGTGATGATAAAGTACCCCCAGTAATTTTCCATTTTAGGGTCGAAAACGCCATTTTGACAATTTTCGCCCCGGATATGGCGCGTCAGACAAAAAAATTCTGAAGAATCACATAAAAATACATAAGAAACAAGTAATTTCAATTTGTTCACGAACTAATACATTTTTGGGTGCTAGCTTACTACCTAATACACTCTCTGTGTATCCAACAATCTACATTATCACAATTTTGAAATCTCATTAAATTCATGATTGGTTCTGACCTGGTTGCATTAAACATTATCCTTATCTATTGTTATATGTGTTTTATGTGTATTCCAGGATGTGTCAGATATCCTAGCTAACATGTCCAGTTCATCCTGGGCTGATAGGAAAGAGGGACTAATAGCCCTGCAAGGCCTGCTCAGTGGTTCAAGATACCTAAAGTAAGGCAGTTATTCATGCTATTACCTCTAAAATGTATCATGTATCATAAAAAATTATTAGTGTAAACAAAAGAATTTCATATACAACAATAACGTGAATATTCATTTTGGATAAAATTGGTGGCACAGATTTACTATCAAATATATTTATAACATATCTATACTCTTTATTTTCCAGTCGTATTGAATTGAAAAAAGTTACAGAAATATTTACCAGAATGTTCCATGACCCACATGGGAAGGTAAGTTTACCTTTGCATTGTTTTTCTTCACTTTTACTTTAAGTAGGGTTGGCAATTGCTTCTAAATAATCACAGTAATAAATATCATTTCCTAATCTTTCTATACTCTACAGAAATGATATTGCAGATTTCTTTTTAGATTTGCCTTCAGGGCAGGAGTTTTAAGTTGATATAGTGTAGATTCTAGATTCAACCTATAAGCATGAGGATGACAAATGAATTGACCAAATGTATCAATCATACCCTCAAAAGGCAAATAGATCATCTCTCACACACTATTGAATGAAACACTTGGAGGTCTTGTACTGTATGTACATTAATTTCACTTAGCATATTTTTTTATGTTTTCAGGTTTTTAGTATGTTCCTGGAGACGTTAGTTGACTTTCTCTCTGTACATAGGCAAGATTTAAATGACTGGTTATACATATTACTAACCAGACTGCTGAACAAAATGGGCTCTGATATGTTAGGCTCTATACAAATGAAGGTTCTCAAAGCATTAGATTTGGTTAGGTAAGGATCTGAAATGGCATTCTGTTCTTATCACTTTCAATTCTAAAGTGAACAATCTAAAAGCACAGAGAGCAACATTAGAAAACACAAAAAAAATTAAGAACCATATTAACCATAAAATATTCAAAAAGCCAATACATGTTTATGGATGAATTCATCTTCATAAAAGTTATATGTAAATTTACTAAATAGATATGCAAGGGGCATCTCTGATTGAACATTCTAGGATGCATTTCATATGCCTAATATTATATGTTGAAAACTTTCATTGATTTTATTTCAGGGAATCTTTTCCATATGACAGCCAGTTTAAATTACTAACAAAATTCATAATAGACCAGACACAAACGCCAAATCTTAAAGTAAGTATTATTAGAACATGTAATGGAAATAGAGTAAAAAAGCAGAAGAAAACAGGGTTGTCCAAAGTTATATAGCACTGAAGGTTTATTCAACATTTAAAATATTCCCATGTTTTACATACTGCTTCTTTGATAGACATATGTTTGGTATCCATTGGTATTGTTTCTGTTTATTGTATGTTAGGTGTCACACGACAGTGTCACAGTGTCACAATTTCATGGTGTCACAGTGTTAGGATATTAAAATAATTCTGTATTCCTCTGTCTTTTGCTTCCCTAGGTGAAGGTATAGTAGTACATCTACAATCTACATCTATATATTGCTTCATTGCAACTCTGCTACACACATTTCCAATGACATGATATTTCAAAGCATGATTTGAGATTTCCTAGCTCGCCAGCTTTTGAAATATTGTGAACAGAATTAGTGTACATAGTGTGGAATGGATTTGTAATGAAGTTTTGTGTCCACCTGCATTTATGTGAACCTTATTAATGTTTTCCCTTAGCCGAACTCATTCTTCCCCATATACCTTATATATATTTGTACATATGTACCCTTATACTCACTCTTCACACTGGATAGAATCAATGCAATCCTGTATCAGTTTATGACTGGATTACTTTAGTTTTGATCATCAGGATTGGCATAAGATAGTTGATATGGGGCATATTCTCCCAAGTTTGAATATTCTCTGTATTGGCTGTAGCCAGCTAGTACTTGGCTGTCTATTATACACTGCTATGTGATTTGGAGTAACACATGCTTTTGAGAATGCAAATTATAATTTTTGTGTCATACTTTTTTGTTTGTACATACAAGCTTTATGATTTCAAGCTATAGTCCTAAACTGAGTTAATTGTTCACAATGTGTGTTGCTGAAAAAGCATGATACACATATAGCTATATGCTTACTGTGAGAGTGTATTGAATAATTTCTCTGTTTAAATTATAATTCGATCAGCTTTTGGTGTAACATTACATAGTACTGCTGTACTATTGTGATGTCACATTACATAGTGAAGCTCCTGTGCTTTGTGAATTGTCAATTTTCTTTCATTTATTGTTTAGCGAACTATCTCATTGTCAATAGAATCATCACATATCATCATGATTAAAAACAATCATCTTAACCTAATGTCAAGCTGCATCCCATTGAATTTCATGTTAAATACATGTGCTTTTAGATCTCATGTTAAAACAACCACAAGACCAATTAAACACTTTCATCATCCTACAATATGCTTGTACCTTTTGTTTTAGGTTAAAATAGCCCTATTAAACTACTTGCATCAATTGAGCACAGTCATGGACCCAAGTGACTTTAATAACTCTAGTGACACCAGGCTGGCTATATCCAGAATCATCACATGGACAACTGAGCCAAAAAGTGCGGAAGTTAGAAAGGTAGGAAGACACTCACTGGGAATGAGGCTCAAGGGATGGCCTGTGCCACTTGTATAACATGTTTTACATTGGCTAGACCCATAGTGGTGCCATAGGCTACTTTCTAAGTGATAATCTGAAGTGAGCAATCCGTTGTAACTATTACCAATGCTACATCCAACATGTGACACAATTTACTTGAATTATATTCTGGTCAATAGTCACTACATTACTTGAGAACTTCATGTGTAATTCCATGATACATTTATGTCTTTATTGACTCTGTCTTATTTCCATTCAGTTCTTTACCAGCCCTAGTATAGATGATGCTCTGCAATTGTTTGTTTTAATTTTTCTCACATTTATCTAACTTTATATTGTAATATTCTCTTTCAGGCAGCCCAATCCTGTCTTATAGCCATGTTTAACCTGAACACACCAGAGTTTTCTATGATGCTGTCCCACCTGCCAAAAACATTCCAGGATGGTGCCACTAAGATTCTACACAATCACTTGAGGAGAGGGAGTCAAGAGCATGAGGTTCTCTCCCCAAGGAACGTTGCTAGTCCACAGACAGCCCCCTCCCCCAGACCTCGGACATCATCCAGGTATTGCTTTGTGAAGCTAGGAAACAATACGTTCTTATCTATTCACAACATGTATTTCAATCCTAAGGCTTTAATAAAAAGTAGAAATAGACAATATTCTACAAGTGTCTTTTAAAATGTATTTGACCCTGATGTGTTACATGTATTTTCATGAAAGTAATTTAAAGCATAAATATAAGATTTTTACTTATAGTCGGGTTTGAATAGGAGATAAGTTCACAGAATATTTCAAAAATATATAGAAGCAATCTTAAGGTGGATTTCAAAACTTCATACCATCCTTTTGAGAACCTGAAGTGGCACCAAGCAATCCATTGACTTTTTCACCAAAAATCCAAGATGGCCGCCACAATGTATCGAAAAATCATAAAAATTGACTAAAGTTGTAATTTAATAAGTCAAATAGTTGTATACTGATCAAACATGACTAAGAATAGTACGTATTAGATGTTCATATGCATTTAAATTCATTGGATCATTTTTGTATGAAAACTGGAGTCCCACAAGGCTCAATTTTATGTCCGCTACTTTTTTTGTCTAATGATTTGCATTGACCATGGCATTTGCACATAGCAGTGGATACTTATCTATTTTTGTAATGTGTGCACCCAGGACCACATTTCACCTTGCACCCATACTTGACCAATGCTTGGCATGCCTTGGCTGCTTGAGGAAGGTATGTCAACAGTAGCACCAGTAGAGACATGTCATACTTCAAGCCCCATGTTGTGAACTCCTATACCAATTTTAGATGGAGATTGTACAGTTGCCCTCAAACAATACCACCTTGGTTAGCAAGTTCTTAAGATTTTCTGAGCAAGGTCTCCTTTTGTTGGTGGTATTCTACTATATGGCCAGCACAGAACATTCGTGCTGTATTGATATCTATCTGGTTGCTGGTTCGATCATATAATAGAACACAGTAAAGTATTCTAGGAACTGAATGGCCTGAACTGACAAAGCAAGGTTTGTTGTAACCATTTGTACCACTTGTAAAAAAGCTGGAGTAACTTCAATGAGCACATTCCATAGCTTGAAGGCAGATTTTTTGCTATGGCCAAAGAATGGTGAAGCTAATATAATATAATTTAATACCTGTAATTTTTGAGAGGTCCGAAGGCAATCCAGATTGACACTTATTGCGCCCTTAAATGCTGCAGCCATGGCAAGAGCAACTACATCAGTATCTCAACTTCTGATTGTGAAGTCTTTTACCCTCTGAGGTCATGTTTTATATGAACAAAGAGTCTCGTGTCAGTTTCTTCATGAGTACAAGGTCCAATCATTGCTGTATCTGGCAATTGAGGAAAGCACTGAATAGATTCTCCAATAGATGTTATCATTTGCTTGTCATTAACATCAAACTCAGACATAGAGTTGGCCAGGAATGCAAACAGCCTAGTCTTGTTCCGTTAATTGAAAGCTGGGCAATTCTTAGGCATCGCATTCTCTGCATTAACTATCCTTCTAGCACCAGTGCCACGATTAATCCTTGTTAGGGACTTCTCACTGTTTTGTAGGTAAACATTGCAGACAACATCTAGGAACACCTTCCATAAGCTACCTTAACTTGGGATGAAAGGACCAGTTTCTAGACATTTAAGTAAGTCTGTCGTAGGTCACATGGCTCTGTGCTTAGCTAGGGATGACGGGATGCCAATCAAGACACATTGACATGTCTGAGTTTTTCAAACATGAAAAACATGAGTTCCGGCCATCCTTAGCTAAGCACAGGGCCATGAGACCTACAAAGAAGCAGACTTACTTAAATGTTGAGAAGCTAAGCCAGATGGATCTGAAGTATTGGAAAAAACCTGCAGATGCAATTTTAATAGATGGCACCCTTCTGGTCTATGTGATGCGTCCTGGTGTGGCTACCAACTTCCAAGAATATGCTACCAATGTCTCATCCCAAGTTAAGGCAGCTTATGGAAGGTGTTCTGGGATGTCTACCAACAAAACAGTGGGACTGGATGGTTTATGCAGAGAATCGCGATGCCCAAGAATTGGCTAGGCTTTCTAAGAAATGGCCAGAACAAGACTAAGCTGTTAGCATTCCTGGCCAACTCTATTTTTGAGGTTGATGTAAATGACAAGCAAATGATAACTTCTATTGTGGAATCTGTTCAGTGATTTCCTCACTTGCCAGATACAGCAATGATTGGACCTTGTACTCATGAAGAAGTTGACACTAGACTCTTTGTTCATGTAAAACAGATGACCTCAGAGGGAAAAAAAGACTTCATAATCAGAAGTTGAGATACTGATGTAGTTGTTCTTGCCATGGCTGCAGCATTAGTCCACCCGCTATGGCTCAGTGGCAGAGTCAAGGTTACCAATATCGCTTGGCCCCGGGTTCGATTCCCGGTTCAGACAAGTTTGTTTGTACGTGATGTAATTCTGGGTGTTTGACTGAGTGGTTCACGACTCGTATAAAAGGCTGTGGTGTGTACCTGTATGTCTGTGTACCTGTGCACACAAAAGAACACAGGCTCCTCCAAGGAGGGGTTTCTGGCTCTGTCTTCGAGTGTAAAATAAGTTAAATACGGAATATACCAATGAGGTATTGCTCGCCAAATATGGCGGTAACCAAGATATAATAATAATAATTAGGGCCCAATAAGTGTCAATCTGGATTGCCTTCAGACCTCTCAGAAATTACAGATATTAAATTATATTAACTGCATCATTCTTTGGCCATAGCAAAGGATCTGCCTTCAAGCTATGGAATGTGTTCAAGGAAGTTACTCCAGCTTTTCTACAAAAGAGTGGCACAAATGCTTGCAACAAACCTGGTTTTGTAAATTCAGACCATTCAGTCCCTAGACTGTTTCACTGTTCTATTATATGATCGAACCAGCAACCAGATAGATATCAATGCAGCACGAAGGCTAATGCTCTGTGACGGCCATACAGTCATTGACAGAATACCACCAACAAAAGGAGGCCTTGCTCAGAAAATCTTAAGAACTTGCTAACCAAGGTGGTATTGTTTGGGGGCAACTGTACAATCTCCATCTAAAATTGGTATAGGAGTTCACAATATGGGGCTTGAAGTATGACATGTCTCTACTGGTGCCACTATTGACATCCCTTCCTCAAGCAGCCAAGGCATGCCAAGCATTGGTCAAGTATGGGTGCAAGGTGAAATGTGGTCCTGGGTGCTTACATTTCAAAAATGGATAAGTATCCACTGCTATGTGCAAATGCCATGGTCAATGCAAGTCATTAGACAAAAAAAGTAGCGGACATAAAATTGAGCCTTGTGGGACTCCAGTTTTCATACAAAAATGATCCAGTGACTTTAACTGCATATGAACATCTAATAGGTACTATTATTAGTCATGTTTGATCAGTATACAACTATTTTGACTTATTAAATTACAACTTTAGTCAATTTTTATGATTTTTCGATACATCGTGGCGGCCATCTTGGATTTTTGGTGAAAAAGTCAATGGATTGCTTGGTGCCACTTCAGGTTTTCAAAAGAATGGTATGAAATTTTGAAATCCACCTTAAAATTGCTTCTATATATTTTTGAAATATTTTCACCTAAATATTCCTGACTATTAATAATATTTGAATCCATTCACAAAATAATTGAAAGTGTACATGCTCTCCACATGTATAACACTTGACATATATTACATTCCTTGTCATTGCTTTCCAGGACGTTTTCTAGTGACACAAATCAAGAAACAGAAAATATGAATCCCCAAGATATATTTAACTCAATTAAAAAGACTACAGCAGACATTCAAAATTTAAATGCATCATATAATGACACTAAAAAGGAGAGAGACAGTACATCACAGGATAGTGGAATACAGAGTTCATTGCCAGATGTTAGTAGGATAGATAGCCCAAGTAACAAAGGAGTAAATCATGCAGAGTCACCCAGGGCTGTCCTTGCTAGACAGCAGTATAATCCAGCTTCATATCAAGATGAGGTAGGTTACTGGGTACATGACGCACCTGAAAATTCTTAAATATATAAGAGATGATACCTGTCAGTTTCATCTCCATTATTTTTTCTTTTGCCGTGCTAAATTCTAACCATGCCTGATTTGGTCAAAATATGTATGTATTTCACCCATTTGACATGGTGCAAATAAGTTTTCAACAGGGTGGCATTTAATTTTCAGACTTTCAAAAGTGTGCAGCTCCCAGTTACTTCGTAGCTGAGGAGGTCACTGCCTTCTCTTGGATGCGTAAATTATTATTATTATTATGATAATGTCATGGTAATAAATAAATGTATAATTTTCATCATCCTAGTAGATCAGAATCAGTGTATATAATGAAAGATAGATGAATTCTTACTGATTAATTGCAGCAAAATAACTACAATCGTGCAGCATTGGCAGAGGCTGTGTTTGATGTTGAGAATGAATTGTTCAATGAAGGTAAGTGTCTGATTGATGTTATAGTCGTTGTACAAGTATAAGTCACACTCTTGTGCAAAGTACAGGGTGATCCAAAAAAGTGGACTAGGGTTATTCTCAATTAACTTATTATCTGAGATAAAGGCTCCTTATTTGGCACAACATGACACTATCATAGATAATACAAGTTATTTCAAGAAAACTCACCTTTTTGTGGTCAACCTGTACATAGAACACAATCCGCACAATATGTACATGTATGTTGACTTGCTCCTAATATGAAGCTCACTGTGGTAACACACGCAAGCATACTAGAAAAGAGATAACTAATAGTTTGTTTGAATGGTTTTGTGAAGATTGCCAAACTATTGATGCATGAGGTAATGTTGTCATACAACTGACACAGTGCTGTTTAATACCAATTATATAGAACTTATCTACAATTATATAGAACAGTAGAACTGATCTGCATGGTTTTGTGCAGTTGAATAATTTCCTAATATTTTTCTTATATAAATACTAAATTGAACCTAAAAATATGCAAATGAATTGTTCTGAGCTAACACCAAGCATCAACTGGAGTGTCTGCTTTATTATTGTGTGTCCCTCACCATAGCAACTGTCATATGAAGCTGACACCACAGTCATATGTAATGTGAAAGGTGATATCTGACCATTGATGACATCATGTTATCATATATCCCTGTCTATATTCTAACTTCCATTCTTGTCATCTCTCTTTCATTCTTCCTTACCTATTAACATGTCTTAGATATGTGTAACTTGTGACATATCTGTCTGTAAAATGTAACTTGAATGTAACAACTGTTACTATATTAACCTCTGTGTACTCTGTCTTTGTTATGTAGCAACATTTTGGTGTGATGGTAATGCATTAGTCATTTCTGAAACATTTGTTAATAATTTGATATTTCTTAGAACTTAACTCTTTGAAGCTTATTATATAATTTTTGGCGCTAATACAAGTTTTGAAATCTTTACTAATTATTATGTAGCAGATTGTCAGAAGATTCAACTTATTCAACATTCAATTTATATGTGCTGTATAATTCAATTGCTCTTCAAATTTAAGAAAGTTAGATGAAACTAATTCTAGCTCTTCGAAAGCTGTTGCTATGCAACATCACTACTATTGTCATTTATTGCACCTATATCTTCATTGCACCTTTGTTTATATCTTCTACTGCATTATGCAAAATGATGTTTATACTTACATTTAGCTATCATTGTTTACCCAATTTTAATTGTACATCTTTTGTTTACCTGTTGCTAACTTACCTATTGTTTACCTGTATTCATCTATTGTTTACCTGTACTTACCTATTGTTTATCTATGTACTTTATCTGTGTCTCATCTTCACCTATCATCTCTTTAGCCCCGTGGAAGGCAATGCTTGGTGTTAAACTCAAACATGGTGAGAATACCTACAATTATAATTAATAATAATATTCCCCTAAATTACTTATAAAATCTGCTTTCAAAATATGTGCATCGCATCCTCATGTAATAATGGACTTATTTTTGCTTATATAATAATTCATATCAAAGGAATTATTGTTCGTATACTGATTGAATTATTAGAATACCAACATCTACTATAAAGGCACTGAATAGCTTGGTAGCATGGTTCTTGAATGCACTTAAAGCATATTCATCACTTTTACTAAATAGCCTAATCACAGGTACTATGTAGACACCATCATATCATTAGCTTGATCACTGTATCATAATTTAAGCTAGTGGCTAAACATATGAGAAATTGAGGCCCCTTGATGTGCTCCATGAGCATAGTAATGGTGTGATTAAGTCTGTATGGTACTTGTGCCAACGATACAAAGGGGGGAGTATTGGCTTGTTTACTTATCAGGCTTCTCTAAGATAATGCTGTGTTTGCACTTAGTAGAAGCTTCTCTGAAAGGTTCTTTTTCAGTATTTTATCTCAAATCAAAATATATTATTTTCTATACCCATTTCTCCAGAATCAACTGATCATGCTGTGGTAGGAAGGTATGTTCCCTTGGAATTATTGTCTCCCTATCTATTGGTTCATGCTGTTGTAGTATTATATCAGTCTCACAAGATTGTGCTCAGTCAGTGTCAGTTATAAGGGTACAATTATCCATGGTGGACAACTATATCTGTTACAGTTGCCCTATATTAACAGTTCCAATATGTTTTCTCCAATCACAGAATTACCAGACCAGCAAGATATGATATCAGAAATCCTAGCAGAACTATCCAATCACAACGAGCGCCAAGAAGAGCGCAAGAATGCCATGTTAACTCTAATAAAGATGACACGGGAAGGAACTATGGCACTATGGGATGAACATTTTAAGACAGTTTTGTTGCTCCTACTTGAAACACTGGGAGATGATGATGTGAGTATTTAATAAATATGAGGAAGAATGCTGATATTTTTTCAGTCAATTTTTATGTCACCACCAGAATTTCTGACATATTGTTATAGTCTCCAACTTTTTTATAAACAGTGTTCAGTGGTTGGTGTTCAGTAGTTGGCACCTGTAACAATTGGCAGGTGGTGACATTTTGGATGTTACTTAATCCCTTGTTTAGAAGTTTTTGATTCATACTTTTGCATAATATTTGTTCACTACAGTGAATTAATTTTTTTGATATTGTTTTTCAATGTGTAGCAAAATGTAATAATTTGAAAAGCATTTTCCAAGTGATTATTGAATGATCTATACACCAAATACATTGAACGTGATTGCATCAAGCCCTCATTAAAGTATGAACACATACAGTATGTATGAAGTAGTCTATGCATGAAACGCATTGATGAAACTGCATTAATGACTGGAACATGAAATTAGATCAATTGGCATGCACAGAATGTCACATTACTAATGCGAACATTTCAAACATTTGTTTGAAATTCAGGTGAATATTTTTGAAAAGTAATTAGTGCAACTAAGTATTAATGTAATTGTATATTGTTAAAGAGTGTCTTACACAATCAATTTATTCTTACAAAATTATGAGAAGTGACATGTGATAAACCATACATTTTATTATATATATTTGCAGGGTCACATCCGAGCTTTGTCTCTGCGTACATTGCGTGAGATAATGAGGCATCAACCAGACAGGTTCAAGGAATATGATGGCCTCACCATTCTCAAGATATTAGAGGCCCATAAAGATTCACAGAAAGAGGTAGGAATGCTAATGATTATCACCCCAAAAAGTCCCATAACAGAATTTTTTAAAGATGTTATTTCTGTAGTGATTCTTTAATGAATCTTTAAATACAGCCATTCTTTACAGAATATGAGAATTGAAAAATTGGCTGCATTCTCAATATAATCTTTAATAAGGGTATGTAGTTGAAACCTGAGTCACCTTCTGTGAAAGTTATTTGACCCCATGGTTTAGGATATGTAACATTTTCCTGATTTATTTGTGCTATTCATATATTGTAGGAAAGCAAAATAATTTTAATATAATTTGCTCAAACATAGTTTACTATTTTTCTTTATCAGGTGGTGCGAGCAGCAGAAGAATGTGCAATGACATTAGCTAAGTCTGTACCATGTGACCAATGTGTGCGGGTACTTAAGCCAATCGTAGAGACAGCTGCGTATCCAATCAACCTAGCTGGTATCAAGATGCTTACCAAGGTAGGGTAACATACATAGCATTCTGTTTTGCACACTGTCCAACGAAAATAGGTTGATAGATTATGCACTGTACAGTGTTTCAAAAAACAATGGCACCCCTCCATAAGATAAAGTAATGCTACATAGTGTTTCATATACAGTACATCAGCATATACATTATATTTGATAAATAAATAAAAGTTGTAACATATTTTTATATATTTGCTGTTAAGTTGCATATGAAAATTAAAAAGAAAATATTGATGGTAGGGTGATCCGAAGAAACAGCTGATTTGTAAAGTAATTCTGTCCAGGTGAAACATTCCTCCTTCGGTGAAAAATGCACCTGATTTTTGTTTTAGGTTGTTGAAGGAATGGAGGATAAAGCTGCCTGTGAGAAGCTGTTGTCTCAAATGATACCTGGTCTGATACGTGGCTATGATAACAGTGAGAGCAGTGTGCGTAAGGCCAGTGTATTCTGTCTTGTGGCCCTCTATAACATCATGGGAGAAGACCTGAAAGTGCACCTAGGAGATCTCAATGGCAGCAAGGTATGTAATCATTACATGGAATGTTTCAATATGGCTGTTTTTACATGGAATGTTTCAATATGGTCATTCCTTTTATATTCGATATTATCTTCTAAAAATATTTGTACAAGTATTCTTATGTTTTTTTGTGAATTGATAATGAAACACATATATCATAGGAGAAACCCATTTCACAGGCACTAACCATGGTATCATTTTGCTTGTTTAGGCATGGTATTATCTTTTTTAGCAAACCCGGTGGTTTTATCAGTTTAACACAAAGCCTGAACAGCCCATGGTTTGTTCAGGTCTGGTTAATATCCATGCTTTTGGATAAATGATATGCACATGAATTGCAATAATATTTCTAGTTTTGCCATTTTGTATGATTCTAATGTATTTCATTTTATAACTTATATGCTTCCTGTTTCCAGATGAAGTTATTGAACTTGTACATCAAACGTGCAAAGTCCCAGTCTACCAGTCCATCAAAGGCAGTCTCTCCTACGTCATCAGATGGTGGTCACATGACAGTCTAGCCTAGCAACACAATGGATTTGATTGCAGTAGACACAATGGTTGCCAAAGGATCAAGAGTGTTTCTATGTGGAAACATAGTAAACAGTGAACTGTGTCTTGATGACATTCACAGTTTGGTAACATAGAACTATGATAATAACACCTGTCACACTGACATCATCATAGTGACATCATCATAATGACATCATCACTGATCCTGATTCATTTGAAACACAGGTGATTTGAATTGGATCACATTTACAGTGCACCCTGATGGTGATAGAGAAATCCTGTTAAATGTTCCATTAAGTAAGGCTCTAAGAGACTAAATGGAAGTACAGTCATAATATAAGACATCCCAAGAGCTTACTTGAAACTGAGGTATAGTAGACGCTAATGCATTCTGCCAGTATGATCCTCCTGTACAGTCTAAAGCTAAATAGAGGAAATCGCAAACTGAGTGTTGGGTGAAGACATTCTTATTAGGTGGAAAACACTATTGCTGTAATTTCTTAATGTTGTTGGATGCAGTCAGTTGATCCTAGTTTACACTTGATCTGCTGGTAAGTCATTGTATAGACAAGCAATTGGACCAGTTGCATCACAGAGTCACTGGACTGGTAAATCATTGAATAAACTAGCAATTGGACCAGTTGCATCACAGAGTCACTGGACTAGTAAGTCATTGAATAAACTAGCAATTGGACCAGTTGCATCACAGTTTCTGGGTTAAAGGTTTGAATGCAAGATTACAACATTATCATATCACAAAACACCACATTAGAAAGCATAGTCAGTCACAGAACTATAACCGGTGCTATATCTACTGTAGTTGCTATTTAAATCACTGTACAGAGACATGGGCAAGTTAAGATGCTCTTTTAGTTGGGTAAAAATCTGAACAAATTGTATGCAAATGCCAATTTATGAATTCTTAATATTGTCAACTGATTGTGCATCAAGGCATCACAGTATATCAATTTATTATTATGTGTTCACTGTTCAGAAGAACATGTACTATATCAATATTTTACCTATCCAGACTTGATAATAGAAATGTAAGGTTGGTAGCTAATACATGTTATATGCTCTATGGAGAAAATCAAAGTGTATCATCTGTAAAAACTGTATATTCTGTAAAGATTAGTGTAATATTGTAAAGATTGTGTTCTGCAATATGTAAGAGTTTCGAGAGAAAGATCGGGTGAAAATCTGAATTTTTGAACCAAATTATTGCATGCAAATTTTGGTTTTATTGAAATATGTTGTTACTTTTTGTATACTTTGGAAAATTATATATAAAATTTTGTAACATGTGAATTAGGATTGTGGAGCAATTTTTTATTATTTATGGAGAGAAATAGTGCATGTCTTGTCTGTATCTTGTATATGTGTATATTTGTACACGCTTTTAACTTCCAATATAAGCCAATATAAAAAGCTGACAATACACCATATTTCTTAAAATGTAATGGCGTTGTGAGAGAGAAGAAATTGAGCATCACAAAACACGTGAGGAGGATGTATTTATCATGGTAAAAACGTATCATTTTAATTGTAAATTAAGTTTTAACAATTTTATTTTACATACGATCAGATGTGACATCCATGAATTTGCTGTTAAAACTTTTGTGAAGTACATGTAGTTAACATGTATATGGATGTTAAATGTTTTAAGTTTTATTTTATTTGTGATCTTCTTTGTACAGAAGGACAGATTATCCCTTGCTAGAGTCACTTATAACAAGTGGGGGACTTTCTGTCCCTGTGTGTATAGAGGATGACTTTTCCCGAGACGATGAACAAGGAAGGTTGGCTATTTGTTCTTATATTATTATTATTATGTAATGCCAATTTTGTCATGTCTTGTGGATATAAACATTACAATATATGATACTGACATCAACATTAAAATTATGTTTCTGTTTCATTATTTATGAGCTCTGGTGTCTACATCTGTCTGAAATTAAGGAGGAGAATTTTAATGGAACAAGAAGCGGTTATTATCACCTATTCCACCAGAATTCAAAACATTGAAGTTCTGGCTTTGACTATTAAAATATTATTCTCAGGCTCTCAGTTTTTATAAATGATTATCAGTCATGTGACATGGAAACAATTTACTGAATCTATCAATAAGAGTGCCTCAGTAGTTAATGAATAGTGAAGGAACTTTTGGCCAATGTACACCCCTACACTGCTCCCTCTGCCTGTCTTGTTGCATTATTGAATCACTCAATAGACCTCCAGTCTGTCCTTCAATCCTGTCCCTCAAACTATAGATTTCATTTCAAGATGAACCCCACCCTTTAAATGATTTGTTCTATTTCCTAAGATAACTGGAATTCAAATGATGCATCTCCATGGGTTGTATGACTGAGTTTTACATAAGCAGCCTATCTATGATATTGTATCTTTCAAGGTCCAATGTCCCTCAATCCTCCTGTATGTTATCAATTTTTCAAAAGGGATAAACACAATATTATCTCATGGCATTTAATTTCGTATTTAAAGAAGCAAAACCGGAATACCAAAATTACCATTTCAATTTTTCAAAATAATTACAAACTTTTGATATGTGTGTTTAAATCTCATCCAATGAGAAATAATTGTTTTATTTTTCATATCTATCAATGGTTTCAATCACCCTTGAAAATAATTAAATCACGTGCGTCTTTAAATGTCAACATACGGTTCCCTGTTTGTCATACCTAACTCTACGCAAGGGGGTACTTTATAACAATGATCTGGTAAACAATTGGTTAATCATTCACTCCATCACTCGGATTTAGCTTTATGGCTTCTTGTGGTTCTCATAAAGTTGAATTTGAATCAGAGTTACTGTTGGGTGTATTTACAAAATCATGGCGGATTGGATATTTCATTTTCTAGGGGCATTACTGTGTGTGACAGGTATTGTGATTTATCATATATTTTATTGTATAACATAATTATATATATTTGTATAAATGGCATGTGGACAGTTACTTTGTTTTTAGATCTCAATTGAAATCTAGATAAATAGTAATATCATATCTCTCTTGATTAGGGTGTATGACGCATGATGGAAATCTAGCCAATTTACAGATTGACAGTCTAACTTCGTTGGACCTAAATTTCACCAAAAATAATTGTTCTGCCTTCTTACATCTTTTGACTGATCATTTCAAGGAATGATGGATAATAACCACATTTTGATATAATTTGGGATAGTTTGAGAGATTTTGTGCAATACTTAAAGATAATCCAAGGAGGAACAACATGACGCCAAGTGCTAACTTCCCCAACTATCACTACCTTGAAGGATTACTAAACCCTTCCATGCCTTTGCTACATATGATTTAAAGAAAACTACTATCATACCATGGGCTCCCATTTGAATTTTAAGTTACCCATAATAATGGCCATCAAATCAAGACTAGCATTACTAGTATGAATAAAAGACATAAAATCTACCTAAATAGTACACTTTTTCATTCTACGGTTGCCGACGAAATTCAAGATTAATTTAACTTCCTGAAACAAACATTGATACTAGTATACTATTGACGCTATTTACGATCCCTTTACACCCATTGATCTTTGTACAGTGATGTAAGATTCAAGTGACAAACCGCATTGTCAATTTCAATGTCAATCTATTTGTTAACAGGTTAAACCTTCTAATTATTGGGTATTAGACACAACAATACAATACAGTAACATATTTATACAATAACAGACTTACAATTGCTCCCAAGCAGGGTCACTTTGGATTTACATAATTTAATTTCAACATCATTATAAAAGTAATTTGGACACTTTTTTAAATCGTAAAGCACTTACATTTTTGTGTTGTCAAAAGAAATATGTAGCGAGGTTTGTGTTTGTTATTTCACCAAATCAACGTTAGAATGGAAATTATGAGAATGATAGAAGAAAATGGTTCTACATGTTAAGAATTGGTTCTTTCCTAGCTTTTTAAAAAGTAAACGTCTCCCTTTCAATTCTAATATATCAGTTTTCAGGTCTTGATTGTAAGAGACACATTGGCAGCTATCACTGTACACATTCTTTCCTTTACTTTATAACACTTACATAAATATCTCCCGAAATTGGATCTTTTTGTCCATTTTCTCGCGATAATGTTGTCATAACAATTGACTAGATGCGAGTAGAAATAATCATGATTTACGTCATTAGATATTCAAAATTCTACATATAAAAGTACATCTAGAAATATTGTTTCGAAAATTGTTTATCAACTTTGAAAATTTAATATTTTTGAAAATGTTACTTCGAGTTCGGGGAGATTCCCCATAGGCCCCATGTTATAAAATCACAAAAAATGAAATATCTTTTCTTGTATTGGACAGATAACATTTTCTTTTACTGGACATATTTTAATTTGCATAACTATTAGATAGATAAGGGTGTCGTGATATGAGAATTGAACCACTAAAACAGATGTAATTTTAGTTAAAGGGAACTTTCTACCATACCCGCCTTGCTATCTGGCCCAAACGAGCGACCTAGACGAATTTGAATTATTACAAAGATCGTTGTTTTAGGTGCACTGTGTCAAACTACTATTGATGTAGAAGGCCCAACCGGACCAGTATTGGAAGGCGAAACAGTTACATTTACATGTACTATAAGCCCAGCTCTCCCGAAGTTCCAACCACCACATGTCATCAAATATGTCGATTCCGTATCAGAACCCTATTTTAAAACAATAAGTGGAGATGCTGGACAGAAAGTAAATTCTCCGTTCGAAGAGACTGGTAGATATAGTATTCAATTCGAGGAGGTCGAAGGCAAAGGAGACGTCGGCACTATCACAATTACAAACGTAAAAGCGGAGGATGGAGGAGGTAGTATTGGTTGCTCCGTTCCCTCCTTACCCAATGAACCATTCAGTGTGACAGCTTTGGAGGTGCTTGGTAAGACCTTTTTAGGATAAATGTAGTGTAAAAGTAACAACATGAAACCGACCATGGCAATTTACAACCATTCACATAAACACGAGGTTGTAAGTCATGATCCTTAAAAAGTATTCACACACTAGGCAAGGTGTGTTCGATTCCAGCCAATCCGAACACAATATTTCATATAACTATGGTGCATTATATAACCAATCACCGCATCCAAGGACATTCCTTATGTCGTTGCCAGGCTGACAACTTGACTCTACAGATTGAAATTGATACTTTGCCAACTTGACTGTTGCAAAAAGGTTCATTGAAAGGACGTTCTTTTAGTGATTGCATATCTTTTAAGTGACATGGTAGAAAATATCTTGCAATGTGTGAAATGTATTGTGGAATGACCATTCCTTTCAGGCGTTGTTTCCTAAAATTAACACTCAACGTTGCGTATCTCGTGCAAAATTTGGAAACCAACACAGACAATGTACCAACTTCCATGAAATCTGTTGGATTTCTCCTAATCTCATTGCACTGTATTTATATGTTCATATTTACATTTCAGGTGGGCCAAAACAAGTTTATTTCAGCAACATGACGGATGGCTCTGTCCTGCACGTGAAAGAAAACGATAGGGTCAATCTTGAGTGCCATTCAAACGGTTCTAACCCCGCCCCTGAGTTGAAGGTCTACCTTATGGGTAGAAATAACAATAATGTTAATCTCACAGAAACCTGGGCAAGATCATCGACTTATCCCGTTCCTATAGATAATAATGATGGACTGGTAGGTACTGGTCTATTATCCGTTTTGAAAACCTCCAGAGTAAAACTGTACCAGTAATAATTATCGTGTTTGCCTATCTTTGCAACCATTCGGCCGCTACGGTGAATGAGTCGTCAATCGAGAGTGAAAAATAGCGAGTCATGAGTTTGCCTGTTAGTTTCAGTTTGGTGTTTGCAGTGTATTTTGATCTCACTTTCCTTATCACTCTCACCGATTTCATTTTCCCATCCAACTATATCTAAACGTCTCCCGGTAGTGAATCTATTGGTAACTGGTCAACTCGTACCCAAGACAAGTCGTACCCAAGACAACTCGTACCCAAGTATATATTTTGTTTTGAATCAAGCGTTGGACTGGGAATGTGAATAGATATACATATTATAATTGTAACATACTGTTCAGAATAGTTTAAAGTTTGAAGAAGAATTTTTGGAAGATATTGATTTAATTTTGTGACATTTTGAACTGAGTGTCAATTTATATTGACTATTATTTTATATTGGTCACAGATTCAGGATGTTCGAGTGAAGAGACATATGTTTATTCCACATATTCATAATCATTTTTCAAAATATTGTATGTTTATGAGTGTTTGGAACAAGTGTCAGATCTAATGTTGTAATTATATTTATTTATATATATGTTTGACAAAATAATGTTGAGAACAAGCGCTTCAAGCACTTCTTTTATTTAAAAATGCTTTACTGATCCAGTGAGAAAAAATGTCTTCTAAATTCAAAAAAATATATGAATATTGAGGCTTATTTGATTCACATTATAACATGAAAGCATTACAGACTCAAGTTTTTCCCTAATATGCACCCATAATACTGAAAATAATCTTGGTACGAGTTGTCTTGGGTACGAGTTGTCTTGGGTACGAGTTGACTAGGAAGCAATCTATTGATACCAGGCAATCCTTGATTTTCAAGTTAGGACCGCGTGATTATTAGATGTTAATATTATAAGTTGTCGCAAATAATTTGTTCATCCCCTTCATGCATTTCATATTGATCCCTGCAGGTGAAGATCATGCATCATGTATGGCTGCACAACCTTGAGAAGATAGAATATTTACACAACAAAAAGAACTTGAGATGTGAAGCGACTGTGCCTGGTCTTCCTACGAAATCATCACAGATCACAATTGATGTTTTATGTGAGTAACGAATGCATTCAGATATAGGACACCATCTGCGTAATATAAGCTTGTTGTAAAATTGCCCAAATTGATTATTGATGAATTTGAGCAAAGAGCATCAGAGACCACTAGTTCAATAGAATATGTAAAAATCCATGGTAGCCTACTCCAAAAAAACAACAGGGCCTTTTGTGTTTTCAGTTGCTCCCAAGTTTAACTGTAGCAGAGTACAATACCCAGAGCCTGGCAATAGAGAAGCGAGGATATCATGCGACGTGGCTGCCAATCCAGATCTGATCAATGATGAGACGATTGTTCAGTGGCAATGGACGGAGAACGAGAACATGCAGACACTGAACCCAAAGATCAACCAGATGAATGGAGAGTATAGGGCACAGATGATGAGAGTGAGTTAAAACATGTTTGGGCATTACATCATTCAAAGGGATAATGTACACATTTGGAACATCCATCTAGAAACTGGAAGGATGTCAAAATCGGCATGCTGCCTGTAGTTGAAATCTGTTTTGTCATATAAACTGTTTTGCCATATATGAAAAGGTTTCAAACACTATTAAAGTCAATCGCAATGTCAAAGCTTATGGGATTATCATGAGTATATCACTTGTGGATTGTTCGATCCTTCCTTAAAACTCCACCTTAGAACTAAACTCACTGCATGGAACAAGTTCGTGAATTATATGTACATGTATACCATCCAATTTGTCTATTTCCAAATGGAATTTTGTGTTTGGGAGAGAATAGGGAACAATTTAATTGCTTAATTCATGGATTTTGCTTGTAGAATGTCTCTATAATGTTTCATTGATGTAGAAGCTTGATTTACCAACAACTGAATTATTTGCTTGTTTTGTCTCGGCGTTTAGTCAAGTGCAGATGACAATATTGTGAAGGTTGAGTTGGAGATCACTCCGTTGGATAGCAGCCACTACAGACAATATAACATTTATATAAGCACCAGTGACACACAGGCCACATATAACATAACACTGGCACAAGGTAGGTTGTAAAGTGGGTTTCGCGGAAAAAGATTTTGTTCTTGTTTTAAAGGTGCAATAATTAGTGCAGAGGGGTCATTCAACGATCATGGACCAGTGTCAAAATATATTTAAGTTTGGATATTTCATCAAGACTAACATCTATTTTTATTATCTACAAAGAAACCCCCTAGATAAACATTATTTTAGCTGATATTCCTCTTGAAACATGGTGGATCTTAAAATTATAAAAGTGGAAGTCCCCTTTGTGAAGCTTTGAACTGAATTTACACTTCTTAATGCTGAAATTGATAATTTATCCATACATTTTAAGAAAACAGGTATGTCAAAGAAGATGTTAAACCAAATGTTGCCTTGATAGCTCAGAAAAATGAAAAAACTTTCCTATTTTCTCTACAGTCTTTATTGCCCCTTTAAATTGGTCCAACAAGAATGTCAAACATCATGGACCTCTATCCCTCGTTTAACATTATAAGCATAGTTCCATTCCATGTGTTGCTTGTGTCATCAAACGATTGGCTGGCTAGTCTTTAGATTATCTGAATACTTCCAACATGACAATATCTTCATGCATCTTGTCAAATTGTTGATCAGTGCGTATTTTATGTTCCAGGGTCCACCAATACAGCACCAAGCAGACGATGCAGTAGAACATACATAGACTTTATAATAACGTCATTAGTGCTAACATTGGTCGCCAGTCATCTTAATTAAATCACCTTCCATTCCAAACGTTTTTATTGTTTTATCGGCTAAAATCATTTCAACTTTCACCCTAAACAACGATGAATATTATTAAGGATATGTTAGGATCTACCTTTCATCGCTTTGACAGGTAGAAGATCAAGGAAGGTGGAAATTGGTACCATCACTATGACAGGTAGAGGTTCAAGGAAGGTTGGAATTGGTACCATCACTATGGCATCGGCTAAAATCAATTTTAACTTTTACCCTAAACAACGATGAATATTATTAAGGATATGTTAGGATCTACCTTTCATCGCTGTGACAGGTAGAAGATCAAGGAAGGTGGAAATTGGTACCATCACTATGACAGGTAGAGGTTCAAGGAAGGTTGGAATTGGTACCATCACTATGGCATCGGCTAAAATCAATTTTAACTTTTACCCTAAACAACGATGAATATTATTTAGGATATCCTTGGATCAATTATATTTTAAGAGTTATTTTCTAAAGATACCCTTGTTTATTTCAGCTAGATTTTGTGTTCTTGATAACAAAGAGTAATAATCAATGGATACGAAACGTTACTCAGAATAAACAACACCACATACTAGTATCCTGTGAATGTTGATATGGTAAATGATAGTAATATTTGAACATCAAGTATTCAATAAATATATAACTAGCACTATTGATTCAAATATTCAAGAATCATAGGGATATAGGTAAACACTCCACGAAAAGTTAAATATTAAAAGAATTAATGCCATGGTTGTTACAAATTAAAAACTTGCTGGTCCTGACATCACATTTTAGGGGTACTTTATCCCCCTCTACCTCTCTTTAGCCTATCTTTGGGGTGCATCCATCAATTGTTCATTCAATATATTATATTAGCTATTAAATATATTAATGGATGGTAAATAATAAGGAATTTTCTCTTATCAATTTTATGACCAAAGTCCGCTTGTAAACCAAAATGGCGCGCGTACACTACCTGACGTTATTGGCTTTTTCTATTACATGTAAGTATATTTTATCACTTTCATAGAATATTATAGAAAGACTTTTTTGTTCTAATTTGCCGTGATATTAAATTCTTGCTAAGATTCAGAGCACATTCTTTTATTTGTAGCTGTTATGATTATAAAAAACATATTTATATTTTGAATCATGGACGAGTACCGGTTGGTGACGTGATCAGAACTATTAAAACATAAATGTATCTCTACCTCTTTGCTTCAACACATTTTTCTATTTGACTGTACTATAGTTGTGGATTTATGTTTCATTACATTTCAGTACATTATCATGTAATAGGCTTTGCATCACTCGTTTGTAATTATTGCTTGTTAGGTGTTGTGCTTTGTGTTGAATTTGGATTTTTAACATGTATTTGGGAATATTATACGATATACAAGGAGATAAGTGGAACCTTGCTTCTGACTTTTATTTATGGCACATTCAAGTCCAAATAGCTGTTAAAGGAGATAAAAAGATGATTTAAGGTCACAGAGGAACCCAACACCCAAATTTTGTTTGTCACCACACTACAATGTTAAACACTCACTTGTGTAACTTAAACATTCTTTATTTGTGCCATTGCTAATGTCGTTTACTCATTTATCATTCATCTTAATAAATATAAATACCGTATTAACCTGTTGAATCACTATTTTTATATTAGTCCATCGAGGCTGAGGTGTAATTACTCTAGCAACTGAATTTCATTTTTTAAATTGATGAGAATCGTGATCAAATATGAAATGGTATCTTAATGAATGTCATTGAAAAAATAAAAAAGGTCGTTTCATTGTCTTAACACTTCACTTACTGAATAAACTTTAAGTTATTGAATGATTTGAAGTGCAATGTAGGATATGTTCTGCTCGAGAAATTCCGTATTGGAACGAGACGAAGTATACATACATACGTATTTGTATTGTTTCCTTGTGTTTTATGCCTTCAAAAACCACCATTTTTGTCAGTTTGCGTGTGCTATCAGTATCATCTATATTTTACTCTTTTAACTCTTTTTACTGTCTTTATTGTGGTTTTGCATCAAGTCTTCTACCATCCCAATCACTATACATTACCACCAAGTAAGTCATATCTGAGGTTATATGGGGGGGGGGCAGGAGCTTGATACAAGACTATCTTTAATAATAATGTTCCACTGTTGCAGATGTATCCTCGCAGGTCACCCTCACCGTGACGGGCCCCACAGCACCGGTTAAAGAGGGCGACACTGTTGTCTTCACATGTACTTTCGTCGGAGGCCTGCCAAAGTTTAAAATCCCCCATGTTATCAAGACGGTAGATGGAGATACAGGCGACCCCTATCCTATCAGCTTAGATACAAGGATTATTGTACCACCATTTGGTGCCACAAATCGATATTCTGTCAGTTTTCGAGAGGAAGGAAATAACCTGGATATCGGTACTATTACCATAACAGGTATGAATACTAGAATGTAGGAATTGAGTATTGGCACTACCACTACCACTTGGTACCATTGTCAGGGATACCAGAACGTGGTAAATTGGTTCCATAACCATAATAGGTAGGGATGTAGGACATGCATACTGTGTGTACAAACCCTTTGCATTCGATCAATTAGCTTCTTAAAATAAGGTTAGTAATTCATAAACTAGTTTATAACTAGACTCTGCGCCGCAGGGTATGTATACATAATGTATGTATACAAGATTGGTGCTTTTGGATTAGCACCTTAATAGGTAAGAATGCTTGACGATGTGAATCTGTACCATCACTATGACAGGTAGAGGTTCAAGGAAGGTGGGAATTGGTATCATCACTGTGACAGGTAGATGTTTAAGTAAGGTGGGAATCGGTACCATCATTATGACAGGTAGAGGTTCAAGGAAGGTGGGAATCGGTACCATCACTTTGGCAGGTAGAAGTTTAAGGAAGGTGGGAATTGGTATCATCACTGTGACAGGTAGATGTTTAAGTAAGGTGGGAATCGGTACCATCATTATGACAGGTAAAGATTCAAGGAAGGTGGGAATCTGTACCATCACTATGACAGGTAGAGGTTCAAGGAAGGTGGGAATTGGTACCATCACTATGATAGGTAGAGGTTCAAGGAAGGTGGGAATTGATACCATCACTATGATAGGTAGAGGTTCAAGGAAGGTTGGAATTGGTACCATCACTAACAGGTTGGGGTTCCTTGAAGATGGGAATCGGTACCGCCACTTTAACAGGTAGAATGCAAGGGGGTGGGAATCTTTTATAATTTTCAGACATATTAAAAGATATAATAGGAAAATAGCCTTGGTCTGTTTAGTAAAGCCATACAAGAATCAGGTGTAAAATGACATCTGAAGTATCTTTTTTGAGACTAAAGCACATTTATGAATAAGAAGCCCAAGGCTTACAACAGCAGCTTGTTTAAGTGAAAAAACTTCAAAACGTTAGCTTAGTGCATGAATATGAAATATGATTCAAAGTTATTCTATGAAATATTCAATTTTAAATAAATACTGTCTAAAACTCCAGCACAAGACATAATGAGTGTTTCAACTGTCTCAACTTAAATTGTAGGCGTACAGGGTGAGGACGGTGGAGGTGGGATTGGTTGTAGCGTCCCTGGTGAGGTTAGCCCCGTTACTGTCCCACTAGACGTCATGGGTAAGCGTACCACGTTTAACACGGCTCAGGCTCTAACATACAATAAAATATAGAATGGGCTCAGAGCAATGTAAAATACATAAATACAGATCAATAATAAAAACATTGGTCTTGTCATCGTTTGATCACCATGTTACAAATACATAGTGTGTTATTTTTTCAGTTTCACCAAAAGAAGTTTACTTCAATAATGTCAATAATGCTTCATCTGGGAGTGTGATTAAAGTGAATGAATATGACCGCGTGAATCTAGAGTGCCACTCTAATGGGTCTAATCCAGCACCAGATATGAAGATCTTCCTGATTGAAAATGCAAACAACTACCTGAACTTAACCGAATCTTGGTCCAGAAGGTCGCAGCAGCCGGTCCCTCGATACAATAACGATGGGCTGGTAAGTGCAAATCTTTAAAAAATGACATGTAAAAAATGATGTATCACTGGGAAGAAAATCAAAGGGATTGGTCTATAAAAAGCATCTGTGTAAAAAAGCGTCGATTACTTATTGATCACCCCTCGTATTTTAAGCATAGACTATTTTAACATTCTTATACTCATAGGTCAAGGGAAAAATATTAAGCTCAATATAGAAGCTCACGGCTACTTTTCCCTTTGCCCGTACTGATACTCAGATCTCCTTTCTTACCAGTCTCCGAGCCTTTCGTCCAGTACCATCCGTACCTCCTGTGCCTAGGTAGTGAAGGTACGCAACGAACGAAATGAATTTTGAGAATGCTTTCTTACGTCCGACACAAAGGTAACCAAGGTAATATGCATATTTGTGTTTACGGGTGACCAAGGTAATATGCATATTTGTGTTTACAGGTGACCATTCTGCATCACACCTGGATGAGCAACATTGAGACGATCGAGTATTACCACAACAGGAAGGAGCTCAGGTGTGATTCCAGTGTCCCCAATCTGCCAACCAAATCTGCATCAATCACGTTCGACGTTATTTGTGAGCATACATTATTAATTGATAACACAATAAATCTTTGCCTATGTCAGAAGGAAGTACAGTATGTTATATACAGAATATCACATCATTTTGAGTGATATCATTTTTATCGCCGAGTTGATATCAAATATCAACACGAGTGAGCGAAGCGAATGAGTGTTGATATTTGATATCTACGATATCTATATTGTCTGCCGATGTCCTGGAAATTGGATCAGAACATCACAAGGTGGTTGTAATCATGGGATAAACCCAATATCACATAATTTCTCGTGATATAATTTTATCGCCTCGTAGATATCAAATATCAACACTCATTCGCTTCGCTCACTCGTGTTGATATTTGATATCAACTCGGCGATAAAAATGATATCACTCAAAATGATGTGATATTCTGTATATATACTATTGTTGTTTCAGTTGCCCCAAAGTTCAACTGTAGCCAGATCCAGCACCCACTTTCTGGTAATAGGGAGGCGATGATATCATGCCCTGTTGCTGCCAATCCAGATCTGATCAATGATGAGACAATTGTTCAGTGGCAATGGACGGAGAATGAGAACATGCAGACTCTGAACCCGAAGATCAATCAGGAGATGAGGGAGTATAGGGCACAGATGATGAGGGTAAGAAACAAGGTGATACATTGTGGGGTAAAGGTTATCTCATAGTGATTCTCCTGGTCATTCGTTGACCATACGTCTTGCCACATTGGACTTATTTAACTGTTTCATCAACTGCTGTAGGATTTTAAAAAGCGGAGTTCCGTGAGAAAGGACCTCTAGTCTCATGTGGCAAAATTGAATGTTTCTTAGTCTGATTTTTCACAGATTCCACAAAAACAAACAACCTCAAATTGATCAAAATATGCTGTTAGATCTCATGAAAATATCATCAAACGTGTTTTCTCATATCTCTTGTCAAATTTTAACTAAGCTTCCAGTCTTGTGGCAGGATTCTTTATGTGGAAACATGTCCGCCTCTTCATTTGCCATAATAATTTCATACCTTCCTTTCTAAACGCACGTTACTTTTTCGTTTTTTAAAACAATTAAAATTGAAATTTATTTCTGAAATGTTTTTCAGTCTGACCAGGACAGTAACGTGGTTAATGTATATCTTGAGATAAGGGATCTCGCCAACAGTCACTACAGAACCTACAACTTGTATGTAAAAAACAACAGATATGAAGCCACACACAACATCACTTTAGAAATAGGTAATATACTCAGGATGTCATATTTGTATGTAGTTTGGGTATCACGTCCCGTACGAGTCACAGCCACATGCTAATCGAGCGTTTTGTTCATCTTGTGTATAAACATCGTGCAACTTCGTCAGATAGTCATCAGATAGATGCATGATATCCTCCAACTTTATGCTCTACTTAATAATATCATTTGTATTTTATTTTCCAGATAGAACCAGTGGAACATCAACTCTCTCATTCACTGGATATCTCATGTCAATTATGTCAGTTCTGTTCGTTTTGACCACTTCATGGGTGTAACTCAACTGAGAATCATAGGACACCAAGACGTCCATAAGGGATAGAGACTCGGAAATATAGACTAGACCAACACTAGTAATGTAGGTCTCTGCACACGTGACTCGAAAGTAAAGATCGGAAGAATAAACACAAGGATGGGATACTGTTCATAACATGGTTCTGGATGTACAAACTGTAAATAAAGTATGAAAATGCATTCATAATTGGATTAATACAAGATTTGCAATGATTTGAAATACAGTAGGGTTTACGTATTGTAATTCTGGTCCGTATGGATACAGATAAATGTACATTCATGGACATAAGCAAATTACCAAAAACAACTGCACACCAGACTCGGAATAGGAGGAAATTATAGTTAACCAAGTACTACAGTGTATAGATGTTTCTGCTTCCCCAATAGCGTTCTAATATCCCCTTTGTGATTCCACATACACCTCTACATTTTGTACATAGATACATGGCTGATGTTGATACGTTTAATGAGTCTGAAAGAAATTTTGATAAAGTTTGAAAGGTGTTCATAAGAGAGGGGTGGACGGATATTTTATCGTACCTTCATTACTTTACTGTAATTTGATGTAATGATCCTGTTTACCACATAGAGATTATGTAATTTTGGTAAGCTTGTCGCAAAAATAAAATGAACGTTGCACATGACTAATCTGTATAGTATGAGACTGTAGATGCAAACTTCTAGGCCAAATTTTTCACATTTTTGTACAATTTGAATAAAAATAATATATTGTAGATAAATATAATTTATAACTAAAAACCATATCGTTCTATGTTAATACCTACCATTTCCAACAGTTTCGATTTTGATTTTTTAAAAAAGGGCTTCATCGACACCATATTAACTGGGCTCTGGGCCTCAGTCAGGTTAATACCACAGGGAAGAGATAAGAGAGAGTGTCTATTATCACTAAGATATTACACGGACGGAGTCATTGTTTTGTCGTGTCTAATATCAGTTAAAGTTGTTCTTGTGTGTTGTGCCCTAAGTACAAAAGTCTGTAGTATATAATAAAGGCGAATCTTTCATTTTCAAGAAGTAAAATATACTATTCAAAGTGCTCTGTAATTAAGTATGTTGTTAAGGTCTCAGATCTTCAAATAAAGAGAGAACACAAAATAACGATAATTAAAGTACTAGACCCATGGTAATAAGACAATACAGTCCACTATTGACTCTAGTAAGGGCATTGAATCTATAAGAAAGTGATAACGCCTGATAGAGCATCATCGGGGGACAAAAGTCCACTTTCTCCACAGATTAAATACATCATTGGCGCTGTTAAATAATATGTAACTTTTATAATTTCTGCATTTTCTATTGTTTGGGATATTGTTTATGGTGAATCGGATTTTTGGAACACAGGTAATTTTCTTTCTATATCCTAATATGTATTTTGGTTTTGTATCAAGGGGAGGTGACTTATGTGATTTAGTGCTATTATTTAGATATTGTACACCTTGGGTGTGAATAAACAAAAAAAATGAAAGTAGTCTGAAAGCCTACACAACACATGCAGTAAATTATGATGAATCAACAACACCAACGCGAATGGATGTTCAATTCTTGAGGGGATAGTGTCTGTTTATGGTTATGTACTAAAATACATATCAATATGTCATTTGAATATACTACTTGATGAGTTAATCATTTACAAGATGATTTTACTTAAAGTCCAAAGACTAGAGTAACAAAATCGGAAAAGGCATTCAAGTTGTGCAGAATTTGGAGACGTCAAACTGAAAATGAGACCTCCGAATGTCAAGGAGCAGTTTATGATCACAGCAGATGTGGTCATCCCAACATTGTGGACCTTGTCCATCACTCTCTTGTACTTAAAAGGCAAATTAAGCAAAGCCGTACTCTTGGGACATTTCACCGGGAGTTTGATAGGATGCACCTGGGAACTCACTTGGAAGATATTGGGAGATGATTTCCTGAAAGATTCCACTGATTTTGTGAACCCAATAGCAGGATGGTATACAAAGATTCTTCATTCTTTATGGGACGGTGGGATTTTCTTGATAGGGGTACTACTATGCTATATGATGCTCCAGAAGAGACCGTTGTTCTTGGAATATTCCGCGAAGGAGTTTCTAGTGATGCTTATATGGGGACAGGTTTCTTCGTTCATAGTGGAGAGCATGTGTAATGGAGTCATCTGGGAGTACCAAGTTCTGCCTTGGAACCCTGCCTATTTAACTGTAGGAGGTGTGTCATATACTGTGATACCACAAGCTGTATGGCTCGTGGCACCATTGGCATTTTACAGCATATGGGTGCCATTGTTCAGAAAGTTCGGTCATGTGTACTACAAATAGCACTAGACATACTAGACAGTCACCTGGAATTGACTTCATGGCAGAATCAAATTTTGAACAACTACATAAATCACTAAATGAATTTATGATTTATTGTATGATTTATCAAAATACATATTTATAATAAATAACATCAAATAATATAAATGTAAGCTACTTGTTAAATTCCTAGATAAAATTCCTAAATTACTATAATATCACTAAGGCTTTCTTGAAGTGTCTGAAGCATGGGCCGGCGAATGTTATGGGCGTGCTTTTCCTTGGTATTGATGCCTTTGGTGATACAAAACGTGGGAGGCCAACTACTTCCATACTGCAACAAGATACCACCTGGCCAGCCCACAACGGGTAAGCCGTAGAAGTCTCTGGTTCAATTACTATAACATAAAAAAATTAAGTAATAAATATGGAATTTGAGACTGGGATAAAGTGGCATACACTTTCGGTATATAACCATACATTAAATATTAACTGAGTCAGTCATTATAACTATATCACATAGCAAGTTGTTAATCATAATTTTCTGACCTTGTTAATAATAATAGAATGTGACTTCAACTGGTGCAAGGAAAACATTTCTGTACTTATTTCCTAATTTGACTGAATTTTCCCGTAACAAAGGTCCTCCTCTACCCGCACTTCCTCCTAGCTTCTATACTAAAGTAGAAATGAAGATTCTCAACAGGGGCCGTGCCATGGATGTTGAGCAGTACTTTGATGGAAGGAACCAAAGAGCTTCAATCCGGATGACCCAGGGTGGCCAGGATACGATGTCTATCATCAATTTCCCTACCAACGAGCTCTTCAATGTGTTTGGTATGTATTACTTCATGCGATCTATTTACACGTTAATGAGAGTAGTGAAATCATTCTTCCTAACACCGAATCATTATTTATTTAACTGAATCTTCAATTGCAGGTACGAATTGCGGTGTTCAACAACTGAATGAGACTGATTTTGCCAGATTGTTTATGGAAATGGGGAGTACAACAACCAATCCAGTCTATTCCTCCAAGGGGGCTTTGAAGTTTGGACCGGAATATGGACAGGTATTGCGGCAATCACATTTATTTGGATTTATAGACGTAATTCCATTATTTAAGCCGTTACTTGCATTTGTACCATTACAAATTACATTACCAAATCTATAACTAAACGTAAACGTACTTTGGTTGGAGGACTGACATTCATGTTTGTTTTCAAACCTGCCAAATACGAATCCTTGTTTTTTGTTCAGAAATATATTGGTTTGGAGAGGGTGCGAGGTATGCCTGTCAACCATTGGCAAAGTTGTCACCAGTGGGAAAGAGAAGGCTACACGACCACGTTCACAGTTGATTACTATTTCACAGGCAAGAACCTTAATATGAGTAAATGCATAGCCAATCTAAATTGCAAAAGAAATACAAACATCGCAAAGTGTCTTAGAAAGATAACTGATATAAGACGTTAAATGTCTAAAATTGTGAGACTGTATCTAGTCTAATATTTAGTAAACGTTAACGTTCATTCTCTCCCGTTTCTCCCTTCCATACTTGGAGTCAGATTTTTAAATGAGGGCATTACTAGAAGAAAGGACTGAATTTCTATTAACTTTACATGTTACAGCGGCGAACTGGTCGGACGCGGAATCAGCGACTCCTGGATCCCAATTCCCAGTAAGGGCGGTAATAATGGGACGTAATGGAGAAGATGGTGAGGAATTCAATCACATGTATGACTTTGTTCTCTTTAAGGATTATCCATCCATAGATGAAGCAGTGTATCAAGTAGGTATTTCTCACCATAATACATGTAATTATAACTTCTGGTTTCTGGTCTTGAAGAAGAGGCGCGTGGGTCTTTTATTCTCTGGACAACCGTGGCGTATAATATACACTGCAATCTCGGGAACTTACAGTCCATGATAATCTATACGGTGTGCTATTGTAGTTTTGAATCTAGATTTAGATGCTTGATGTGGGGAACAATGGAGTATGATAAAATGCAATTTCGATCAAATTACATTTAGACGTTTCATTTTCAGACTCCTTCGGGTGTATACTGTGCTGGGAGGACATCAACTCTGAAAGTACCGCAGTTGGGGGCATCATTCCGATTCAACGAGGAGATTCTCCTAACAGACAGAAATATCATTGAAAATGCAGAGGTAAACATATGCTGGTACAAGCTCCAAGTCTTTTTCGTATTTATTAATCTTGATAGTTACTTCAACTTTATAGACCACTCCAGTTTGATATTTCATGATATATATGAACTAACAACAACTATTGTGTCTCATTTTAGGTGTGGTATGATTTTGATAGCAGATTGTTGAGGTTTGACTTTGGGTTCAAGGGAGAAGCTAAATATCCAACAGCATTGACAGAGGTCCATGATTTCAATACAGGTACTACATGACAATGTCTGATGGCTGTCACACATGGTCACATGACATCTGAAAATAAGTATTACTTAAGACTCGCCATCTCGACCATGGGCGTTTATTTGAAACAGGTGTACATTAAAAAGGAAAAAATCATTGGAAAGGCCAATCAGCGTGCTTTCATTGAGAAAATGAGTATACTATGAAGTGGCAGACGTGGCCATACATTTTCGAATCACTTTCGTCATTATTGACCCGCTGCTCCACCACGTCAATGATTTGCTTTTTGTGGTCAATCTAGCTATTTTTCGACCCAGTGATTGTGGATATGTCTCGACGGTAAGCTTTGTCCAGACTTTTGTATATAATGTATCTCTATTTTGCATATAGGTGTAGCCTATAAGAAAGACAGAGCAACCGGGCGGTGTAAAATAGAAGCACTGGGAAGTCGATCGTTTGATACAAAGCAACCAAGTCTGAGGGAGATCCTTGAGGATAAGGACTACGTGAGAGATATGCGGGGACCTAACCAGCTATTCTACCTCGATGATTCATATATCTTCACAGGAAAGGTATGTTGCTACATCAGAATACCCCTATATTATGGCATGGATTTCTTTAGAGGATATGTGATCATGTCATGCGAGCTCTCAGATCAGATCAGACCAGACCAACTACTGTATTTGATCAAATCACATCTATGATATATTCTAGGTATTGATTCACATGTATTTCACAGCCTAAGAACCAAATAAATGTTTGTTGCAGAGAGTGATCCGAGGCCTACCATGTAACGCTTTTATATCAACACGAGATGATTATCGTCTACCTGGCCAAATGCTTCCAGCCACTGCGACATTTGAATTTTGCTTCTTGGCAGTAAGTTTCCATCACGTATACACTCAACAATGGTCTTATAGACAGAAATAATTAGCTATAGGATGCAAGATTAAAATATTCCAAATTGAAATATACATGTATGTACATTGTACATGCCCAATTCAGTCACTTTCAGATGGGAGGTAAAGCTACACGTTTCAAGAGAACGTGCGCGTGAACGTGTAAAATTATTTTCATCCAGGCACTAGTTCTCCCTTCGTAATATTTACTTGCCCGATTGATTGTTAAAAGGTATGAGTAACATAGTTGTAATTATGTCCCTGGAAAAACAAATTGACATGGGGCAGTAATCCATAGGATCGTAATATTTCACGTTCGTGTACACGTCCTCCAGAAAACGCGAAGCTTAATCTCACCATTTATTCACACTAGGGAACTGGCAAGAAATATTCATATGTCTCTGCAATGTTCTGGTTGACAGGTATTTAAAACTGACTCATTTCATGACACATCATTATGTACAGATCAGACTGTAAATTACATTTGTAGGCCAATTGGTTGGAGATTGGTACTGGATCCAAAGTTAGCATGAACTACCCTCTGTCTCTCGATATATGGATAAGACAAGTAAGTAACACATCAATGCATGTTAAAATACATGTCATACCTTAAACTGGTTCTTAATTGAATACTTACCATACATTTCTTTCTCATGTCCTTGTTGCGGTCAAATTTTTCTCGGTTCTCTTATATGAGGTCCATGGCATATGGGCAACCCCGCTAAAGACCTCATAAATAAATCAAAGGTATACGTCTATGCTTATGTTTTAAGGCTGGGTTCCATGGCACCTACAATTTCTTCAACTTCGATAACTCCCTTAAGTCTGGTCTTGCTGTATTCGATGTGGATGAGTGCTTTACTCAGGACCAGAAGAAAGACATTGTTGTTAGGCTAACAGGGGGTAAGTACACTGCAAAGACATTGTTGTTAGGCTAACAGGGGGTAAGTACACTCCAAAGACATTGTTGTTAGGCTAACAGGGGGTAAGTACACTGCTCTTCCTTATTTTAAGCATTGTCTGTATGTTATAAAAATGTCAAACTCTACTGGGATTCTTTGCAGTGTTTTCAAGTTTTAGTCACTCATTGCTTTGTTTATTCCAACAGGAGCAACTAGCACCATCCGGGACAATGTTGAAGAGTTTAAGGCAAGCTTCATTGAACAAATCAGTAACACAACAAAGATTGGTCCATTGAGGTTCCACAGGCTAGAAGTTGATTATGACAAGGATAATGTATATGTAACCACATCACTGCATGACAGACCACCAACATCAGGTAATACAATCTTGGAAGTATGGAATCAAAAGCATGTGTCTGTAGTTTCAGCTGATTTTTTCCAAACAAGACAAATGCTCCTCATTAAGGGAGTTCCACACAGTCCAAAAAAGTTTAAAATCCAAATTTGGGACAATGCCATTTCAATGGAAATATTTTTATTGAATATTTTGAATTACTTATTCTACCATAATGGGTAATACTAAATATCCACATGGAATTTTACCAAATTCATTAATTATAGGAAATCATGAAAAATACAATTATAATTCTCATCATGCAAATACCTTAATCTTGAATTCTTTCTAATATGATCAATAACACTCTTCTGTATTTCAGCAATGTTCAGTCAACTCCCAGGCAACAGTGCTAAGCTGTCCAAGGTTAAGGTTACTAATGTAACACTGGAAGAGTGTTCCGCATTGTGCTACGAGAACAGAGACAAAAGCTACAACAATGTGGAGTGCAATGGGTTTGATTACTGCAATGTCACCTTTGAGTGCTATCTCAGTGGAAGTCATTATGGGGAGATATCATCTGGAACAGACACTGATTATCCAACTTGCTACAGATTCTCAAGTGAGTATAGCAACATAATACAATCAGTTATTTGAACTACATAGGTTCTCATCAACACTGTACTTTGATCCATAAGAATGTCAGTATGTAGTGTGTGATGGGAAAAACTTGAAAAATCAAAAGATACAAATGACCAAATCCAAGTCTGAAGACTAAAATGCGCAGGTAGCAATGGGACGATAGGAGTACAATGTACAATTGGTCATAAGAAGTAAATCCCAAGTATCACTACTAATCATCTAGAATACTGTGTAACAATGTCGTACCTCCCCCCTCTTCACTATTCATGAATTCATTTGGATCATATAAAAACATATTCTCTTTAATTGCTCTTTGAGCATTGACTTTTGGATGAACTGCTACTCCCTCAAATCTCTTAATATTTCATAAAATTCATTTATCTCCAAAAATTGTTGAATTTACTTGTTTTTTTCCCAGGGAATGTAAATTCGACAGGATCATATGAAAAGCAGCTAAATGATGCCTTCAGAGATCTCAAAACAGCTATATATGCAAAACAAATCAACATAATATACAAGGTGAGAGGAGTAAATGATAGTTGAATTAGAGCAATAAAACAAGAAAAACAATGACAACACTGTACTTAATTTTGAGGATTTGTAAACTATTTTCCAGGGAATATCTTACATGGCAATGTCTTTAACAGAGGATTTCAAGAGAAAATCAACAGCAGAATCTACTGGTTTGTTGAATTTTATATAAATATTATGGTGCATTATACAAGAGTCTCAACAAGGAAAATAAATAACCTTCCAAAGTAGTTGTAAATACCGGTAATAGGATAATTTAGCATAAAAGGCAAAAAAGGAAAACACATCCCAACCTCTTACAGATCCTAACAATAATGTAAAACAAGATGTCAGTGAGATGGAAATATGTAAGCCCAAGTGACAAAAAGAGAAAAGAACATTTTAGAGCACAACCAGTCATATAAATCTCAAGCATCTAACGAGATACAATGTGCTTAAAATGTTGTTTAAGATTCTTATACATACAGGGAATATTATTTGTATTAGGTAAATACCTCACACAGTTCAAGGCGATGGCTGGGAAGAGTTTGAAAACTGCTGGGGCAGTGACTATCAACTCCCAAGTGTCATTAGATGAATGTGCCCAATATTGTGTAACTGATAGCTCACTAGAATGCAAGGCCTTCGACTTCTGTCCTACAATTGGACTGTGTGTACTGTCAGATGAACACCCTGATGACTCTCCAGATCAAATCAAAGATATTTCATCATGTACATTGTATGCAAGTAAGGGATATTTGTTAAATTGTTCCAAACACTTTTGACCACCTTATACACCTGACACGAAGTGAAGGTAGGGTGAAGGAAATAAAATTGGGATATTTATATTTTTTTAACAGTACTATCTTATAAATGTACATTTTCAGGATAGCTTCAAAGATACAATAGCTAAAATTGCTAGAATGCATTGCATGCTCCAGTCTAGCTATAAAATACATGTTTAAAGAGACTGTGGTATCAACATGGCAAATTCCTTCACAGAGACTAAATTATGCACAAAATAAAACATCATCTTTGTTTCAGGGGACTATCTATACAAATTCAACAAGTTGCCTGGTAAAGTAATCCAAGTCAAGGCTGATGCCACCATTACTGCTGTAGCTACAGCACAGGCATGTGCAGGCCAGTGTATCCAAAAATATGAACAGTGTAAATCATTTGAATTCTGTGAGGAAACTCAAAAATGCCTCATAAAGAAAGGACATATATTTGACCTCCCAGACACTAGTGTGGTATCAGATCCATCCTGTGACTATTATTCAAGTAGGTACACCCAGATCAGAATGTTTGCAATTCGAAAATTTGAGGAATAAACGTGCATAAGTTTGATTGTAGCATTGCATAGCCTAAACAACAAACATACAATTAATTTTGAAAGGTAACACAACCATACCAACTTGCACAAGGTATTCCAGTTTTTAGTACTGTTTGCCTGTATTGCATGTACAGTTCTCCTTTATTTGTTGGATGTTTTCAGGAGCATGCCTTGTTTTATGTTTGTAGAGAAATACATAGATGACTTTAAACAGACCCAGACTGGGCAGATAAGCTTGAAGAACAAGATTGTATTCCAAGGTCTTTCTGCAGCTGCCTGTGCCCAGCAGTGTGTGGAGCAACTGGGGCTAAACTGTAAAGGCTTTGACTATTGCCCAGTGTGTGTTATAACTAGTGATTATTTGCAAAGGGAAAATCCTAGTCAGATGACAAATGATAGTTCACTGACATGTCTTCACTATACAAGTAAGTATTTCTTGTTGATCAGTGCATATGGATATAGAGAGCAATCCTAGACAAAATTATAGTTAATGTCAAGTTATTTTTTGTATTTTATGATTCTGTGACTTTTCACCTATTAATTGGTCTCTAATGTCATATAGATTTAACACTTCTTTTAGATGCAAAATTTTGTCTTGTTTTCAGGAACATTTTTACCAAATGGGAATGCCTACATTCCTCCACCAAAAGCTGTGAAAAGAACAAAGGGAGGAGCTAATTTACAAATAGGTAATAATGACAACATAAATTATCATTAAATAAATTATTCTACAGGGTGTCAAATAAATATGTTCTCCCCTCCTTGGATGAAACATCAAAATAATGTTGCATAACTTTTGTATACTTGATATCTGAATTGTTCTTTAGCACATCAAAACAGGCTACATGGAGTAACTCTACAAAAGGTTTCAGATGACTAGTCCAACTAGATGCATTTTGTGCACAAAAGTTCATTCTCTTGAAACTATTCATTTGACACCCTGCATTATTTTAATGATCAATTAATCAGCCTTAATATCTCAGACATGAGCAGTAAAAATAGATAACTTATGTAAGTGAAACACTTTCATAAGTGAAATACATACCCCTTAGCTTTATGTAAAATGAACCTCTGCAAGGGGAACACCTCCCAATAAATGGAACATTACTTCTAGGTACCAAATGCATTCCACTTACACAGGTTTAATGTATTTCATTTAGGTAGATACATACATTCTGAAGTTTCTTATAACTTTCATGATAATATTTGCCAATATTTCAAATATTATTTTAAAGCTGCACTATAGTTAATTTAGAAGAAAAAAGGAATCATTGAAATGTGTTACACACTAACTCAAATATGACACAAAGTTTGATTTGCTTTAATAACCAAGAAAAAAGTAACTCGCATAGAAAAAAAACATTTGTAGTTCAGAGGTCATTAGACATGCATGCACATGTTAAACAAAGTGCATGTTTTAAATTACTATTGATTTAAAAGATGGCGACACTTCTATAAAATGAATGTATCAAACAAGTTTGCCATCTTTCAATGACATCGATAAAACTTGATATATAAAGCTTGACAGATCGAAAATATTTTTTGATAATTTATTGTAAGCTTTGATGTGGTCCATTTGAGCTGTTGTTGGTGTCAAATGAAAGATAAGGTTCTTATCAACACATCGGACATACTATGAAATTTAAATGTAAGTCTTTATTTTGCCCAAAAATGTTGAAAATTCCCAAAGTGCGCCTTTAAGAGTACAGGTTCAAATATTGAAATGACTTTTGCCCAAATGTTTTTCCAATTCTTTATGGAAGCTCAGAACTGCATTGAAATGAATAATATTTCTATTTCCAGGTGCAGTTGTAGGTATATCAGTTGGAACAGCACTCTTTGGAGTTATAATTGGGGGACTTATTGTTTTTGTAATAACCAAATCTAGGTCAAAATCAAATGACAATATGGCCATGGGATTTGTTGATGCAGAGGTAACCATGGACTCTGTAACACACTAACATTACACAGAGTCAAGGTGAGAGTTCACAGATGTTGGGAACCAGTGATATCATTAGTATTGCATTAAATGCATGGATATTGCATTGCCAATAATAAGAATGAGTTTGATAAATATAATGCAATGTAATGATCCTGCATAAAATGGAGGAATAGGTCCCCTTAACAGCATTACAGATGAACAATGTATATTCAGGGTGTTCATTTAAAATTAAATTGATTGATACTCTGTATTGCAAGCAGTATTAGATGGGGATGACAGAACTGTGCAATAATACAAGGGAAAACTACAATATATTCAACTCAGATACAACAAAATGCATTGACTATAAATATTTGTGGAGAAAAAAATAGTTATTTATTTGTCAGAAAAATAGTTAGCTAAAGTAGAGATCAAAGTATATGTTGACATGATGTGATATTTACAATAATATTTTAAAAATTATTGACAATTGTTGACAAGATATTTTTGAGAATTGTAATTTTCATGAAATCAGAATTTTTACCTATTATTTGATGGCCACAATTATTTTTTCAAAAAATAAATCTAAATGTATATGTACAATTAATTTTAATATAAAATAAAATGTTACTACTTTGCTATAATATTATACAGTTTTTAGTTTCAATAGATAAGAGACAAGTTGAAATTGTTGATAAAATAATTTTAAAAATTCAAAAATAACAATACCACACCATAGAAGGGAACTAACATATATTCAACTTGATCATGTTCAAGACATATTTCAATATGTAGGAATTTGGAAATGATAGAACTTCTTAATTAAGACATCTAAGACATTTACATGGTTCAAATTAATTACAGTATACTTAATCCTTTGCATTCGTTCAACTTCACTTCTTAAAAGAGAGCTTCGTCTTCACACTTTCAGTTTAAATTAAATCTCTCAACTCAACGAGAACTAAGAACTGACTACCCTTTTCAACATTTAAGTTTCAACTTCTGCAAGTCCAGTACCTTCTCTAGAAACACTCTCAGATATCAAAGAAATATTGTCATCCTTTTTCACATCATTGCTCTCTTTTCCTCTGTTGTTATCCTCCTGTTTGGAGCCATTTTCCTCTGTAGATGTAGTAGGTGATGTTGGATCTTTTGGACTTCTATTTGCTAACTCATCTACCTTCATTACATATTGCTTTGTCTCAAAGTCCACCTTATGGAGAATGTCAACCCATTGTTGGACCATTAACTCACAGAGTACCTTGGTGCGTCTCTCCTTTAGAGCTTCTACAGAGTCTGGATCATAACCATCTAAAATTATTCCACAATTCATTGATAAGGCCAATTATTCACTCTATCTATTTGTTTTTTTATTCTACTAGTTAATGATATGTTAACATTTCTCAAGATTAAAAAATGATAGAATCAATACAGAATTTATGGTAGATTTTCTGTATTTTCTCCTATTTGTGCAAATGATGTTCAATTGAGTTGTGGTAGCCATTTAGGAATCTTAAATTCAATATGACAGCCCCTCCTTTAAAGGGTTCCAGGCGAATCAACTGGATCAGTCCATTTTTTAGAAATAAGGGGAGTTCTGTAAAATCCAGTTTATTAAAATTGTCTTTGAGATAAAGTTATCCGTTTATAATGATTTTGAAAACGTTATCCAAAGAGTGATTGCGTTCAAATAATACATGTACAACAGCCAATATAAATTCTTGTATTAGAAACCGGTTTGCCTTGCTTTGTTTCATTTGTAGCATATTTCATATGCCAAGCTGTGTGCTATTACGTTATGGGGAAATTAAGATGCCAATTATTCCTTATTATACACAAATAGAAGATCCTGAAACTTCACCCATAAATGTGGAATTGATTTGTCAAAATAAAAATCACCCTTTTATAAATGTGTGACGATCTATAATATACTTATGCTATATAACAGTTAGATGTTTTTGACACAACGACCTCGAACCTGTGAACCCTTGAGTATTATTCCGGGATCGGGCCTTTTATACTAAACGGTGAGCAACACCAGAAACGAGCGTTCGATTTGCTAAACGATATGCGTCACCCTTTAAAAACACATGAGTGACAAAAGGTGAAATCTGTAATTTATGGGTCGTTTAAGCAATACCAGTACAGAAAATATTCAGATATACAGGGTGGGCCAAAAAACAATAACCATAAAGATGAATACCCCTTGTATCAATTGTAATCTCCAACTCCACAAGAAAACAAAAGTCTTTCAATCGGATGGTGTCATATTGTAATGAAATGATTTATCTTTGAAATAATGTATAATACAATGGCATGGTTCAAGAAATACCATATGAATCATTCAATTTTAAACTTGGTTATTGTTTTTTGGTTATCATTTTATACAATTTCATACATAACTTTTAAAGGAATACAACCTGTTTACATGCATTGTCTCTTAAAACCAACACTAATATTAATAATAAAAACATCTCAAACCTCTTTTCTTCTTTGGTCTCTTTGGCATAAGCCACTTTATATTAGCCCATTCTCCAAAGCTTTCCAAGATGTAGTCAATCACCTCATACTCATTTGGGACCATCTTAGTGTTCTTCTTCACAGTGTAGATGGCAATATTCACGATGCAGATGAACATATGAATGAGAACCATGGTGAAGAGACCAGTGAAGAAGAGGAAGAAGAACTGAGCAAGTCCAACGTTGACTGTGACAATGTCCTCATATTGGATATCTCCAAGAATGTGAGCCAACAAACTTCCAACTGATCGGCCCATTGTTGAGAAACCCTTGACATGTTGCCCGAATACAACATAAGCAAATGTAGTAAACCCGAATAGCATAACAAAGAAAATGAATGAGAAGTTGGCAAGATCTTTTGAAGCAGCAGAGAGGACTGCACTTAACCATCCCATGCGCTTGTTAAATCTCAAGATACGCAGGAACTTGCACGTGAAGAAGAACACCAGGAAAGCAACAGTCCAGCCTAAGATCTGGTCCCACTGGGCGATATGGTTGAAGTCAACAAATGCCTTAGGGTCCTCAGCAAACTTGTTCATCGTCTCTCTTGTCATAGCGTAGCGCATGAAGTACATCACAATCGCAATCAAGGATCCAATGATGGTGAGGAAATCAAAAACGTGCCAGCCTGCGCTGAAATAGCCCTTACGTCCTACACGCCTACACACATTGAACTGCTGGTATATGAGGTACCCCAGGAATATAATGAATATGATTTCGCAGGCCAGATTGTACAGTCCTTGTGCACCCTCATGCATATAGAGCCTGAACGAGTGCAGAGTAGCATAGGGTATGATACCCCCACTGGCAGGGAACTCAGCCATCAAGGTTACTACTGTGAAGATATTGATGTTGGCATTATATACAGTAAACTCAATGAACACAACTCTGGTTTGACGATCAATCCAAAAGTTCTTCCACATTTCATTGAGAGTCAGTCTAGCAATAGGGTATGTGGTATCCAAGGTAGCTATGTATCCACCACCACTGTAGGTGTCTACCAAACCAAGGATTGGGATACCCCAGACATCAAAGGCAGATGTGTAGTTCCAAGCAGGTGATGACCAGCTATAGGGAGCCTCCGCAGGGGGACAGGGCTGAGACTTCCAACCCAGACAAAAGTCTCTATCTTCTTCATTGCCAAACTCGTACCAGCCATATTTTGCTCTTTCACATGTTGGTGTTCCATCGGTGGTATTAACAACCACATTTGGCTCCAGGGTATTAGGTTCACTTAAATCTAGAAACACATATTAAACAATGGGTATCATTTATAAGTTATAACCTTCCTAGTCAACATGTTATATTTTGCCAATTGAAATGAATCATTGCCATTAATAAATACCTAGCACCAGTTGTTACTATGGGAAGAGTTTGTATGAGTAATATAACATTAACAATACATGTACTCTTGTTTTACATTGGAGTAAGTTGAAAGGCAAGTCTTGAGATTCCTTATTCTTAACTAATTTCAATTTCAACAGATACACAAGAGGCCATAGCAAAATATATGGAAATTTAACAAATGCACTAAAGGAAGTATAAAAGAGGAAGTATATAAAAGCGCAATAAAAAATAATAAAAAACATACATGTAGTGCGAATATTTTTTCAAAGTGCCATTAAACATTTCAACAATTTAAAACAACTTTAGAGTGCACAGTCATATACCTTCCTTCTGTCGTAACTGTCTCAGTCTCATAGGTCCTACTCTGAAGTTGGCAAGGTCCTCCATGTACAACTGGTCCTTCCAGGTGAGTTTGTCCCCTTTATAGTCGACATCTGCAAACATGACAGGGAGTAGCTCCTCATCCATCCATTCCATAAACTTCTTTCTGGTGTTGGTCTGAAAAGAAAAACGAGAATTTACTCAAAATAAAAGGCTTAAAATACATGTTATGAGTCTTAGTTTACTCATTTTTCAAAACCTCGGCCTTTAAAGTCCAGATTGTATGTTTAAGGCTCTTGACCAACCCAACTTTGCCATTTTGATTTATTTCCTTCTTACATTGAGAGAAATTTAATGACACTTTAGTAAAATAAAATAGTTTTTAAAATTAATTTATTCATCATGTCAGTAGTTATTATTTTGCTATTTGAAACATACAAGGCAATTCTGAATGGCAATCGAATTCAAATCTTCCTTAAAGGCCCTGACTACTGTATATTACCATTCGCTAAAAAAAATTGTAAAGCAAAATATCTGACAGTTGATTTCAAAATGTATTTTTATTGAGAAATATTAGTTTTGGTTGATTTTATTCAGGTCAATTTGAATGCCAATTTCAATTTATCATAATCCAAAAATCCTTTATTGTTCTTGATATAAGGATGTAATCCATAATTTCAAAACAATAGCCTTTAAGGATGTTTGCACACTAGGTGTATTGTGAGCGTGAATATGAGTAGAGATCATGAATGTCAAAGGACACATTAATACACATTAAGTGCTCATCAAAATATTTCTACAGTAAGGGTCACTTTTTAAAATACATTGTATGAAATTGTAAATACAACAATGAATTTATTTTTTCTCTGTGTAATATTTGGAGTTAAGTATCTTAGAGTGGATGCTGCCTCAGCAATATGTAAAGGTGAGTTTCTCGTTCAATAAGCTAAAATAGTAGTAGCATAAAACCAATAAAACACTAAAGTATACTTATATTTACATTGGCACATTGTAAATTTACATACTACTGTATGCTGTGTATAATTTTGTTTTTGAATTTTCTATTGTAGAAGATAGCTTCTGCGGTGACTTTCTGTTGTCAAGACAACGATCATCCCATGTAATTGGAGGGTTACCTGGTTGCACTCTCTTTTATCTCTATGAGCAAACAAAGGAACAATGTTTCATTGAAGCGTGTGCCATGAATGCCAATTGGCTTTACTTTGACAGCAACAATGGCCACTGTCGTGCTGGCAAATGTGGTTCCAACATAAACAAAACTGAATGGGAATATGAATGGAATCCTGGTTCATACAATGGCAAAACATACGTGAGACCACATCACTATGTCCCAAGATGTCAGAATTCCTATTTCATGAGGCGAACATGGAACAATGATGTTAAATCCAACTGTTACCTTATCAGAACAGTGACGGGTAAAGGTTTACGAGAATGTATGAAAGCTGCATGTGATGACAAGGCAAATACCCTGAACTTCTACTTTGATGTAACACCAAGATGTGAAATAAAGCATTGTAAATGGGATACTTCAACTAACGACTATGCCTTTGAATTTACCACCACCACAAACAATGAAGCAGTTTCCGTGTATGGCTTAGAGCACACATTGTCTCCGTATGATAGTAAATATTGGGTAGAAACACAAATACCATCCCCTAACATAACATCCCTTAAAGGATATTACACTATTGGTTTGAAGGACAGCTACTGTACTTCTGAGTCAAACTTTGTACTTCAACCATTTATATGGTCATCAATCTCAGTCTATAATTGCTACGAAAACTTTGAAGGAACTGACTGGCACATATCATACAACAATGACATAAACTGCACATCTGGAAGCACGTATAGAACGCTAATTCCACCGTATCCAGGTACACCAAGCTGTAATTCATCAATCTTTGTCATTCATAAATCAAAAATTCAATGCTACAAGTCTAACTGTGATAGGTCACTTGTCATCCCTGATGCTAGGGATCTGAGACAATGCATGCTATATGCATGTGAACGTGGGGCTCCCGTCATCAACTATTACAGTGATTCAACATCAGTCATTTGTGACCTCAGATTCTGTGCCAAGTTACCAAATGCTAAATATGACTTTGAGTATGTTACCACTGGAGGTAGCTTTGATGTTTATGTGCTCCAGCATGACACAAGAGAAGACCTTTCTACAACAACATTATCAACCACAAGTACAGCCGCCACCCATTCATCTACAAAGTATCCTCTTTCAACAAGGTATCCAGTTTCTCCAACTGTACATTCTGATTTACCTCCAACAGAATCATCTGATTCAACTCTAACAGTATCATCTGTTTCAACTCCAATAGTATCATCTGATTCAACTCCAATAGTATCATCTGTTTCAACTCCAATAGTATCATCCGATTCAACTCATGAAGTTATTTTTGATACATTTCCAACAGTATCATCAGCACCATCATCTGCTGAAACTCCAACAAGATCCTCTGCTGAAACTCCAATAGTATCATCTGATTCAACTCCAATAGTATCATCTGATTCAACTCCAGCAGTATCATCTGATTCAACTCCAGCAGTATCATCTGATTCAACTCCAGCAGTATCATCTGATTCAACTCCAGCAGTATCATCTGATTCAACTCCAGCAGTATCATCTGATTCGACTCCAGCAGTATCATCTGATTCAACTCCAGCAGTATCATCTGATTTGACTCCAGCAGTATCATCTGATTCAACTCCAGCAGTATCATCTGATTCAACTCCAACAGTGTCTGGTTCAACTCCAGCAGTGTCTGGTTCAACTCCAACAGTGTCTGATTCAACTGAGAAAACAGATGTGTGTCTACAGAAATTGAGGCAATATGAACAGGAGAAATCTGCGCTGCAGACTTCCCTTCTTATTCTCGGTGTCTCACTGGGAGCCGCACTTGGAACTGTTATAGGAGTAACTGTTGCACTATGCTTCATATTAAAAAGAAGTCCTCAGAAGAAACAGGACACAACAACAGATGCTAGAGGGAATGAAGGCCTAAATTTGAATGACACAAGTACAGCAAATGAAACAACAAATGAAGATACATATGAGACACTACCTGCCAATGTTCAAGTCAATGTCGAAGATTTACAGTATGGTAATACTGAATTCCTCCGTAACTATGGCCAAATAGGTTTATCACAATAACAACATTAGATAAACATTCTTAAAAAACTAGGCCAAGATGACATTGACCCCTTACTTTTTACTTTAGATCACCTTGATGTGGTTATTAGCTCACATGGTGAGTTATTACAATCACTAACTTATCTGTTGGTCTGTCTGTCATTATTCATTCATCAAAAGAGACTATGACTTACTCACTTCGAGAGCCATGTGAGATTTTGAAACTTATGGCTCTCAAACGGGGAAGTGGACAGCTGATTAATAGTGACCTTTGAAGTCGAATTAAGTCGATCAGCGGCCTACTTTTGTTCTCTAACTATGTTATACATCATTATCATCCTTCTGTGCAAGTATTGGAGCGCTGAAGTACTTCCTTTTCGATCAAGACTTGTAATTGTTTGTCGAGTGAATGTTTTTACTGCCAAATTCCAATATGGCATTTTCTGCTCGGACATTTTCGTAAATCTCCAGAGGTTGTCCGAACCTAACTAATTCTCAAAATTCATTTCGTTCGTTGCGTATCTCGCTCCTAGCAAACCGCCATATTGGAAATAGGTCTAAAAAACATTCACTCGATGAACAATTTACAAGTCTTGATCGAAAAAGAAGTATTTCAGTGCTCTAATACTTACACGGATTCGATGATACTGATGTAAGACACAGTTAGAGACCAAAAGTAAGCCGCTGATCGACTTAATTCGATTTCAAAGGTCACTATCATTCAGCTGTTCAAATGCGCCGTGGGAAAGCTATTATATCAAAATCCAAATAGCTTTCGCAGGAAGTAAACTATGACTGGTTCAAAAGCTTGCCAATTTTCAAAAATAGATAATTCACTTTTCGAGCTACAACAAGTAAGCCAAGTTCCCCAAGTATTATTATCGCACCCTTTGCAACCAAATCATTTCATGTATTCATCTGAAATGTTGGGATGTTTCTTGGAATAAACTCTATAACTTATAAGCTTTTGGGCATTCTGGGTAAAGGATATGGTGGCCATTTTGGACTTTCCATCCTGTGAACTGTCTATTCAAGGTTATGATGCTGTTCAGTCTGCGCTGTGTTTTCAAATATGTTACTATGACTCATAATTGCTGATATTATGAACATAATATTTATAATCACGACCGGGCCACTGATTTTCACTAGAAAATTCAACAAATCTCCAAGATTTATTTTTTCAAGAGAAAGCTTACAATTGAATTGCTAAATGAATAGGCGCAGTACACGGGGAAATGTGTTAGGTCTTCTAGGATTTTTTTGAAGTGATGGACTTCTAAGATACCAGATCTATTAAAAAAGGCGCAGAATCAACAACGTGCAAATGTCAATGTTTTTGCTATAAATCAAGCAACAATTGTCTGCATGACGTGTAATAAATATATATCAGCTATGTTTTTATCACAAAATTATTGTCATTGCTGGTTTTTTAAAATAATCTTCCAAACGATACATAAAAAATAATCAAAAATAATTGAAATTGAACGGAGGGGGGAGTGAACGGAGGTGGGAGTAATATGTCTTCAAGGTGGAAGAAATTTCTATGAATTCGTGTATTTGAAAATGAACTTAGCAAATCAGTAACAGCTTGATGTCTGAAAAGTGAAAGTTTCTTATATTTGGGCAGCCATATTGAATTCATTTTATTCAAAGTGCATTATCGAAGAATTCTACTCTTTAGGATGAAAAATGTATCAAATACATGTATGTTTCATTTGAATATAGCAAAAGCATACACTTTGAGAAGAAGTATTTGAAAATCATAAAAAAACATTCTCTAAGTATAACATACCCACACAAACATAAAACAAAATAAAAGAATCAACTTTTATAAGTGTTCTATAGACTACCTCATAAAATCCCTCTGGTTTCATTGAAGTGGTGAGATCATCCAGTATGGATTTACTGAGGACCTCAGTGATACGGTAACTCATGTCATCTCGGTTACTCTGACTGATGCTGTATATTATCCACATAAAGATAACGTAGAGCACAATCTCCCTGGTGAGCCCTTGAAGAGCTATCTCCCTGTGACGCTCCTTTCGAAATTCTCTGATTTTTCTTTTGCTCATTGGCTTATAGTATTTGGCTCTTGTAGCTGAAAATAAAAAGTAATTTGAACTCATACTTTGCTCATTACAACATATTACATTTACACTCATACAAAGGTTGGTGATGATTTGCCTTGTATGTACTATATTTAGAAATTAGTTCTATCGACCTTAGCCTACATTATGTATTTCTCAAGGTCAATGTAAGCCGTAAGAGTCATAGTTTCCAGTATCTGCATTCTTTACCACCAATTCACCAGAGGTTATCCCAATAATAAGATTTGAATTAGTTGTCAGGTTTGGTATACATGTACTCTATAGGTGGCATTTATGAATACGGACCAGCATTCCTCTCTGATGTGTTTTGCTGTATGTATTCTTCATCTTCCTTCAGGGTGTTCATCTCAATTGTGTCTCCAATAAGGCGTGGCTTACGGAATATGATTGACAGGGCAGCTGCTATAACTGCCACCTATAATGTGAGAAAACAAGTGCTACATTTCGGAATTTATGAATGGATTGTCCAATTGGTGAATTTTACACACAGCAAACTATTAACAAGGCATTAACATGACAAAATGTCACCACCTAAAACAATTTGGTCAATTTAAAGCAAGTTGGAAAATACCTTTTGACCTTAAGAAGGTTTGATTTGAACTTCTTAGAACATGTAGATGATTTTGAAAAAAAAATTCGTCAATTTGAAGCAAGTTGAAAAAATACCTCTTTGACTTTTTTTGACATTGAGAAGGTCATTGAAGGTCAAATGTAAAGTCAGATTTGAACTTCTGAGAACATGTAGATGATTTTGAAAAAAAATTAAGTAAATTTGAAGCAAGTTGAAAAAAGACATTTTTGACCTTGAAAAGGTCATTGACAAAAAATTAGTCAATTTGAAGCAAGTTGAAAAAAGACCTTTTTGACCTTGAGAAGGTCATTGAAGGTCAAAGGTCAAATCTAAAGTCAGATTTGAACTTCTGAGAACTTGTAAAGTCAAATTTGAACTTCTGAAAAGATGTAGATGATTTTGAAAAAAAAAATTGGTCAATTTGAAGCAAGTTAAAAACAGATCTTTTATGACCTTGAGAAGGTCATTAAAGGTCAAAAGTCAAATCTAAAGTCAGATTTGAATTTCTGAGAACATGTAGATGATTTTGAAAAAAAAATTAGTCAATTTGAAGCAAGTTGAAAAAAGACCTTTTTGACCTTTTTTGACCTTGAGAAGGTCATTGAAGGTCAAATGTCAAATCTAAAGTCATATTTGAATTTCTGAAAACATGTAGATGATTTTGAAAAAAAAATTTAGTCAATTTGAAGCAAGATGAAATAATACCTTTTTGACCTTTTTTGACATTGAGAAGGTCATTGAAGGTCAAATGTCAAATCTAAAGTCAGATTTGAATTTCTGAGAACATGTAGATGATTTTGAAAAAAAAATTTAGTCAATTTGAAGCAAGTTGAAAAAAGACCTTTTTGACCTTTTTTGACTTTGAGAAGGTCATTGAAGGTCAAATGTCAAATCTTAAGTCAAATCTAAAGTCAGATTTGAATTCCTGAGAACACGTAGATGATTTTGAAAAAATTTTTTAGTCAATTTGAAGCAAGTTGAAAACAGACCTTTTTGACCTTGAGAAGGTCATTGAAGGTCAAATGTCAAATCTTAAGTCAAATCTTAAGTCAGATTTGAATTTCTGAGAACATGTAGATGATTTTGAAAAAAAAATTTAGTCAATTTGAAGCAAGTTGAAAACAGACCTTTTTGACCTTTTTTGACCTTGAGAAGGTCATTGAAGGTCAAATGTCAAATCTAAAGTCAGGTTTGAAGGTCAAATGTCAAATCTAGAGACAAATCTAAAGTCAGATTTGAATTTCTGAGAACATGTAGATGATTTTGAAAAAAAATTTAGTCAATGTGAAGCAAGTTGAAAAAAGACCTTTTTGACCTTGAGAAGGTCATTGAAGGTCAAATGTCAAATCTAAAGTCAGATTTGAACTTCTGAGAACATGTAGATGATTTAGAAAAAAATTGAAGTCAGTCTAAACAGTATTTGTTAAGTTATAGGAAGTTGTAAGAAATTGTTACAGACGCCGGACGCCAACCGCCGGACGCCAACCTCCAACCGCCGGACGCCAACCGCCGTCGCAAAAAAACGGAGACCATAACAATATGTCACCACCACTTTTGGTGGTGACATAAAAAAACGGAGACCATAACAATATGTCACCACCACTTTTGGTGGTGACATAATAATAATATCATTCGTTCATGCCTGGACATGTTTTTCAATATGAGATAAGGCACTCAAAAATTCAGAGCTTATTAAAACTGTGAGCAACTATCCAATTTGGTAACATTATACTGTCATCATAAGGGTTTCTTTCATAATCTTCATCATTCTTTACAAAATATATGTGCTTAGCTGTAATAAAACAATTCAAATTTCAAATGACTGTAACATACCTTGACAGGGTCCATGACGAGGAGGGACTGGAAAAATGAGAGCATGAAGGTGCTCAGCCACTGACTTGACTTTTCCTCCCCCCATTGCTGCGTATAGAGCAGAATGAAGAAACCTGATGCAACAACAGACAGAACTACCAATGTCCATCCTATATAGGCAACCCAGTAAGGCAACGTTTTTTCCTCTTGGTCAATAGGCATGTACACACGGCCTCTTATTGGGACATTATGAAGAAGTTTATTGCAGCAACCGATTGGTTTCTCATCGCCCGAATCTGTTGGGTTAACACCTGTGCCTATCTGAGTTTTCCTAGGTCTTGCTCTTTTAAACAGCTCAACACACACTAGACTGACAGGCATCACTACTAGGATACTAATAAATGATATCCAAATAGTGTGTATGCCAAAGCTCAATGGACCAACAGAGATCACCATAGGGTTATCAACAGCATTCTCTTGGCCAAAGAACATACAGTTAGCAATCATAGTGAGAAACAAGAGTGAGAGACAACATGAGACTCTCTGGACTCTGGTGAAGTTACTCCTTTGAGGACGCATCAGAATAGAGAACCAAAGATGGTCTTCAGTGACTCGCTTCCTTGCATTGTCGTCAAATAGATGATTGAATGTACGTAAAGTGTCAGACTCTGCTGCGGGAATCAAACGTTCTATCTCACCATCACCCATCTCTACACCAAGCCATTTACCACAGACAAACACAAATCTGCAAAAGTTAGTTTTTAGCTTACTTGTACAAGTCTAAATCTATTCATTTCATATTTCAAATAATGAATTATGAATGTATGAATTGAAAGATAGGCCTAAAATTACGATTTTCCTCTGAATCTGTTGTGTGAGTTCAAAGTTCTCATGCAACTTACGTATCATCAGTCTGAATGTCCTGGACCAGAACTCTAGCCAGATACCAAGATGAATTCTCTCCCCCACCTGAGTTATCATGCCACATACGTATGTACTTCAACTGCCCCAGAGATTCGGGGGTACTACATAAGAACCTTAGCACAGTGCCCCTGCCAAACTCCTACAAACATGACATAGAAATAAGAGATATGCAGAAATTCAGTTAGAACATGTACTACACAGTAATACAATAGTCATTGAACGAATATGTTATTCCTTGTTGATATGCTTTCTCTAAATCAATTCATGTGAACTCTTTTAAACAAGAAAACTAGTCAATGAATGACATTTTTCCCTGAATTAGAGATGTTTTAGCATACATGATGGTAGAAAGGTTTGAGACGCAGAAATGCCAAAATTCAGCAAGTTCTAATGAAGATACAATAATTTTTGTAAACTAAAAATATTACAAAGTTGTGATTCCTAGCTGTCTCTTCAAATAACTTCACCATTTGATACATATGATATTTTTTCAATGTAATACTGTATTAGAATTTTTTATCAATACCCCCTGAATCACTTACGGTTCGTAGGCCATCGTCTAATTGTCTAACTCCAGTGTCCTCATCCTGACCAGCAAGTATGAAGCTGATCTTAGACTTTGTCCCAGCACCACGTCTCATCCCAGTATATACATTGATGATGTAAAAGTAGTGCTCATCAGGGTCGTTATCTTTCAACAGGGTCACACCCCACTGGAAATTAAGAAATGATTTACTGAGGATACTGCATATATTGAGCACAGCTAGAAGTCTACATACAATGTAGAGTTTATGACGTGAGATCCTGTCTATTTTAAGTTTACCTATTTGAACTAAAAATATACATCTGTTTTATGGTCGCTTGTTTTTCTGCAGTTCGCTATTTCATAATGTAGTCTATCCCAGTTTTCCCCACAATTAACATTACTAATGGTTTCAGTAACACAAGCGTTCTTGTCATGTTGGGTTCTCAAGAGTTATCTTCATGGATATGATATAATGGTGCCGATATAATCATATTGATAAATTTCTATTAAGTCATGAGTTTAGTCCATACAAATTGTGTTCCATATACTTACTCTTAGAATGTCCTTGTTATCATTTCTGCGAGCCCAGATCACTATGGGAATATATATTGCAAGTAATGCTAACAGCGTGGCAAATACTGCAGCGTTACGCCCAAAGTCATAGTTAGCAAAGACAGCATTGAAGTCGATGGTGTTGGGCATGACCATGAATGATGTGGCAAATGTGAAAGCAGGTGTCTCTGCCAAATCACAATCACACTTTGTATTGTTTGCTGTGGACAATGGGGAGATCTGAAAGGCAAATATACATGTTTTTCTTTTAAATTTATTTGTTTAAAAAAGTTATAAACTTTTATCAGAATCAGCTTTTATCTATATGTCCACTGTTTTTGGAAAGAAGATTTTTCTCAGACATAAAAATATTTTTAGCAAGAGTGGATCCACTTGAAAAAGTCTCACAAATGTATGTTGATGTAAAATGAATGTATAATAGTTTGAGAATAAAAGTAAGTAACTAACTAAACTAAACTAAAATGATGTCTGAATTCACACCTTTGGAAGATGGTTCTTGAAAAAAAAAATTCTCTTAGGATGAACCCAACATGAAAAACCTAGTAGTACATAACCTTTACATATTGTAGACACAACGTGGAATATGCAACATTTACCCTGCATCCATCTGATACCCAATCAGTTCCATTGAAGACCTTACAGCCAACACTAGCTACATCTGTATCAGGCATGTCTCCTGCATCATCAGGGTCTATTCCCATATCCTCCAGTTCAGCCTCACTAATAGTGTTCCAGTCAATGTAATCAGAGTAGTCATCATCTTCAACTGTTGTGTTGCTATTGTCTGCTTGTCTTTTACCTCTTCCTGAATCAATTTTACGAATAAGAGGGAGACAATTGGTGTCTATAAGTTAACAATATTGACACAAGTGAAATAGGGCAGAAGAGAAACATATACCTACGCATATTCTTCCATTTCAAGCTATCTCAATTACATCTCTTCCAATCATATTTATAGTGTATGTGTAGCAAACTTACACATTGGTCATGGTACAGCTTTGACTTCTGGTAATATACAATTGTTGACCACTCCAGAGGTCGACCGATAAAATTGTATACTGAGACTGTAAACCAAGAAACTACTGTTGACAGAGACCGAACATCGAGGTCAACAGTACAGTAGTTTCAAAGTTTACAGTTGAGGTATACAATTGTTTTGTTACTCAAAAGAAACTAATAATACACATATAGATGACAATCATCAATCATAGCTTCATTTCACAATCTTCTCTCCGAACCACGCCACTCATCTACCATGTTTTTTTCTGTAAACATTATGACATCATATTCCCCATAATTCACAAGCACAGTACAGTAACATACGCGGTCAATAATATTATATCCCATGATGCACAGGTGGGGTACAGGCAAAAAGGTTGACCGCTAATTGACCAATCAGATGCGAGAATTTACACTGAGGTACTAACAATACAAATAGTTGACTTACCTCCTTTCTTGGTACGTATCAGTGCTCCAATAGTGATATCCCCATCACAGACACAGTCTGCCACACACTCATATGGAACAATTATGACATCACTTTCTGCAGGCTTGAATGTTATGACATCACAATTGCTATCTTTTGGATTTTTGGGATATTCACCACACTTAATTGCTATTTTGAAGACCTGGTTATCTTTGCCATCTGACATTGATATCTGCATATCTTGCTTTTCACAAGTTTCTGTCCTAAATAATGATAATTATGACGTTAAACAAATAATAACAAACATGACAAACATTATTTATTTGAATAATTCTGCACTGATTGAATACAATAAGAAAAAAATTATATTTTTAGAATCAAAATCTGCAAAATGTGAAATAATTGTTGTTGTATGTTTATGTTTTATTAAAACATTTGTTGCTATAGTTACTTGATATATGCCATTTTCCCTCTTCTTCCTTTAATTTTCTGGCCTGGCCTTTTCACAAAGTCAGCTACATTGAAGCTCTGTTGTATTACGACTCCATCTGGTTTGACAGCACCTTCTTCATTGAATAGGCTTAGAGTATTGATCCCTGATGTAACACTATCAGCCCCTTCAGCAAATGCTGCTATGTTGCCCTTTGTGTTGGTAAGCTAGAACATATGTATTAACAAGGCATTAACACGCAAATGCAACCACCTGCCATTTGTTATTGACACCAAATACCAATCATCAACCTCCAACAACCAACTGTCGAATGCAAAACACAATCCACAAAAATTTGGAGACCATAACAATGTCGCCACTTGTGGTGGTGACATAATGAAGAATTGAGATGACATATTTATTTCATTCACATTGACCTAGTTTTTATCATTTTTTTCATCACATTCATTAATTAACATTTTTATATAGATTTCATAACAATTTTATAAGCAGCAAATCCATGTTCATCCATGTTTAGTTAATTTTAGATGAAAGAAGTCCCAAAAGAATTCCATTAAAAACATACATCACTACAGAAAAGACCCCTGGTCATATTAAGTGCTACATGCTTCAATTTGAAAAATATCAAAGACTTCTAAAAGGTATCCCTACCTGTATGTTGACTGGTTCATTGCTGACAAGGCCACCAGATAGTGCTATAGAGCTTCCATCATTTCCTGAAGGAAATTCAGTAGCTGCTAGATCATTGCCACTTGTTCTGGCAACATTAACTAATAGAGTAGGAGTTCCAATTGTTGATGTTTTTCCTACAGCCAGAGTTTTACTCAGTGCATTTCCTATGGATGCAACATTCTTATTCAGAGCATCCGATCTTTCCTTTTGCTGAAATAAGCACTTAATAAGTGAATCATTTTCAAAATAAAAGGTTTTGAAATAGATGCAAAGCTAAAGACATTACATTGACTGATTTTCATAATGTGTGGAGCCTATTGAATCCACACTTTAACAGTTAAAAATCAAAGGCAATTACAATGTGCTGTATATGAAGGGAAACTAAAATTGAGCTCATTAAAAAAGCATAATGCTCAATTGTTCTAATAATAATTTCTCTCAGATTCAGTTATTTATGCATACTCAACTAATAAACATATATAACCAAAATATGAAGCAAGATGATAATGATGATGAGAAGTCCTCACTGATCTATAGCTCATACCTGTTTTTTAGCCTTTTCCTTCTTTAGGGCAGCTTGTGGAATCTGTTTCTGACAGACTGTTCTCTTAGTGGCATCTCGGAGGTCTTCACAGCTTGTAGATAGTGCCCCAGACTTCTCTTCCATAGGCACATTGCTTGCTACTATTCCCAGTATGGCTGGAAATACAATCCAAATGCAAGCATTCATCACTGTTGCTTACTGCAGCCCTATGCGCCTTAGACTGGTAGCAACTGGTACACTTCACTAAATGTCTGGGGGAGATTATTGTACAATTTGATCCAAACTTACAAAACTGGCACTTACTCAATGTAATGGATCATATATAAAACAATTGTGGATGGCCTCTGAGAGACTAATACTTTATTAGGTCATAGGTTTGTTTGTCATCCACAGAGTGGAAAATAAAGTCAATTCCATTAGAATCTACTTTTCACATTTCATGTCCATATATTATATAGTCATATAGAATACAAGATCCCCTTAAAATCCAGAGTTTATGTCATAACATTTTGTTCAATTTTAGGATAAGTAATCCAAAATAATTCAAAGGAGGGTACCTGTGCCAACTTTCTCAACTTGGCTAGTATCAACCTCCCCTTCATTAGCCATGGCCTCTAGACCTCCAGCAAGTTCAGTAGCAGCATTCAGAGCAGCTTCCTAAAAAGTGGATGAATATATTCAATATACTTAGCTGGATCACTTTGACATATAAACAGGTTTCCCTATAACATTTCCCTACAATGTTTCATACAATATATGAAAAATGTTTTAGTTGTAAACCAGAAGAAATTTGAATTAAATTGAAAAAAGAACTAATGGAAGCACAAAGTATCACTGGTATTGATTAATAAGATCATATTAGATCATTTTTCAAACTGTTTTATATGGTTTTGCCTTTTGAAAATCTGTTGACAAAGAGTTATAAAGTATCGCTCCACTTACCGCAATTGATTTACAACCATTTTCAGTTCTAAATCTCTTTTATTACAAAATTATATTTATTTCTCTTATCATGGGAATGTATGTTTATTCTCTCTTGAAAAAATGCTTGAAATTACGAGATGGAAAATCTTTTAATTCAGTCACAGTTTTCTGCACAAATGTAGCGATCTGAAATTTATTTATGTCAAAAATATTCAATATTTTGAACTCTCTGAAGATAGGATTCGAAGGAGCAGTTCTTGGAGAGTCTGTCATTATTCTAAGGAATTTATTTTGTAAAATAAAAAGTCAGTTCAAATGATTTTTTGTTGCATAATGCCCCACATAATATTCCCATAACTAAGATACGAATAAACTACCATCTGTATCATCTGTTTTGCCTTCAGTATAAATGTCAACTGTCTTATGCTTTTAAATAATTAGTAATGGTTTACCTTTTGGGCTTTGTGCTTCCTTATCTTTATGAAATGTGCCATGTCTTGTCATATTTAAAAAAATATGTATCTTACATCCTATTCTCAATCTCAAAAATCTTCATAAAATGGTGTCACGAACATCAATACCATGATGTCACCTGTTATCTCTATGATGTTTATTTGTATAATGTAGATTGGGTTAGTCGGAAGTCTGTTTCTCGAATACACCGTCATAAATGATTCTCAGATTAACGATTTTTTGCTTTCTATAATGTTGTCCATGATTTTCCAAATTGCATTTCTCGAAACACGTCGTCGATGAAATCGTAGAACAACGAATAGTCATACATTGTTGCCATCTATTTGATGGCAGTTGCCTAGCAATCTTGCAAATACAGTTTTATAGGCGCAATCTTTGAAAATTAGTTTTACTGAAGATTGGTGGAAGAATGTATCATCTTTGATTTCTCGCTCTCGGACCCTATATCGATAGACAGCCAGGTTCATTAACAATATTCAAGATTACAATAATAGCTTTTAATCATTACAGTTGTCCTAAAAGTGTATGTTGAGCCTGAGACCATCATAAAATTTTATGTTAGTCTCAGGTTGAGCCTTATTGAATGATGAAAATGGACACATGTCGTCAAAATCGTCTCCATCAATGATAAAATCGTAGTTTGACGAATATCAAATAGCTGCCAATATGCAAAAATGGCAAAGTTGCCAAATTAATTAGCGCCAAATTAACCCAATCTACAGTAATCAATGAGAATTGACTATTAACCTGAGCCTCCTCTGTGAGCTGATCAGGATTGGCAGTGACGGCACCTATGGCTGATCCACACTGTAGCAATGCATTTCCATCTATAGGGGCATTATTCCCAGAACAGCTTGACACAGCAGCATCCACCATCGCACTCTTCATCTAGAAAACAACAGTTTTACACTACACATATATCTGATTTTTTTTATTATTTCCTCATTACATTTTGAAATTTTTCAGAAATTGGACTCTAGGTAATATGCAGACTCCCATGTGGTGCTTCAATAATTACACGTACCTGTTTAGCTTTGGCAGTGACAACTGATTCCTGTTCCATTAGGCGATCTCCAATTGCTTCTTCTGCTGGGATGTCTTCCAATGCAGGCTTATGAGAATCAAAGATTGAATGAAAATTTAATCTGGCTGGTAGTGGTAATAAGACAGGTCTTATTCTTAATGACCCTAATGGGGAGAGGAGATACATACGAGATGACTTCAAATTTTATTCTGGCCATTGCAAAAGACCTCAATCGCTACACCATTCCGATCTTTTAACAATGTAACAGAATAAAATTTTCGGTCATATATTATGCCATAAATCATTAGATCGAGGTCTTTATTCCTTATTCTAATATGATATGTGACGTTACAATAACTAGAACAATTGATTAATTAGTCTATATTGGGGCATATATGACCACTTGTGCACTTTATCATATTAGAATTGTGACAAAGACCTCAATTCTATGATTTATGGCAATTATTTGACCTCAGATTTTATTCTGGCCATTGCCAAAGACCTCAATCGCTACGTGGTTTCAGTCTTAACAATGAACAGAATAAAGTTTTTGGTCATATACTGCGCCATAAATCATAGAATATTGGTCTTTATTCCTTTAATACTTTCTATTTCCAGAGGGAAGAGTTTAAAAGAACCATAGAGTACGAAGTTTGGCTTTGGCTTATAAATGTAGAATTCACTTGCACTACCAATAAAAAACTTTGAGGAGGTTTTAAAATGTACAAATACAATATATTTATAATGTTGATCCATGCCAAATTGTACATGCATTTCTGACAAATACAGTTTCAAATACAGTTTTGCCAAATACATTTATGGAAAATTTGTAAAAGTAAATACACTGGTGCTAGCAGAGAGGCTAGCAGTGTTTCTATGTATATTGGATTCAAATTATACCATAGAGAAGCCTTTACTTAAATGGAAACATAATGTATGTTTATTATTTCAAATATGAAATGTGAAATTAAGAAGATCCAGTTCCACTGAACTAAAAGCAAAATGTAATATAATATAAAACTAACCGGAGCGGGTGTTGCTGTTGTTAATGTATTTGACAAAGACATAATCATAGTGCGGACATTTTTAGGGTTACCAACATCCTCTAGTGAAGCAAGAGTGTCTAAGGAGCCAGCTAGTTTGTCCACTGCCTTTTCCTGGAGCTCTGCTTCACTCACTGTATCATCAGATTCATCATCAATTGGTACAGCAATACTGACAAGAGGCTTAACCTGCAATAATACATTATGATTGTTGTTATCATACATACATTTCAAAAATATTGTAAATATGACAACATTAGATGAGGCATTAACATGCAAAATGTCACTACCTGCCATTTGTTACAGACACTGACTACCAAACTCCATTTGCTACAGACACCGACTGTTGAACACCAAACGCAATCCACAAAAAATTGAAAACTATAAAAAGTCGCCACTTTTGGTGGTGTCATATAAATTCCCTTGTCATACAAATGTAGATACGAGCTCTATGACCAAGAAGATGAGGGACAATATGGCAACGAATAAATCTAAATATGATATATGATACATCAAGTAACCTTAATATGTCCTGAGTATTCTGCACATGCTAAATAAGCGTCACATATTTCTATTCTGTATTCCATCATGTGATCATTGGTGTCTGGGCCAGCAGGTAGAATGAGATTAGTTGCTACTGACTCCTCTGAAGAGAAATTCATATAATGCTGAAAACACTATCAATGTTTATTGAATGTACACAACAGGGTAAAGGCTCACAACGACATATCTACATGTGAGAGTTATTAGTTGTCAATTAAGAAGAAGGTTCAATTAATTAAGAACACAAGTTTCACGATTTTCTGATAATAGAGAATCCTTGATTTTCATATTTCTTAAAACCCTAATTACAAAACTTTATAGGATTTAGAGTTTATTTTAACATTTGCATGAGATTACTTTAACATTTGGACTTACATATAAGATAAAAAACATAAAAGATATGTCTCAAATAACAATTTTTTCAATAATGAATTTGTTGACTTTGAATAGAATCAGCAACTTTGCCCTTGCAATATACATGTACAATATTCAATTTGGGAATTTTACATACGCCCATATGACACAGAGTCATTATTGGCAAAGAATCTGTATGACAGAACAGGTTCTTCAGAAGCATCTAAACCACCCTCATCCATCCAATCAAAACAGCTCAACTTGAATACAGTCTGGAGAGCAGTACCTGAAAGAATTCTGATTGGTCAACTGGCAATTTTAACAAATGCATTTATGTTAAATAAAATAATATTACGTTGAATATAATAACTTAAATCCAAGCATTACACAAACAAACAAGAGAAGTAAGAATAAATCTACCCCTCTTCAACATGTATTATTACCACCTTGCCGGGCCAGTTCTAGGGGTTTTAGTGCTAGTTTAGAAGGCATTCATTTTACTATATCGACCTGAGAAATGTGTGACGTCATAGTGGTGGTCCATATGGACCGGTCTAGAATATATTCTGGACCGGTAATTTTCCCCGGGAAATTAGATATCGTTCAATGCGTATGATTTCTTTTAAGATTTTTTTTCATTGCTTTCCCTTATAGAACTACTTGTTATTTCCCTTTTTGGTGCTTGTGGTTACACATTTCCTGCTCTGAACAATAAGTGAATCAAAACTGTGAAATACCTTCTAAAGGTTCAACTGAACACCTCCCTCCCCAAGGAAGGAAAGTTGAAATAATAGTGTGCGTATTGAATCCATCCAATTCCCCTTCTTTAGATATTATACTCTTCATTTGGTATACTCCTCCTTCTTCCAATCCCCCTGCCGGGATTGTAACACCTTTAGTATTCAGACGAGAAGAATCTAGAAAATATCAATATCTTTGGGATTTAGACACAAGCTTTTAGCCAACTAATGAATCAAGCTAATGATGCATTCAATTCTATCAATATTTTCTTTAATTTTTTTTCCTTGTGTGGTTTAAATGGCAGCGTTTAAATAGACATAGAAATGCAACTTAATGGTCACGCTAAGAAAGGTTGTTTAGGAAAACAATGAAAATGTTTGGAATTAAAGACATCTAAAGATTAGTTCACTCCAATGGAACAGATATTAACAGATATTAATTACCGTTTCCCAACACATCTGTTACTTCCTCAAATGTGCCCCCCAGTTTCTCCTTATACAACTTCCAGTTGTAAAGCACACCCTCTTCAGACACACAGTTAGTGCACATTGCTTCAATCACTAAGGCAACAGCAGGATTGACCTTTTTTAGACAGTTAGCCCGACATCTAAACACAAAATTATACAATATCATTATAGGATATTAAAAAGCAAGAATATAACAGGGGAGATGAATATTTGAAACAAAGTCTCTGTTATTATTTCAATAAGAAAAAACAAAGAGCAGCATAGATATACAAAATATCCACAGCACAAAATTAAAAGGACTTGCCTTATTACAGATTGTGGTGTATTTCCATCATCAACTCTAACAGATTGGACTGCACTGCATGACCGTTCATCTTTCTGTACTTTTAAATTGTTTATATACCAAAAGCCAGCTGTTTTTGCTTCGGTATGTATGACCTCTCTATCAGTTGGATTAGGGGAATCTGGAAAGCACTCATCACCATCCTGTTCAACAGGGATTTCTTCAATGTTATCAGGGTCAACTGGAATCTTCGTGCAGGTCCAGCTATAGGTCATTCCACTATAGTCAGTTGAAATGGGTAAGTCAGGATCAATAGTTTCACTTCGCAATATCAGATTGTTACTTACACCTACAGCAACAGTTTCACCACCAAAGATTTTGCAATCCAATGGGGTCTTCACAACTTTAAGATGCATGTAAGCACTTAAGTTACATGACAAGTTTCCAGTTAGTTCCACTGAAGTTGTCACAATGAACAAACCATCATTTAGAGTCTTTTTGGGGATTGTAAAAAGAGATGATACTATTGGACTCGATTCATATACTCCTAGTTCAAGTTGTGATAAATGCCAGCTGTATTTAGGTTTGAATGCTTGTCCATCACATCTCTGCGTAACACCAAGTGTGATGCCTGCTGAGCGTGATTTGATCACTGTAAGAGGGGAATCTCTTTGAATCACACTTTCATCAAAAGATATGATTGGACACAAACATGGCTTTACCACTGTTATTGTATGTGACAGTGTAAAACTTTCACCCAAAGGCAAATGGATCAGTGCAGTGACAATGAAAGTACCAGCATCAAAAAATGAATGCATTTCTGAGTATGATGTAAGATTATTCATTGGTACTCCAATAGAGTCATCCCCAAATTCCCAGGCAACAAGAACACCTTCAGGGATGACTGATCCAAAACCATCAATAGAAATAACAAATTCAGCCGATGCTTCTCTCATTACATAATCAAAGGTGACTGTTTCAGGGCCATCAATGTGGAACATTTCAACATCAAGAATGAGGTTTTTCATTACCTGAACTTGCTGTGTGTATGACAATGTTTTGCCATAAAAGTCAGTTGCATTACATATTACTGTACTCAGTCCTACGGTCACAAAAGTGTGGTTAAATAAAGCTTGTCTTGGATTCCCTGGGAGATGTTTTACTTCATGTGATCCGATACTCAACGAAAACGTGACACCCCTACCTGAGGCAACAGAGCATATGTATTCTACATTGGATCCAAGTATAACAACTGTAGGAACCGTTTCACCAAGAGGTATCATTGTGAGCTCTGTCATATCCTCGATGAAATCAATATTAAGATATGACTCAGTGTTACCATGTGGACTTGTACATCTCAATTGTAAATTTGCAGTTCCATCAAATACAAAATCATGTGAGAGTAAGGTGGATTCAAAAGTTTCTATAGTTACTGGCATACTTGGATTACCATCTCCATAATCCATGAAGAACAAGGCATCATCAGGATGATAAGGATGAATACGTGAGACTTCAACTTCAACAGTTGCCGGTGTGATAGTTAATTCGGGGCCTAAATAGTTGATTTCATAATCAGGACATGGAGCATACATCATAATGGTTGATAACAACTGTGTTGATTCAATGTGTGTATCATTTGCAACTGTGAAGTTGACAGACAACTCTCCTGGTATTGAGAATATGTACAATAGCACAGCTGTCTGATCAACTGCAATTGCAGATAGTTCATCTTTACTTGTTACTGTGGGGTCATTGACATTCATGGCTTCAATAGTTATACTCAGATCTCCTTCGAATCCTATGACTTTAAGGGTAAGGTCATCCACCCCCATTACACCTTCAGCTACATCAGTGGAAATGTTTAGGATCCCTACCTTTATGTCAAATGAAAATACCCTCAGTTGTCCATCTAATTTGATAGTGAGTTCTGCAGTATAAGTACCTTTCTTGTCATACTTATGGACATGTTTGCATTCAGTCATGTTGGTATCAGTTGCAGTTTCATCACCATAGGTCCAAAAATACTCTGCCTCTGGGGGCACCATTAGACATTCTACACCATCTATCATCAATTGGAATTCTACAAGAGTCTTTTGATCTTCAACATGAAATGTTACATCATCTGGTGTCATCATGGTTACATTAAATGATTCTATTGTTAGATCTTCGATTACAATTTCTATATCTACCAATGCAGAACTTACAAGATTACTACAGTTAACATTAAGCATATATGAGCCAGTTTCCTCATAATCTATAATCAAAACATGGAATGGTTCCAGTGAGAAAACTGATGTTTCATCCTGGATTCCTGCTCCTGTATCTAGAACACATGAAACATTTGTGGGTAGATTCACTTCATTGTTATGGGTCAAGGTTAAAACAACACTCTGTTCTTGTGATATCAAGACTCCATCAATGCTTTCATTTATAGATATATCAATCAGTGGATTCTGGACAACAATTGGTTTGATTAAAGAGGCAGAGCTTCTTGTGTCATTGTTGTCCACAAAAGAAGGCAAGAAATATATTCCCTCATTTGGTAAGAAAGTGGAAACTGATGATTGAGTAGATCTGTTGAACACATTCACTGCTGGGAATTCAATATCTGCTTCTGGGGTTGTAAACAAAATGTTAAACCCAGTTACATTGGTGTACATTATTGTAAAACTTTCTGAAGTGTTGACAATCAATTTGTCTACATTCAAGTCCAGTTCATTGTATAATAAGATGTTGGCTACGGTTTTGAAGACCAATTCCTCTGCCAAAGATACTGCTAATCCAACAATGGGAATAGATATTGGAGCTATATCTGTTTGAAATTCATGTTCAAATTCCATTGGAGCCCCTGCAGCAAGTGTGACATGGTCCTCAATAAAAATGCCATCCTGTAGGTCAATAGTGATTGTCATATTTGGTGTTTCACTTTCCACTGAGACAAAGAATTGCGTCGTTGGCTCCTCAATGTAATATGCGTCAGTTGCATTCAGGTTAACACTTCCAATTGGAAGAACAATGTACACTTGCGTTGGTTGATAATAATGTACTCCATCTACAATATGAGCAGAATATATACCAGGTGTGTCTATGGCCATGCCAATTTCAGTTTTATCACTTGGGTCTGGATTAAATGCAGCTACAAAATCAGCATAACCATCAACTAGAGCTAGCATGATTATTGTTTCACTAGTATTATACATCACTGAAAATGATCCTGTTCCAGCTGTAGTGCCAGTAATGGTTGGCAGTGACAATGATTCCATTCCATATGTGGGAGCAGGCATAATAATCAGATTGGCAGATTTTATTTGGACGCCAAGAGGATTGAATACAATAATATGTAGAATGTGTAGACCAACAGCATATTCACTCATATCTGGTGATAGGAGCATGTTGTTGCTGTCAAGTGTCACGTTGGGTAAAAGAATGCCATCTATGTATACGATGGGAGTATCTATCACAAAATATGTTGGAATGGTAAAATACTTATGAAAAGAGTGAACCATGATAGAACTTGAACTAATTTCAAGAGAGGCCTCAGCAACAATAAAATGATCAAATATTTTCCCTTCTATCAGTCTGGGCTGATATGGATCATAACAGTCTATGATCACTTCAATCCACTTAGTCTCATCTGAACTGATGGTAATACTCATGTCACTTGAAGAATCACTATTCATATTTGTAAATGTCTCGACGTTATCATCCCATGCTATGCTACATGTCAGATTTAGACCACGAGACATTGACAATTTGTAAATCTGTTCTCCAGGAGTTATCAATTCTCCAGGTGGAGTTATCTGTACATCAGCTGCACCAATCACCACTGAGATGGGTATGACATCAACAAATTCAAACAGCATATTTCTGATGCTTATCATTATTTCAAGATCACCAATATCACTCAAGCTATAGTTATAGTTCCATGGTTCATACTTAGAAATCTGATCTGCTCTGAACTCAAAAGATGGACCCCATTTAATGAGACTATACATGCCATACATCAAACCAGAATGTGAATCATCTTTAATAGACCACTGATCTCCGATTATAGCTATATGTGGAGACTCTACTGTTGGACTCATCAAGACAAATGAGGTACCCATGTCACCATTTAGCTCAAGGAAAACCCCATTATACCTAGTGAAACCTGATGAATAAATGCTACTTGCTACTGGTGTGGCATTGACATTTCCACAGGTCATTGAAGCAATTGTTCCGTTTACACTGCATTGATTATAACATGTCTCAATGGGTTGCAGTAAATTCATCGAATCAGTCTCCAAAATTGTGTCTGTAGATATACAACTACAAGTCATCGTAGGGGTTCTATAAAGTAACAATGACAATTTGGAAGCTCAATATGCATGCAACAATAGATAAATTGGAAATCATTGTGAATTCTAAGATGTGACGAGGACCTAATCAAAACATGGACAGACTGTACATTTTATTTAAAACAAAAGTGTTTGCGTAAATGTGTTCAATAATAGGTTATTATAATAGAAAACAATGTTTCAGAGTGGCTCCCAACAAAAATCCTGCAGAAGAATGATTTTATAGGGGTGGTTAATTTTGTCTGAGATTAAGGAGCTTTCAATTTGTGGTAAATTGCAACATGCAAAATGTCACCACTTGCTATTTGTTACAGATACTGGTAACCACTAAACACCAACAACTGACCACTGTCCACAAAAAAGTATGAAACTATAACAATATGTCACCACTTGTGGTGGTATGAGACATTCCAATCCCAGGGTAAAGTATGGTTTTGAAACAGGTTAATTTAGCCTGCCATTTTGGCAGACTATAATGGATAAATGGAGTGCTCATATTATCAAACAAGCTGAGCTTAAAGTTAACATATCATTGTTTGCGCAAGATACAAAATTTACAATACTTACGATGTTGAATAAATTGAAGCTATTTGACCAATAAAGGGACATTCAGAACGACATTCAGAAGCACCATCTATTGGAAGACCAAACCCACTTGACAGCATTCCTTCAACACAACCAATGTAGTAGGCATCTACAATTGAAATTGTGAATATTAAGTCACAAATTGTTCATACATGTTCTTTATCCCATACTTGGATGTGTTACAGGTACATAAAGCAGGCTTGTAAAAACTTATATTTTCATCAGCTGGCAGATATAGCTTTACGTCCCTCTCCGAACCACAGGAATTTGTCAATAAGGAAAAAGAAGTCAATAGAGCATATTGATTCATTTTTGTAATGTTCGCATAATCACTTTAATTACTCCCTTGGCCAATATAAGATGTCTTCCCTCAGGACCTACGGCCCTCAGGCAGATATATTATATTGGCCTCGGGATAATCCCAATATCATGAACCTCATATAAGATAATCTCTATTTTTTCTCATTATTTTGAAAGCCTTTATGCCTCTTGATAGACCCAACAATGATAACAAAACATATTCAATTAAATGCCTCCCTATGAGAAAAAAATTAATTCATATGAATAAGTCATCTGAAATTGTCCATTTGTTTTACTCAAAAAGGTGTCTGACATTCTGCCAAAAATGTTTTCTGACATTCTTAATCCTCCTCATTCTGCCAGAAATGTTTTCTGACATTCTTAATCCTCCTCATTTTGCCAGTCTCAGGCACGTAGATTTGACAAATGTTTGAAGACTCGTTTCCTACTGCTAATAATTCATTTGTTTTTTAACTGACATTCTTAATCTTACTTATCAAGTTTGAAACAAACAGCAAGGGGTATTAATTAGTGGTAGCATCACATGTCTATATCTACAGGAGGTTAATCCAATTTGATGAATGATAATCTTATGAAATCCTTATTTGCTAATTATCAAATTAATTAGTGGCAGCATCACATGTTGATCTCTACAGGAGGTTAATCCAACTTGCATGGTTATCCGTTAAAATTCTAATATATACCGAAACATGGGCGGGAGTGGTGGGAAGTTTTTTCAATAACTATTAAGTTAATTACCATAGGCTATAGAAACTCTCCCAACACCAAGAAGTATAAAGCCACTTCCACGATTTCAAAAGTTACTAAATACTGATTGCTCTCGGTTTTCATATAGATGTAACTGTTGATAGTACCCTACGCACAGTGACATATATACTTCAACCAGTACTTCACGTTAAGGTTTGGGGCAAAATGTCAGTTACATATCTGTATACATTCCATATCCCCTGCACCCTACTAAAACAGCCTGACCACTCTCCTCCTAATTGAGTTGAGTTGGTCCCTTACTGGACAGGTTGGCAATTTTTAGAGCTCCTAAATTTGGTCAGTTTTTAGCATAAAAGTGACTTATTCTACGATATAATTTCTCAAAATATAATGGATATGTTACCTAAAGTGGTGGAGAACTTATTGGAATTACTAAAATTGCAAGGACAGATGTTTTACAACTATAAAATGCAAGGCAATGGATTGTATACAACTACAGGGTGGGCCAAAAAAAACGCCACTTTTTTTTCAAGACACTATAACTTTTTTATTTTCCAACCTAAATACCCCAAATTTTGCAGTTATATAGTGCCAAGGGTTCTTAGTAATAATATAATGTAACGAGTCCTTCAACTGGGATTTTATTTGATCTAAAAAGAGGAGTTCAATTGGTCCGCCACCCCATTTGATGATAGATTTTAGTTTTAGTCACCTTGCTGATATAGCAGTATCAATGAAATGTTAGCTATATTTTTTCAATGTGTCTTAATTGCCAGCTTTAGTTAAGCAATTTTTTAGATCTGGTGCCTTCGTACCATCTCCTGGAGACCTCCCCATGCCCTATACTCACTTGGGTTTGAATAAAGGCTATTAGCTGGCGGTCATCAGGGCGTATCAGTTTAGGAACATTATCCAAATTATGCTTATTTCTCATGGCACACCACATGTTTAAGTGAGACGCTGGTGACATATTTTATTTAAGTAAAAGTGTATAATTCATGATCAATGGCTAGATAACAACCTCAAGTTTCATTTGGTATGTGAATTATGATTTTGTATCAAAAATTAAAAAAGTTATAGCATTTTGAAAAAAAAGTGGCGTTTTTTTGGCCCACCCTGTATAAGTTTGAGATTTACAACAGGTGAATATACTGGACAAGAGGTCAGGCAAAATACAAAACAAGTACACAGAGACCAAGTTAGAATGACCCAGTTCAACAACTCTCACTTAAAACAATCCAGCTGTGATAATGATTCGCAATACAATACCATGTTTTATAATGAAACGGAGAACAATAGGAAATTAGCAGGCACTCATACCTCAACACCTCTGAGTGAAGCTGACTGGTCTGAAGCAAAGCCATTCATACCAAAACAAGTTAGTGTAACCAGTGAGGGACCATATCAAAACACACATGAAAATGTTGGAGTACACATAATATGTATGGAACCTGCATCAATTCAAAATGATAAACAGACATCTGGAGAGGATTTAAACACACAGACCACCAATAATGTAATGAAATGTTTGGACGAAAAACAAACTGAACCAAAACTTAAACTACAGTGTCCATCAACCAAAAGGAATAATTCTCGATACAAAAGTCAGACAGTGAATAGATCAAGCAACACAGACAGTATTTTGTCAAATGATTCCTGTAGTCAAACAAACATTACTCAAACTGAAAGTAAAGCAGTAAGCCCTAGGATACGAAAACGGAATATTTCTACGAATACAGATAAACATACTGATATTACTCAAACTGAAAGTAAAGCAGTAAGTGCAAGGATACACACACAGAATATTGCTACAAACACAGATGGAACCTTAATAAAAGCAACAGTTGTTGAGAGCAAGCTTAGTAAGGAACAGTTTAACAGCGATGATCTAAAGTCACGTTTAGAAGACAATAAGCGTAACACTGTCATACATGATACCTTTCTAGCTCATCAACAACGTGGAGATGAGAACATAGATGTATATATTGCTAATCTTGATGATTTTTTGTGATTATATCCCATGACATGAAAGAATCTGAGATACAAGGGACATTACTTAAAGACCCTGAGGCAAAATGGATTGACATTGCCCATGAAATACTTCTTAACAGCATCTGTGTCAGTGAACAGAAAGGACTTAAATGGATACATGATCATATCTTTGAGTTCATTAAAGATGGCCCAGACAAAGTTCTTTCCCTACCCCAGGCTGTTGACCAGAATCCACAAGACACATAAATAAGATTATCTAACTTTGGAACAGACTAAATTTGGACTTATTGTGTATACTCCATCTCTTTCAAAATAGGATCTTTACTGGGTGAAATATGATTGACATATTTCTTCTGTGTATAAACACTTAATAAGCACTTTTCAGGAATTCCTGGAGTGAGATTTACTGTGTTTATGGGAGAAGACATGTGTAGCTAATTTCAATCCTCTGGGGTCTTATTTTATTAATTGTTAATTCTTTGAACATTCATTGTAAAAAAGAATTTGAAATATATGAAAAAAAAACAAAAAAAAACTCTCCTCCTAATCCTTAGATAAAAATAAACCTACTTGCTCACATTTATATAACCTATCCAATGCGAAATCAAAATTGAACACAGTGGTAAATACACTTGTTTTAAGATACAAACTAGTCCAATCCAATAAACCATGCCACAGAATATGCACTATCCCAAATAGGCAACTTACTATTTCCATTTATTACATATTCTGCTGAAGGTACAGTAAATTGCCCGCGAACAATGCATGCAGAAACATCATCATCACTCGAAAGATGAGTATATTCGAATGTATTTCTTCATCAACTAAATCAAGAGGGAATTTAGTACCGCTGAGGTATACATCCTCTTCTAAACGAACCTGAATCACAAGGAATGATCACCCACCCTCGAATGACATTGAAATTTCTTCACACATATCCAAGGTGTATCTTCACACTCCCTAAGTGTAGATGGTGCCCTTACAGTATGCACCTTTCATGGCTTCCCAAAAGCCAAATCGCCCCCAAGGCGTATCTCTCTCCACACTCCCAAAGTGTGGGTGGTGCCCTTATGCACCTATTATGACTTCCCAAAAGCCAAATCGCCCCCAAGGCGTATCTCTCTCCACACACCTTAAGTGTGGGTGGTGCCCTTATGCACCTATTATGGCTTCCCAAAAGCAAAATCGCCCCCAAGGCGTATCTCTCTCTACACTCCCAAAGTGTGGGTGGTGCCCTTATGCACCTATTATGGCTTCCCAAAAGCCAAATCGCCCCCAAGGCGTATCTCTCTCCACACACCTTAAGTGTAGGTGGTGCACCTAAAGCTATGGCTCCCCAAAAGCCATTCCCAAAAGCATGGAGGACAGTCTTGCCCTCAAATAAAAATATCTCATCATGCTGCCTGGAGTATGTCCCCCGTGTTCAAAAATTACTAAATACTGATTACACTAGGTTTTCATATAGATGTCACTGTGGATATTTGCTGTTATATAACTTACATGTTTTCAATAGCGTCTCAGCTCAATTTATTCTGCACTCAATTGCAAGTGATATGATACCCTTTGAAAAATTTATGAAAATAGCCTCAATTATGCAATAATTGGCTCAACATAAGAGTGATAAACAGGTTTTGTGAGCCAGGGTTTCATTTTTATCTACAGAATTGTATTACGCGGCAAATTGTTTCAACCACACACGTCATGTCACATGACGTAAAATCTTTGCTCTGAAAATGAAATCAGTTTTGCTGTGAAAATAGCCACGTGCTGACTTTATATCCCGGATATCATGATTAAATGAACTTCTAGAATTGTTGATGGTTCACCATCGTAAAGTGTTGCCTTCATATGGTAAGATAGCATGAATATATCTAAATCTAGTTAAAGGGACAAAGTGCGTAAACGAAGTCTCACTTTTGATCTTCATAGTATTTCCAATAGATTAATAAGTACCTGATCTTTCATTTGACACCAAAAACAGCTCAAACAGACCACATCAGAGTTGACACTAGATCATGAAAAAATATTTTTGATCTATCAATTTATATATGTCAAGTTTTAGCAATGCCATAGAAAGATGACATTGTTGTTTGCATTAATTATCCATTCATTTTTGATAGGATTTTTAACCATGTGCCATCTTTTAATCCAGGAGTTATTTAAACACATACACTTTGTGAAAAGTGGTAATTCACTTCTTTTGATCTCTGAACTTCAAATCCTGTTTTCTATACGAGTAATTTTTTTCACTTCAGTATTGACCCAAATTAAAGTTTTTATCATATTTGATTGACTGTGTGAGTGACACTCATATTTTGTCCTTTTTCCTTCAAAAATAGGCGCATTGCCTGTTTAAATGGTTTGAGTACCACTTGAAGTCAATGAAGCACATCCCCATGTCAAGGCAATACAAATATTTTCCTTAAGTATTATCACAGGCTGGTATCGAAAGATTTGTCCGCTGTGACGGAGCATGCTATTTTTCTTAACTCATATGTTTCTGTTTATCAAAGAAGTTTACTTACTCCATGCAATGGATATATCATTTGCGAGTAACCATTACTTCTGTTTGAAGTCCAATAATGCTAGGAGTAAAAGTTATTGAAAACAGCACCAGAGTATCAAACTTTAAAATCTACCATTTCTTTTATTACTTTTTAAGTGTATGATATAGTGACATGATAATATTAACATACATTTTCAGCATAACTCTGAATGTAGTAATGAGACATTAATGCATTGGGTCTTTTTAATTTTTTTATAAAAAATAATATAAACATTTTTTGTCCACTGTGGCAGAGCATTTTCACAGTTCACATCTGCAACTGCTCCGTCACAGGGAACAAAAAAACATATTATTCTTTATAAAAGAATTAAGAAGACCAAATACATCAACATCTAATTTATACCTTCATAATTATGCTTAAACCATGTGAAAATATTATTGTGTCACAATATCGTGCCATAAGAAAATTAAACAAGAAATGGTACATTTTGAAAGATGATACTCCTGCACCATTTTCAATTGCTTTTGCTCCCAGCGTTATTGAACTTCAAACAGAAGTGGGAGTAACCCACAAATGATGTATCTATTGCATGGAGTGAGTAATTTTCTTTGGTATAATGAAACATATATGTTAATGCATACTTTGAAGATGCATATATATCAAATTGTTCTATATGTCCTATGTATCTATTTGTATGTTTCTACATTTATTGTACATATTGTAAATAATTGTAAATTATAACTGGGCCTCTAGGAAGACCAGTTTTGTGTTGATAGGGCTACCCAGAATAAATATAGTTTTCAAATCAAATCAAATCAAAAAATAAAGTGTGTCATTAGACATTGTGCCATTATATAGTATTCCTATATCAAAAATGAAAAAATAACCCCACTCCTTTTCAAGTTACAGCAAAAATCGTAAACACATAGTGTGTAAAGGCCACATGTTTCCTTCCAATTAAATACCATATCTTAAAAGATGTTTATTTCTCATGTTATAAAAATTCATTTGTACGAAAAATATATAATTATTCAAAGGAACTGTTAAAAATAAGTGAAAACTTTGCAAGTTTGCAAGGAATTGACCGTTTTCAATCAGAAATTGTTAATTACACCATTGCTATGCAGTTCATTGAGAAATCTATTTTGAGAAGTGACGCTTAATCACGTGTTTGTTATTACGAATTTGATTTGTCTGTCGATTCCACCAATTCTAAATGGAAAGTACCCTATACCAAATACCATGGCAATCTATGATGCAAGAAGAGAGGGCCATGGTATTCCATGATGTTCTTCTTAGAGTATTTATTTCATTCTTAGCCATGGACAGAGGGGTCCCTTTATCCCATCAAACTTCATTGGATGGGATAATATTTCACCACGGCCAGGATTTGAACCCTTGAAAGACTGATACTTTTACCATTTAGCTCAGTGTGTTCAGCTTGTCTTCTATGGGTAATTTTTGATACATATTTTATTAATTTTAGATAAAAGTTGTAGCACTGCAACATAATTATTAAAAAAAGTAAATAATCATGCTAATATTACAGTATTCTAAGCCATATTCAGAATTAATGTTTAATCCAGTTTTCATTATGAGAATCCATGGTCTGAAAATACTCAAAAGAAATTTTTTGCACCTAATTTTCGAAATGATATATGTCCATGGATCGGCTGTTTTTGGCACCTGAGCCCATGCTAATAGAAAAGTAAGACTATTTTTGAGAAGTTCTTGAAATCCCTAATTCCACCCTCTAAAGTCTGGCAAAGTGACTTTAACATGTGTAATATGTGTAATACTTACTTGCTGGATTGTTGCAAAACAAGGAATCAGAGTTACAATTTGGATCTGTTTCACATCTCACATATGTAGAATTTCCGTCATCATTGTTACAGTCAAATATGATGTAGGATGTTGTAACACGATCAAGATAGCCACACGCACCACCATTGACTTGACCTTCTGGAGTTGTGAAATTCTAAAAAATGTCAGTGAAATTCAACATTGGAAAAAATATGCCAGTTAAACATGATAGAATTTATATTCTCAAAGTCTACCTCAGACAACTGCATCGCAATATAGAGGCTGAGACATTATTACAAGGATTATATAGTACCAAAGTGATTTGAATATGTGCGCTGGATTGAATATTTCAGGTGTTAATTCAGATTATAATGGATCGTAGTTATTTAAAACTGGTATGATTATGTTCTAACCTCTACGGTAACCTCAATTTTGTCATTTGCAAAAAACTCATTTGAGGAAAGCAAAGAGTTGTCGAAGCTAAATCGTTCTATTGAATTTACGATTCCTTTTCTGGCTCCAATACTGCTGCATATGTAGTCCCCTGTATAGTCTGATGACTTCTTCAGCAGAGTATGACAAGCACCATCAAAATAAATCCACCCTGGTTCACATTGTAGTGCTGCAACAGTAATTACATACAACATAATTATAACCAACATGGGGGTGGCCTTGCCCAAGTCTGTGTCCTTTCTTGTTTTGGACATTAGGTAGGTTTCAATTAGATAATATCTACAGAGTAAATGGAGTACTTCTGAATATTAAAGCTATGCATAATTTGTTATTTTCTATATTTATTTCTATGTTATTTATTATTTTTCTAACACTGAAAACTTGCCCCAAGTCTGTCGGTTTTACTTGTCTTGATTTCTATTATGACCACCTTGTACAAATAAGAAAGCCACGTGCTTAGCCCACCCAATGTTTATGTCAGTAAATTTGACCAATCAATGATGGCCCTGCAGCATTAGCTCATTATTATGCATTTTTCACTGGGACTTTTCACAATCATATCTTGCAAAAATTATCATGAAAATACATTATCAGATAAATATCAATCAGGGTTTAGTGGATGTCAGAGCATCGATCAGATACCCAGAGGTGAGAAGATTTCAACTAGAAACATTGACACGATTGCTGTTATGATTGAACATGATACAATTCCGATCAATCTCTGAATCAGATTCACGACTAAATGAACTAGGTCTTCTTTATGGATATCTTGAAACTGCTGAATAACGCATCATAATATCAGCGATGATGCATTAGATTGTAGAAGGTGGTAATGATTCAAGATCAGATAAGTAAAAGATACCGGCTTGGGGCAAAGTTAACTGAAGATAAAACATTAAAAAAATCATGCAAATATTTCATGAAGAATTATGAAAATTTGATTGATTTCAGGATGAAAGCATCCTGTATCATTCTTTATGTATTTGGTATTAGAATATTTCATGAGGGCAGCGTAAGAGTGCACTGTCAGCATGTGTTTATGCATCCATTTTTCAAAGATCATGATACCACAAACATGTCTTATTGAGTACTAATTACCTGGATCATATGGAATTGAAAGTATCTCAAAACCTGCATAGGGTTTCCAGGGAATGCCCATTGCAACAGGCATAAGGCGTCCTGTTCCAAAAGTGAACGAATGAAAGGTCATGGAGGTTTCTGGGGCACAGTGTGGAATGGCGCCAAGAATAACCAGAGGACTGGTACTTTCACTTCTGGCTGATAAAGTAATGTTCTTCACATGGGTATCTCCACGGACATATTGATCATCATAAAGGACTTGAAGAGGAAATGTATAAGGTAACTCATGTAATGAATCGATAGATTCAACATTCCAACCAATTACTATGTAGTGGTATTTGGTCATCTCACTTTCTGATGTGGTTGTTGTATCACTATCCAGTTCCAGGTTTAACTCCTACAACAATTATAACGCATTCAGTTAGAAAAACAGCAACTCCAAGCAAATTCCAAGCAAATTCCATTGAACAAAACATATTTTGATAATTAATGGCCATCTTAAAAATTTCTTCTTGAACAGAGCTCCTTTGCCCCTATATATAAGCATATAAAATCTGAACCAAATCCATCAAATGGTAATTAAAACCAAATTCATTAACTGGTAAAGTTATCAAAGATTGTGTTTTTTCCTATAAATAGTGGTCATTTTGAAATTCAAGTGCCATCTAGAAATTTTTTTCTTGGGGAGAGCTCCTTTGTCGATACATAAAATTTGAACCAAATCCGTCGACCAGTTTTTTTTGAAAATGTATTTTTGAGCAGATCTCCTTTACATGTTTCTCTAGGCATCAGCATATAAAATTTAAACAAAATCCATTTGTTTGATTAGATAATGGGCTTAAAGGTATTGTCTCCTAAGAGTGACACCTATTTCCACATGCAGTCTATTTCATTTACTGCTAAACAACCTACCCACCCTTGTTAATGACAAAGATCTTTAGGAAGCTTGAAAATAACTATCCTTTTTAGAAAATATTCTTTTGTTCCACTCTCACTTAAAAAAAGTGACTGCAAGAAGAATTCAGGGTAAAACTTGTATGTGTATATACCTCTGTCTGAAACATAACTTGGTACTCTTTATCATCATGTTTCATGCCAACGACGTAGGTAGATATATCCTGTTCAAAGTACATATAGAGACCATCATTGGTTGCACTCTCAGACCCCAAAGCAAGAATTCCCCACCTGCTAGGTCCTTCTTGTTGGCGAGGAACATTATGCGCAAACCAAAAGCCAAGTATCCAGTGATCACATGCTGCTACATGACCAAGACATGATCCGTTTTGAGGAACTTCATAATCTAGTGTTATTGTCGCATCACCATCTAGTGTAATTGCCTCTTCTTTGGAGGTTGAATTGACAAATGGAGGGTGATAGTCAGAAAGAAAATGGAGCCCTAAACCAATACCACCTAAAATTAAGAAACAAATAAGATCAATGAATACTGAAAAAGTGAAAATGATTCATTTAAATGATCATAGTGAAAGTTCCATGTGCATTATGGCAAGTAATTTAAGACAGTCATATCTTTCACCATGAGTACTTTCTGGGTATAAATACAATGGTTTTTAATTAAAACAATATGTTTTCTTTAAAGTGAAGTCCCCGTGATAGTAAAATATCAATCCAACAATAGGGAAAACTCATGCTATCCATTGTTTTCAGCATGATTTTGGTCATCGAAAATTGATATCTTCAAAACTAGACTTTCAATACCATTCTACTTTAGAAGATGTTTTAAACCCCATGTTGAATAATCTTTTCATGCAATAAAAATCAGAAAAAGAAGATCCTCTTTGAGCAAATAAGTTCTATATTTTGAAAAAATTGTTGATGTGGGGTCCCTATTTACAATTTTTCGAATTGTTCGATTGATATTTTTATCACCATGGGGACATCACTTGAAAGAAAACATATTGTCTTAATAAAAAATACTGTATTTATGCCCAGAAAGAACTCATGGTGAAAGATATGACTGTCTAAAATCACTTGCCATAATGCACATGGAACTTTAGCTTATAGGCCCCAAAGCAAGCATTGTGTGCATGTTCCATTAATTATTTGATCAACTCACAATCCAATTTAACAATCTGTATCAGTTGCAACTATACATGTTTGACTGATTTTGTATGAGCAATTATTAGGGGTTATATGACCATACAGGCATATTTAATATGCATTAACGACATATGAAAGCAGAAGTGAAAGATATATGATGAAACTGCATTCAAATTATTCAACAAAAAGATTAAGTTATCAATGTCCCCCCCCCAAAAAAAATGGGATGTCTCACTGGAATTTGAGAAATAAATCTTGGAATAAATCATTTTAAATTAATCATTCAACTATTTAAAAGTACATGAGTTCAAAAGTTTTTAATTTACACATAAAACATTAGAAAAAGAATCAAGGAAAAGGGCCTCTACTTCATTCTACATACAGTTGTGTACCTGCATGAAGTAAGCCCCCTGAGGTATATTTTTGGAATAATGCAGTCAAGAAAAAACATTTGCTGACAGGAACATCAATAATGTAATATATGAAATGAACATACTGCCTAGTTTGGTTATACATAATACATAGCCATGTGCCTTAGCCTTAGCTCACAAGCCAAATTGTCGTAAGAAATCAAACACAAACATGTAAATGGCTGCCATATATAGTTAGAAAGGTAAATCAACACATGTAAAAATGGCAGCCATTCTACTCCCATAGGGCATATGTGTACAAAAATATGAACCAAGTCGGGGAACGGAATTTGAGTTATCACCCGAATGGACAGATGGAAGGATTCCTTATATGGATAATAATTGATCAATTGACATTCATGTAAAAGTGATTGTTGTTAGTGGTCATCCAAATAATAAATATACCTGAATTTGTAGATTGTATAACCTTTTCTCCTTCAGATGAGTATGTCACTGGTCCATCATTTATAGAATCTTCAGTTACATCCCTACCGAACCTTGCCATCACTTTGATCTCTTGAACTGAAACAGTTTGTAAACATGAGAGTAACTATCAACTCATGTGATCAACGTAATATACATTACTTTGAACTCAGGTATTACATTACTAATGAGGCAAGCACCAATGGTACGAAGTTAGCATATAATGATGTTGGGTACCAATGTTACAAATGGAATTGATATGTTATCCATTTTAATACAAATTACATGAACAGCTTCAAAACAACCCTGGGATCATAAAAGTTTCATACTCGTATTTGGGACTGAGGTATTTTTAGACACATTCACATACAATCAAGTGATTTAAAGTCTTCTCTCATTAAATGGATTATGGTTTGATACACCACTTATTATTCTCTACTGACTGGTTCTAGGAAATTCTTGATTGCTACATGACATATAAGCAAGTTTTTTTTAGGTATTATTTCCATTTAACTTTCTACCCTCAGCCAATAATAACATGAATTAAGTAATGAAACATTGTATACTCACAAAATGGTCCAGGTTTCCAATTTGGAAGGGCTGCAGAAACATGCTCATGCCATATGATCAGGCCATACAGCACACACAAAACAACTTTCATGTTATGAAATTGAAAATATACCCAACTTTGGTGTAGATTTCTAATTATCCATGGTTTATGGAATATATTTCGAGCACGAAAAACTCTTCTTATGAAGTTGTCTTCGTTATAAACAGTTGTTGTTTATTGTTTTGCTGACTGTCGGTAGAAACCAGCAAGCTAGTTGCCACAATGTCACAAAACAGCTATTCATGATTTATATTAGACTATTTCACCATTGGCTTTAAAACAATTGAATTGTAAATATCATAAATAATGCATTACATATTTGGAGGGGGTATATAAAGATTTTAACCATGAATTGATTTTGTTCATCATGTTTTCTGTGTTTTACTAATAAATTATAACTTTTAGCATTGTGACTTTGTTTTGTTTGCCTCTACCTGAGACTAACATTTATCTTAGTCTCAGCCTCTACTAAAAGATGAATTTCCTTCAACAATCATACAATGAAATACTGAATAAACTTCAAATATTGTATTAAATAACGCTGATTGATTTCAATAATACATCTAATTTTCTGTTATTAAAAATGGCCAGTTATCTTTGTAATGAAATAAATATCAAAGTGGAAAATGAACATATAAACACAAGCCAATAATAATTTATTCATCCACATGTACTGATAACAAGTAGAATACATTGGCTAGGAACACTTTTTGTCTCATAATAAATTAGAGTCTCTCACAAGCATTAGATGACAAGGGTGATGACAAACATCTAATTATTAAACTTAGATATATTGCAAAGAACCATCCCTGATCATGAATTCAACATCTGACAATTTCAAAATAGCTACATCATAATTTACCAAAAAAGTACATGTACATTTATCCAAAAAGTTGGTTAGAATTATATGTTAAACCCGAAATTAATACTTCAGTGGCAATACTTTATTAAGTTAACAAAATAAGATGACTTTTTAAAAACAATTTATTTTGTTTCAAATAACATTGTGACGTAAAACAAAAAACCTACAACAATTGTCATAATATAATTTCATTTATCTGCATATTCCATAATACAAACTGAAAGTTACATTTTGTATCATTTTATAAACAGTTTTAAACATGTATAATAATAAAACAAAGTTAATATAAATTACACTATGTTACCATCTGGTTATGTAAATTACATAATGTTACCATCTGGTTACATACATTACACTATGTTAACATTCAGTTACATAAATTAGACTATGTTGCCAACTGGTTACATAAATTATACTATGTTACCATCTGGTTACATAAATTACACTATGTCACCATCTGGTTATATAAAATATACTATATTACCATCTTCTTACATAGATTACACTATGTTACCATCTGGTTATATAAATTACACAATGTTACCATCTGGTTGTATAAATTACACTATGTTACCCTATGGTTATATAAATTATACTGTTACCATCTGGTTACACAAATTATAATATGTTACCATCTGCTTGCATAAATTACACTATGTTACCAACTAGTTACATTTATTTTACTATGTTACCATCAATAAGGTAATAACTGATTGTCATGATAAAACACCATTGCAAGACAATGTTTTTAAATAATTTGTGTTGCCAAGGTAACAGATTTTATGTAAGATTACAATTTTGGAACATCACTGACTATCTTCTGTAGTTTTCTTGAGTTATTGCTATTTTACAGAAGTCTCAAAATATGTTGCCATGGTAATATATATTTCCTTAAATCTATGACTTCCATTAATCTTATCTCAGTATAGTACAGAATATATATGACCATTTACTCTCAAGTTCACTGGGTTAACACTTCAATAAATACAAAAATGATTGTCAATTCATAAATAATCTCTCATTAACTATACCCCAACTGAATCACTCATTTTAATTCAAATTGATTTTGGACAATATTTTTTGACACCTCTTTCATGGTTAATATGGGTATAAGTATCAAGTATTAGGAAATCTAGCCTTGCCCTTATGTAGTCTCTTTTACTTATTTTGATTTCTACTATGGTAATAATTCAAGATCAGATAAGTAAAAATACCGCATTGGGCAAGGCTATAGGGAATCCATTAATGTGTGATAAAATCTAAAGTGACTAATAATACAAATCCCAATCATTACTATAACAAAAAAACAAAGCTACAAACTCATTTTAAACTAGAACAAAGTCCACAGAGTAAAATCCCACTCCACAAAAAATGTTATTGTGATTCTTACCCAAAAATTGTCATGGCACATTTCAAACATGAACAATTAATAAGTCATAAAAAACTCATTGAATTATAACTTGAATGAGATAACTTGGATGAGATAACTTGAATGAGATAACTTGGATGAGATAACTTGATTGAGATAACTTGGATGAGATAACTTGAATGAGACTTGGATGAGATTGAATGAACAGATGATTATTGACCAATTCTCTATATCCCAGTGAATTTTGCTCAGTGGGATAATAAATAAGTTTGATGAAATGTGTATCTAACTATAAATAAAAGATGTCAATATCTATATGCTTATCTAAAACTACTAGTACATTAAATTTAATTAAGTACATTACTATTGCATGCAGCCTACATTAAACAATAGGTCTTACATAGTTATCATAAATAATTTATAATACTGTACATAAAAATACTACCCCAAAAATAAACTTAAAAACTAGACTTACTGAGTATTTTGACTTTAGACTTTACGGCAACAGATCTCAAATAGATATATTTTTTCTCAAAGCTCTGTACACTGCATATTGCACGGGTTTTCTTCATATGATTACATACGGCATATTGCACGGGTTTTCTTCATATGACCATATACGGCATATTGCACAGGTTTTCTTCATATGACCATATACGGCATATTGCACAGGTTTTCTTCATATGACCATATACGGCATATTGCACAGGTTTTCTCCATATGACCATATACGGCATATTGGAAAGGTTTTCTTCATATGACCATATACGGCATATTGCACAGGTTTTCTCCATATGACTATATATGCCATATTGCACAGGTTTTCTTCATAAGACCATATTCAGCCTAAGTACATGTAACTCTCTATATGAGATTCCAGCACCTCGAATTGCTAAATACATGTATAAGTACACAAATAACAAATGCCCAGATGTCTATCTGTTCATAATTGAATGTCATGACTGTTTGGACTCAATGTTAAGCTGGTCCAAGTCTGCATTTTATAATGTTTGGGACTTCAGTTTAAACTGATCCATATGTTATGTTGTCCTAGGGTGATCTACTGTCAAAACTGTCGAATCAGCATATAATTCAGGATAACCTGAATGAACTTCTTTTGGATATTTGTGAAAGGTTTGGAATAAGAGATCCAACTTATATGCTCCATACTATTAGTATAACTAGGAGCAAAATAAGAGGTGAATACCCAAGACCTCTCACTCCTTGGTATGTGCATGGGATATCAAGGTTTCTGATGATGGGACACATGCCATTTTCTGCCAATGTTGATGTGAAGGGGTCTTCGTGAGAGCATGTTCCATTGATAATACGGTAAGCACCTGAGTTAACAATACTGAAATGCAACACACAGAACATGACTTAAATAAGTGTTAGTATACATGTCAATACATTTATACAAATACAATTATAATTATACATATGTTCGTTATAATTAAATTTTCATTCATTATAATTAAATATAAGTAAATATAAAATCATTAAATGCCTTATAATATTGAAAGATATTGGTAATCAATTGAGAACCTTAACTATTCTTATACTATTCATTTAATAAATAAATAATATAGGTACGATGTATCTAAGTATGTACCAATAACAAACAAAACTTAATATAATTATGAATATTAATAAATAAACTTTCATTTATGTACCATATGCATATCTGTTTCTATATACTTATGTATCGTGTGTAAAACCCAAACCAAATGTAACCAGTGGTTACGTTTTAAATGAGCCAACCCTTTTGCCATACATGTTTATTCTCATGTGTATATAAGTTTTGTGACTTTTATGTGTCAAATTCAGTGTGTATTATGTATTTGTGTACTAAATGTATTTGTGTACTAAATGTCTGTATTAGAAGTACAAAAAATAGCAGAGGAGTCGCATTATTGCTGCAATGCAGTCAAGATCTTAATAATCATGCTGACTCCAGTGTCAATTATCGTTACTTCCTCAATTATGTTTGCTTTACAACAAAATTGACAATTGTGAGATGCATTTGTGCATGAAGGTTTGTATGTCTCAAACACAATTTTAAATGTGTGTCACACACAATTTTACATAAGTGTCAAACACAATTTTAAATGTGTGTCACACACAATTTTACATAAGTGTCAAACACAATTTTAAATGTGTGTCACACACAATTTTACATAAGTGTCAAACACAATTTTAAATGTGTGTCACACACAATTTTACATGTGTGTCATACACAATTTTACATGTGTGTTACACACAATTTTACATGTGTGTCATACACAATTTTACATGTGTCATAAAAAAGTAATATCCACTTACCTTCTGGCTATTTTACAATTAAAGTTGTAGAAAAATGAGTCTTTGTACTGTTTCCAGTTCTCTATGACCAGTAAGAGAAGGTTGGTTTTGGGCAGGGGGGTCACATAGTAGAACCCTGACATGCACGGCCCTGACACATTGCCAGTTATCATGTTGCTGGGACCTACAGGGAAATATGACAGGAAAAATATGAAAATCAACCTATACTGCGGAATTTTCCACAAACACAATATGCATCTATTATTTACAGAATATTGACTGATAGCAGATACAAGAAGAATAAAATACACATAATTGATGATCGTTTGAAACCTTAATAAATAATTCAAAATGATCTGTTTTGTTCTGCTCTCTGTGTGATGCATAAATATCATAGACATAAACATTGTATAGCCTAAGATCATTTATATGATCATGTATAAAGAGAGTTGATGAGCTTGTCAATTACTGTACTCTTGCTTCAAGACCCTGGGCACCCTTGTCTACTTTAACTTTAACAACAACTTTGTAAAGTAGATAAGGGGGGGGGGGGGGGGTCCAGAATCTTGCAGCAAGACTACAATTGCTGATACTTAGTGCTTTTTCCCATTGTGGTATCAACAGCTCATACTCCTTCACAAAATATTTCCTGCATTGCTAACACTTAACACATTTATTTTAAGCATTGAATTATACAACTTGTTCTTACCCAAAGCTGATAAGTTTGCCGCATAAGCCACAACATCCTGAATGCAGCCAAAGCTGTTTGAGAACTTTGGAATAGGGCCACGATTCTTATAGTAATCATCTGTTTCTTCTGGTGTTTGGGGGATTCCTTTTAAGGTAACCTTAAAAAGAGGCAATTACATTTTTACATGTTAATTCATACAATTCATTCATACAACATCAATCACTGAACTAATCAAATATCCCACAAAAAGGTATTTGTTTACATTATGCCACAACCTCATTAGAAAAACAAAAAGTTTTACCTTGGGTGCACCAGGAGAGATACTGCATGACCCCTGGAAATCTATAGTTTCAATTCTCTGAAAGAGGTGGTGTTGGTAGATCAGATCCTTCATTACTTCCCCCTCCTTCTTGCCCATTGTGATGCCCTTGTATTTGCTGGTGTCCAGGTTATCAGCCTCAAGGAAGTCAGGGTCAGTGATCAAGTTGGCTCGGTTGTCAAATAAATAACACCTGGAGTGGTACAGATAAGAGGAGATAAAAATACTGTGAGAAAGAATAATTTCATTCAAAACTGGGTGTGGGCTTCTTGTGTGATTTATTTATGATAAAATGGTTTATAGGTTATCAATGGATAATATAGAATTTTCAATTTGAATTTATACTGAAGTAAGGTGCCATGGCAAGTTTCCCATACAGTTCATGATTGTCATAACTTTCTTCAGTGGGTGGGTGATAAAATGCCATTTTATTATCACTGGAGAGTGGAAAAGTCAATGGAATTTTTTTTCCCTTTATTAAAAAATCTAAAATGTATTTCATTGAGAGAAGTTGAAAATACAGCAGAGTTAATGAAATGTTTAACATTCAGAATGTTGTGTGAAACTTTATGAGATTGAGCGGCAAAGCTGTAACATACCTGGTCTCACACTGTGGTTCTCCATCAGGACAGTCATACTTCTTCCCACATGACCTGAGGTGACCTGGGTCACTGGACTCCATGATGTCCATGGTGGTCTTATGGAAACTGTTATAGAGGATATCAAGACTGGTCACTGCCTCAACACGCTCTGTGGCACAGCGTGGTTGGTCTTTGTTCTCTCCAGGAGCTTTTGATAAATAGCATACTCCTAAAGGAAACAATGAGAAAATAGATTCTATTCATGTTTTCGGGTTTATTCAAAAAGGCAGAACTCGATGACTTTGTCAGCCTTAACTGGCATCGAGAAATTACGTTCATGTGCTGTGTTTAGTTACAATGGACAGTGGTGGATGACTAAGGCATACGTATGTGCATCAAGTAGATTCATGTGCTTGCTTTTGTTAAGATGGGAGGAGTGGAGATGACAATGGCATCATTTGTACCCATATGTGCATGATGCCCATATGCAAGCCTATGTGTGTAGGAGGTCCACTAATCTATTGCAAGTTAATTAACTCATCATGCATTCAAATGTGAACAATTGGTTTTTGGTGACTAAATCAAAATGAAGATAAAATGTTATCAAGATAGAAAAATGGTAAAAAATTTAAAAATTGTTCTAGTATTCAAGAGGTTATAGTATTGTTGGATTTCAGTTAGATATCAGAAATTAATGTTAACTTATTATTCAAAATCAAAAACATGACCAAAGCATATTAGCGCAAATAAATATTCAAAGAAAGGTAAATAAAAGGAGCAGGTTGAAGAGAATGTTATATTCAATTACCACTTCACACATAAGCACTAAATACAAGAAATCTCAAATTGTATTGTTGCATTTAGTAATATACAAACCTATAATGCACTCGTCATCATTGGTGCAAGGGCAACCCCCAGGCCAGGGCCCAGTTGCTGATATGTTGCGGCACTCTTCATTGGTACGCCCTGTCATACCCTCAAAAACAGCCTGGGAGATGGTAAGGATCTTGCCTACGCCCGCAGCATCCATATATACTGTAGAGATGGATGTTTTACTTGGGTCAGATTTAGCACGGTAGAACCAGGGACGCCTGTAGGTTAACATGCAGATAGAGATAGCTTCATGTTAAATAGTAAAATCAATTAAGCTTATAGAGGAAAATGACTGCCACCAGTGATCTCCCAAGTAAAGATATTTTTCTCAACAGGGTCTTACTCATCAGAATCTTACTCATAGTACCTCAATATTTCAATGAGTTTGAAAGTGTGCAAACAGATTTTCAACAAGGTGGCAAATAATTTCCACAATTTTAAGGGGGTGCATAACCTGGTTCCTAAAGCTGGGGAGACCACTTAGCATAATGCATTAATATAAGAATTTAGTACAGTGTTAATCATTGAATTGTACATTTCCTTTGTGTTAAAAAGCATTAGAACACAGACACTCTATCACACAAATTATTGGGAGAAATCATCTGACAGCGAAAATATTGATTTATTAATAGGAGGCCCTTCAAGGGGCCTCCTATAGTTTTTGTAGTTATTATTTATTATTATTAATCATTATTTATTATTCTTTTTAGCACTTTTTCTCCTACTTCTAGCTAGGTCTGAGTTAACTCTTATATGCTCCTACTAGGGACCTTGGCTGAAATTGGGGGAAAGAAAATTTTATCTAGGTGAAGGTCTAAAGTCAAAATCTAGGTCAAATCAAAGCTTTTTTCAAGTTTCTCAAATCTTGACACTACACTTTATTTTTGGCTGTCACACAGATAGATATTAGTATCCTATTAGTGTGAGCCTTTTGCCTAGATTTTTGAGATTTCAACTTGCTTCAAATTGACCAAATTGTTTTTTTAAAAGCATCTGTTAAGTCTCAGAATTTCAAATCTGACCTCAGATTTGACCTTTGGTTGACCTTCTGTGACCTTCGAAAGGTCAAAAAAGTTAATTTTTCAAATAGATTTTTTGGATTCAAATTTAGGTTGGCCTAATCAAAATAGAGATACTGAGCTCTGAAAAAAGTAACATTTTTAAGGTCAAAGGTCAATGTCATCAAATTAGGTCACAAACTGTGCTATATAAGTTTCTCAAAATTCGAGACTACAAATCAATATTTTAGGTTGAAAGTCAGGATAAATATTCCTTTAGAGGTACTACAAATATTAGCAGTTGACTATCTTTTAAAATTTTGCTCCAGATTTGAGATACAAGAGCTCAAAAACTGAAAAAATTAGTTTGCTTCAAATTAACCAAATTTCTTTTAAACATCATCTACAGGAGTTCTCAGGAGTTCAAATCTGACCTTACTTTTGACCTTTGACCTTTAATTTACCTTCAGTGACCTTCGAAAGGTCAAAAAAAGTTAATTTTTCAAATTTTAATTTGAGGACTAAAAAAGTAAAGGTCAAAGGTCAAGGTCATCAAACTAAATCACAAACTATGTTTTCTAAGTTTCTCAAAATTTATCACTAAAAATCAATATCTTTGAATGAAAGTCAAAATATATATTCCTCTAAAGGTTCTACACATAATAGCAATTGACTATCTATTAAAATTCAATACCAGTTTTGAGATATTAGAACTTAAATACTAAAAAAGGTCAAATTTCGAAAATTTTCAAGATCAAATTTGCTCTAAATTGACCAACCTTATTTTAAAAAATCATCTACAAGTTCTCAGAGACTCAAACCTGACCTAAGTTTTGACTTTTGATCTTTGGTTGACCTTCAGTGACCTTCCAAAGGTAAAAAAAGTTGATTTTTTAAATTGATTTTCTGGATTCAAATTTAGGTATATTTAATCAGAAAAGATCTACTGAGGTCTAGAGATGTAAAATTTGCAAGGTCAAAGTCATCAAACTAAATCACAAACTGTGTTTTCTAAGTTTCACGAAATTCGAGACAACAAATCAAATGAATATTTTTGTATGAAATACAGGATATTTATTCCTCAAAAGGTCCTACGCATATTAGCAATTGACTATCTATATAAAATTTTACACCAGTTCTGAGACATTAGAGTTCAAAAACTGAAAAAGGTCAAATTTCTTTTTTCAAGGTCAAATTTCAACTTCCTTCAAATTGAACAAATATTTGTTTATACAGTACATCGTGTACAAGTTGCCTAGAGTTCATATATGACCTTCTTATTGTCAAAAAATGCCTACGGGGCCTCTGTAAGATTGGTTGCAATCTTGATATCTAGTTTTGTTTGTCATGCTCATCAATTAATAAAATCTCATTGTCAAAATTGTGCAGTGTGTTTGTCAATCATTCAAAAGGTACATATTGTATATGTCATCTTGTTAGATATCAATGGGAGTAGCCAGGATCAAAAATTATCAGACAATGAGAATATAACATGGCTATAATATTATAAGGTATATTTAGATTTCGTTCTTAAGTTGAAAAAATGTCTGAATAAATATAATATAGGCCTATATAAATACATTTTTATATCTAATGCTACGTGATTCTATTTTGGTTTTGCTACATGTAAATGCATCGGTTGTATGAGCTTAAGTGTTGAAGTTTTTAATATTGTGTTTCACTTACTTTGATGGGTCATAAGCTCTTGTTGACCTATGGGCTGGGTAGGTTCTAAATACACCTGTCCTTAGACCCACATATGTCCACTTAACATCATGGATGTACTCAAATTCTCTGTCCCTCCATACCTCTTCTACTGGTTGAGTAATTAACACGTCAGCTCTATAAACACATTTTTATACTCTAATAAGTCTGCTGTTGAGTATATTCACAGTATGGCATTATCCTGGCCCTGGTCTTCCCCTATCTGATAACAAGCAAATTAACCGGTAGTTCAAAACACACGAAGGACAAAAAAGAAAAGAAAAAAACAGAAAAGGAAGCAGATTAGAGGTTCTAATCCAGTAAAAAATTCAACTAGATTCAATCAATTCAATTCCATCAATAACGTATCAAAAAGTAAACATTAATATACTATATCAACTGAACAGCAATTGAATGCAATAAGCAACATCTCTTACCTCACCCCTTTCTCGTACATGTTGCCGTTATCACATCCTACATCTGGTAATATTCCATTTATCCATTTATGTGCATCCACTGTCTTCTGAGCCAGGTCATCATTGTAGAAGTACTTATTGGGGTCACAATGACATTTTGGGGCCAAAAAGATACTAGAATGACCATATGACACACGGAGATTGGGATACTTGGGCTCATCATATTTCACCTTGAGGTATTCAAACACTCCAGGGAGCTCCTTTCTGGCTAGCGTACTATTGTATTCTATGAGTAGATTGAAGTAGCTTTTTTTCTCAGGTACAGTCGGTCTTTCTATAGGTTCTTGCGACCTTCTGAACACCTGTGTAATAGAATGTACAATTATTAATGATATATTTCTTTAATAAATGTTAATAATTATGAGAGGCTCAGGGGGTGTGGCACAGAGGTATCTAAATTCCTTACTTTTTAGCTCCTATACCTACCAACTTGATAGGCTTTGTATTTTGTCATGGCAGATGTCATCCTAACTTGGATAAATCTAGCCTAACATAACAGGGTTGCAATCTCAAGTTATTGCTGCTCAATAACATCCCAAGATATGATATGGACTGAAGGGAGGGGGATAAAGGCCTATTAGTGGGCTGTATAGCAAGGTTGGTCGGGGTCGGGAGCTGGGGATAATTTTATTGCTTAAATATAACCATATCATCATCCTACATTAGAATCCACTCAGTCTAACATCAATTTCTGGTGCGAAAGTTGTCATTTTTGAGTTTTACCCCCCTTGAAGACAAATTCTTGGGGGTACTATGACTAATGCTTATAACTAAAGAAGTATTTATGTGATCATCTTCATTTTTGGCATGGGTAACAAACAGGTATGTAAAAGTAAAATTTGAAAAATTCATACAAATCAGGTCATTAATCCATCCTAAAGATAATAATTCAGGTATTTTCAAGGGTCAATTTCAACATTTTCTGAATGTCGACATGAAGTAAAAATAACAATTTGACCCAAATGACATATTTATTGAATGTTTTTAGGCTTTAGAAAATAATTTGACTATATAAGCTAAAATAATAACATAAGAATTGTACCATATTGATAATTCTTCATCGCCATCCAGGCACAAATAAACCCCACCCCCTCCCCATTTTCGAATATAAAGGTCTATACCTGAAACTTCCTCAAATAGCAAAATTTCAGAAACTATTACAGCCTACATTCCAACATTTCTCATGGTGATTCTACACATCATACTCTGCATAATAGACATATAATTGAGATTTATCCATTCTATAGCTAATAATTAAGGTATTTTCAAGGTTCAATTTCAGCATTTTCGGAATGTCGCCATGAAGTAAAAATTACATGACCCAATGACATATTTATCAAATGTTTTTAGGCTTTAGAAAATAATTTGACTATATAGTACCCCGGACAGGTTGTATGATGCAGTCGTTTTTTTACTCTATATTTGCAATAGAACAACCATTCTTATTGAAATTTTCAAGATTTATTCTAGAGACTATTTCCAACATGGAAAATAAATATTTTATCAAAATTTCCAATTTTATGATTTTGACGCGCATTTTTCAAAAACACTACACTGTCAATAAAATACAGGTTTTTGCTTGAACAATTGAACTTTTAATGTAATTTCAAATATCGTCTGGCTATTGAATTTTCCGGCCACCTAAAGTCTTTCAAGATATATATGTTGCCATATTAATAATTATGGCTGATTATTGTTATTCACTTGAGTCATATTTAATATTATTACAGTGCATTAGGCCAATAAAAACTTGTTGCTCTGGGTCTCGTTTTGTGAAACGTTCCCTAGATTGAGCCCAGATAGAGGAGGTCAATCTTCTTGTCCATGGACATGAGTTCAACCCGGTCACTGTTCAATACTGTCCAAAATGAAGTAAAACATTACGAATCTCCAATTTGAAGTACTCTTGGCATTATATCCTTCAGAGATGTTAATATAGCTGTGTCAAATTTTATCATAAAATTGTCAGGGAGACCTGACATTTTAAAAGCATGGTACAATTTACGTGCTACAGGCTTGCATGCTGAGTGACGGTGGTGGAAAACCCCAGTGGAGAAAAAGGTGCGTTTTCAGAGAAAACATGACCCAGAGTGACAAGTTTTTCATTGGCCTAATGCACTGTAATAATATATATCTATCGAATATGACAAAAATGAATAACAATAATCAGCCATAATTAATATGGCATCAAATACACCTGGACAGACTTTAGGCTGTCAAAAATTCAATAGCTAGACAATCTTTGAAATGACGTTAAAAGTTTAATTGTTCAAGCAAAACTTGTATTTTATTGACAGTGGAGTGTTTTTGAATAAAGCCTATCAAAATCATAAAATTAGGAATTTCGTTAAAATATTTTTTTCCATGTTGGAAATTGTCTCCAGAATAAAATATGAAAATTTCAATAAGAATGGTTGTTCTATTGCAAATATAGAGTAAAAATACGACTGCATCATACAACCTGTCCGGGGTACTAAGCTTAGATAATAACATAAGAATTGTACGATATTGATAATTCTTCATCGCAATCCAGGGATAAATACCCCCCCCCTCATTTGCGAAAATAAAGGTTTTTACCTGAAACTTTCTCAAATATCTATATTTCGGAAACTATTACAGCCTCCATTCCAAAATTTCTCTTATTGATTATACACATCGTACTCTGCATATTATACATATAATTGAAGTCTTAACACTTTTTTGAGGGTGCAGCTAATAATAATAGTATATTTATTAGACATCTTAGAAATCAAAATATATGTTTTAAAAGGTTGTCACAACACTACAAGAGAGATATTTTGGATTGTCATCATTTTTGAGAATATTACAAAAACATATTTATATTATGCAATACTCACCTATTTTCATTGAACATAATTGAAATATATTATCCAGCTAGTTTTAATGATTTCAATTGACAACATCCAGTCAATATGCTTAACAACACTCAATAATGATTAATATGTTCCACCAATATGTTTTTGAATAACTTCACCAATACAATTTGATTGAGTATTCACTTCAACATTTGCTTCAAGCAGTTGAACATTGTTAGTTATCAACATCACCTGAAAAGATTTCATCTATGAAATTGTTGACTTCATTATCTGTCATATCATCATCAATTTCGTCATCTGATTCTTCGTTATAAATGTCTACCAACTCTTGTAGAAGAATGGCATTTGGATTTTCAGCTCATTGTATATCAAGTTCGCCATCTTCTAGGATCCATCTGCTGGAGAGTGTATATCCATTTGAGCTTTGTGAGACTGCTTTCATATGTACCCTTGGTAGTTGCATATTTTACAATATTGAACAAGGGTTGACCTGCATGGAGGAAGGAGACTGATGTCTATCCCATCATAGTTGTTGATAGAGGCTTGAGGTTGAAATCTGTTGGCAAAATTTATGTATCGTACATGATTGATGTCTGTTTTTTTCTTTTCCCCATACATGATGCACACAAATCTTTCAAGTTTTTGAAGATGCCTTTGGTCAAGAACTATAGATTTTCCAAGTTCTTGAAAGATTGCATGCATGTCCTCCCTCTTGATCAGCTGTTTCAGAGGGTCTATTTCTCCCTTTCTCATGAAGGCACTGGTGGTATCACACCCTGTAAAACAGTGGATACTGATCAGGGTGGCTGTGATTGGATCACCCAAACCTGCTGCAACTGTCTTCACATCAATGAGGCGCCTCTTGTTTGAAACTCCAGTGTCAAACAGTACTTTGAGAAGTAGGTGTTTGCTGTAAATAAGCAGGAGTATGAGAACATCTGTGTCTGGAGATCTGACAAGTATGGTCTGGGCCTCAGCCCCCACCTTTATTGATGCATATAAAGCATGGAGAATGATTTTGTGTCAGGTTCATCATGGTTACACCTTAGGTCTAGGACTTCCTCACTAACAACATGTGACCCATCACTTCTGAGTAAGATGCACTTCTCCTGACAGACAAAGTAAATTGGCGTGTTCTGAATTTTTTTCATATTTGTCCTTTTTCCATTCTGCGAGGATAAGTTGGACAAGCTGAATTTTGCTTTTGCTATTTGAAAGGAAGTCCTTCCAATTTTTTGGGACTATAGTTTTGGGACCATTCACTAGCAGTGGCTGCATTTTACCTCTACGCCTTCTCTTAAATTCTGAACACGCCAATTTATCTCCAAAATATCTCTCTTGTAGTGTTGTGACAACCTTCTAAAACATATATTTTGATTTCTAAGATGTCTAATAAATATAGTATTATTATTAGCTACACCCTCAAAAAGTGTTAAGACTTCAATTATATGCATAATTTGCAGAGTATGATGTGTATAATCAACAAGAGAAATTTTGGAATGGAGGCTGTCATAGTTTCTGAAGTATAGCTATTTGAATAAGTTTCAGGTAAAAACCTTTATTTTCGCAAATTATTTATCCCTGGATGGCGATGAAGAATTATCAATATCGTACAATTCTTATGTTATTATCTTAGCTTATAAAGTCAAATTATTTTCTAAAGCCTAAAAAGATTTAATAAATGTCATTAGGTCATGTAATTTTTACTTCATGGCGACATTCCGAAAATGATGAAATTGAACCTTGAAAATACCTTAATTATTAGCTATAGAATGGATAAATCTCAATTATATGTCTATTATGCAGAGTATGATGTGAATAATCACCATGAGAAATAATTTTGCAATGTAGGCTGTAATAGTTTCTGAAATATAGCTATTTAAGGAAGTTTCATGTATAGACCTTTATAATCGAAAATGGGGAGGGGTGGGGTTTATTTGTGCCTGGACGGCGATGAAGAATTATCAATATGGTACAATTCTTATGTTATTATTTTAGCTTATATAGTCAAATTATTTTCTAAAGCCTAAAAACATTCAATAAATATGTCATTTGGGTCAAATTGTTATTTTTAGTTCATGTCGACATTCAGAAAATGTTGAAATTGACCCTTGAAAATACCTGAATTATTATCTTTAGGATGGATTAATAACCCAATTTGTACGAATTTTTCAAATTTTACTTTTACATACCTGTTAATTACCCATGCCAAAAATGAAGATGATCACATAAATACTTCTTTAGTTATAAGCATTTGTCATAGTACCCCCAAGAATTTGTCTTCAAGGGGGGTAAAACTCAAAAATGACAACTTTCGCACCAGAAATTGATGTTAGACTGAGTGGATTCTAATGTAGGATGATGACATGGTTATATTTAAGCAATAAAATTATCCCCAGCTCCCGACCCCGACCAACCTTGCTATACAGCCCACTATATCATCTTCTTCCCCTATTAAGTATTACTCTTTAATCTTCTGCACTAAGACATACAAATCAACAGTGAAGCTTCACTTTGAGGGGAGGTGAACAAAGTAGATGTACCTTATCAGTGTCAGCCAGGTTGAAAGCAAATGCATACTCAGAGTCATTCATAGCAGCATAGTAGTATGTTCCTGGCATTATATCATACTTAATCCCAGCCCTAGCATCTCCCTGGAATATACAGAACATCATACAAAATTGATACAAATACTTTGGACAGACAGATGTAAGGAAAGCTGAATACAATAAACAAATGGATTAGGACAGACAGATGTAACAACAGATGGATGGATGGATGGATGGATGGATGGATGGATGGATGGGTTGATGAATGGATACATCTCAAATTATCTCCAAACTTTATTTGATGGGATAATAACATGTTTTTACCAAGTACATGTAGCACAGATAACTTTAATTTCCAAAAGTCACATGTAAAATTCAAATATACACCTTTGGAGTGCCTCTCCTGGCTTTCTCTATGCGAAGTGACCCAGTTTTTCCAGCTTTCATTTCTCTTAACACTGTGGAGAATTCTGGTGGACTACCTTTCTTGTCTTGCTCTAACTGTTGTATGGGGATGAATATAGGATCATCTAGAAGCTGAAATAAAGTCAAGACTCATTATAACACCAATATACAAGTGGTGGTGTTGTACATATAGCATGCATACTTGGACAAAACTTTCCTACTTATAAATGTTCTTTTCAATCTTTTGGGCAACTCTCTTTCATCATTGCAATAATTAGGTTTGCTAAATCAAACTTAATGCAATAGACACAAAATCTAATGTCACAAAAATAAAGACTGCTAGTTCGATTATTATTAAGACATTGTAAAATGATGTCAACTGAAAACAAGGTATGTACATGCAAAATGTCACCATCTGCCATATTTGTTAAAGATGTACACCATTATACAGATGCCACCAGACACCGAAGAAATTTGGTTTAGTAACTCTTTAAGCAAGCAAAGTGTGTCATGGTTTAATTTTTTCCTGTTCAAGCCAACAAGGTATATAACTGCACACAATATTAATAAATGATAAGCACAAATATCGGACAGTTGATTGCATGTTGAACTATCAACATGGGGTTAGTTCCATAATTGGATTTTAATTATTAATGAGATGGTTGATAGGCTTAACATTCCAGCACCCCTTAGATTCATTCTTATTATCATTGATTATTTTAAATCATCAATTATTTAAAGTTACTAACGAGAAGTCTGATTATTTCACAGATGTGCTAATGGTATGTATTGATAGTGACATCTAATAGAAATATTAGACTTTTCTCATTATGAATGAAATGAATGTAGTGATGACCTGATACACTTCTAATATTTGTTTCAACCCTTTATCTCTCATTAGTCTGCTGTCTAGTATACTCCCAAAAATGACCATTCTTAGTGATGTTGACTCATGAATGTCCTCTATACACATGGTATTGAAAACATAGCAGGCAATGAGTTCTAATACAAGACAAAGAAGGGAGTTCAACCTACTTTTGTACTAGGCTTGATGAAAGGGTGAAATATGGTTTCGCCCTCTTTGTTAATGAGGAATGAATAGACAGAACCCCATTGGTGACGTGTCAGGAACAACTCCATCTCATCCAGTGTTGCATCGATACCAGCCACACCAATGGTTCTGTAAACAAACACATACTTGTTACATAGGGTATATATGACATAACATACCTAGAAAGAAAATGTGTTTCCAGAATTAAATGGTTGCATTTTTTGGCCCACCATTTAGTTGTTAAGAGATATATTCTCAAAATCTAATTAAAGTTTAATTTTCATAATATCACATGGGCCTAATTTAAATATGAGAGGATGCTAAACATTCAAATATTTAACCTAGCCTAATACTTACTGGCCAGTTTCTTTACTTATAGCAGGTACAGCATGAGTGACCATGAGGCCCAATCCAAATGCGTCAATATATGGGGATGTCCACAACGCAAGGCTGTTCTTGGAATTTTTAGCCAGGAAGTGAAAGTAGTCGGCCATCTTGGATATGAGGTTTTCACCAGAGGTTAACTTCACCATGCTCCCTCTGTGTTTACATGCTAGTTTACCTGGGAATAGTTCACCATCTTCTACAGTGAGGTAGCTGAATATCCTGGCCTAAAACAACATCAACATTTCATGACATGGAGACCACACTGTAGCTTGTAGGTTTTTAATTAGGCTCAATAGAGATGTCTCGCATTTGCTTTTCTAAGTGGATGTACAGATATTGACACAATTAAAATGTTTCAAAAGGATAGAACACAGCATGATGAAAAGAATCTAAAAAGTTATAAACAATGAAGCAAGTGTATAGCAATAAATGAAGTTCTAAATGAGACAGTACATGTATAAAGCGAGAGTTAATGTGTCACCTTTGGATCAGTTTTTTCATTCATGGTGTCTGAGACATCCCAAACTTTGGTCCAATTGTATTTACAAATAGGTCCTGGTACATAACCTGACCTGGTGTAGTAACCTGGAACAAGTATGAAAACATTTGAATCAAGGTATAAAGAAATTGCAAGTATGTAACATCCCAAATCATTTTCACCCTGTGATATCAACAATATCAGGTTAAAGCAACATATAAACAACCCATTAACATGCAAAATGTCACCACATGAAATTGAAATTTTTTATACTAGATGCGAAGTGCCCATTTGTGGTGGTGACATGAAGATTATTTATTCTCTTGAATGAATTAAAATATAAAATATAAAATGCATAATCATTTAACTTGGATAAATTCGGATAAATTCCTTAACATAAGTTTTAACTTCTGTAACTGAGTTTTAAATTTGTATACCTGGTCCACAGCGGACCTGTTCACCATCAGTGTCCTTGCCATCAGTAGCGAAGACCATGATAGACTGACAGCCTGTTCTTGGGGTACTCTGTAGAAGGTCAAAAGCCATCTCAAATCCCTTCCTAAAAACATTATATAATAACAACATTAGAAACGTTATAAAACAGATATACAATGAGTATTTTGTGGTTATATTGTGACTCAAACTAACTGAACATAATATTTTTAAAAATGAAACTTCCATTCTGAAATTAATTATACATGTACATGTACACTCTACATGATTAATGCTACTATGTAACTTTATACATGTAGTATGTAACATCTTATCAAACTGCAGTCATTATCAATTCCCATTCATATTACTTACTCTAATTCACTTGTCCCTCCAGGTTTGAGTTTGTATATTTTCTCAATGAGATCTTTCCTATGTGCAACTGTTGCTGGAACCATGTGCTCCTGCTGACAACTTAGAACTTCTGTTGTAAACAAATGCCACCTACAAGAAAAACAAGATATATCACCGAAAAAATTCATTTAACTTAATCAAATAATCTATTCAATAAAACAATTAGCATTTACTGAGACAAAATCGAGTTCATACATTTCAGACTTACTTGCCCACCTCATCCCAATGACTTGCCCTTGCACACACCACGGTGACATAATCCTGCTTTGTTAATGTGTTAATGACTTACTTGCCCACCTTATCCCAATGACTTGCCCTTGCACACACCACACTGACATAATCCTGCTTTGTTAATGTGTTGATGACTTACTTGCCCACCTCATCCCAATGACTTGCTCTTGCACACACCACATTGACATAATCCTGCTTTGTTAATGTGTTGATGACTTACTTGCCCACCTCATCCCAATGACTTGCCCTTGCACACACCACATTGACATAATCCTGTTTTGTTAATGTGTTGATGACTTACTTGCCCACCTCATCCCAATGACTTGCCCTTGCACACACCACATTGACATAATCCTGCTTTGTTAATGTGTTGATGACTTACTTGCCCACCTCATCCCAATGACTTGCCCTTGCACACACCACATTGACATAATCCTGCTTTGTTAATGTGTTGATGACTTACTTGCCCACCTCATCCCAATGACTTGCCCTTGCACACACCACATTGACATAATCCTGCTTTGTTAATGTGTTATTGACTTACTTGCCCACCTCATCCCAATGACTTGCCCTTGCACACACCACATTGACATAATCCTGCTTTGTTAATGTGTTGATGACTGTCTTGGCAACACCTTGTGCTATCTTGAACTTATCACCAGCCATGGATTTACTAAAACATAAATAATATGATTATTGTAACAATCCTCAAGGAATATGCTACAAGATATAAAGAAAAAGAAAAATTAGAAATTGATAACCAATTTTCATAACCTCAAAAATGGTTGTAGATACAAGTACTCATACAAGATAGAGCATTCAGTCTCAAATGATGTGGGATAGATAAAATCCAGTCTCCAAGTCCATAGGCATTTCAAAGGGTCAACATGTTAGAACTTTTATTTGTTTCTCTCATCAAGGCTAGGGGGTTATAAGTGAACATGAGAAAGTTTAAATATCATACTTATAAATATGAAGATAATTCTGAGATATCTGTTGGATTATCTAGTCGTGCACATGAACATAACAAATTAAACCGTATGTACTAAGTGAAATAAAATATGACAATAAAGATTAGGGGCCAGGATGCAATACCTGCAGTCCAGAACAATGACTACATCTTTGGGACCACTGGTGGCTGCAATGTACCATGGTCGGGTGCGAGGGTCATAATCATTGTAGAATCCTGCAAAGTTGATAGCCCACTCCCTGCCAGGGTAGAGACGAGCTATACCTGCTGTTGAACCAAAGTACTGCCATCTGCATAAGAATAAGTATAGTACAAAAAAAAGCTAGTGGTACAATTCAAATAGTAAGCAAACAATTATCTTGATTTTCATCATTTAATATTCCAAATTTAGTTAAAATGATATCATATTTGAAATCTACATATAAACTGCATCTGAAAATTTGTGGTTTTAAAAATCGTTTATAAATTCTGAGATTTCAATTTTCTTTGATATTATGACTTTTAGGAAATAAAAGGTGAGTAATATATGGTGTATGCTGAATGTATTAGCATATTGAGATTGCAAACTGGGTTCAGCTCCCAGATGCCGGAATACAGATTTGTTTTGTCGGAGTATCATATCCAGTTATAATCTATGATATATATTCATGTTTGCAACACCAACACATATTTACCTCAGCAGTGGATCCCGTGCAGCATTTTCCTTGAAGACCTTTTCAAGAGCATATGTGTACTCAACAGCACTTATTGTCCCCTCAAAGTCCCTGGGAACATCATCTGCTATCTTCACTGTGCTCCTGGAGAGGCTCACTGGCTGGCGGAAGTACCTGCAATCAATGTTATATTATGAATATCTTTTAGTATTGTTAATTTCTGTTTATTGGGGCGAACAGAATTAGCCAAGGCAAGAAATATTTGTATATATTTGTTCTTAGTCTTTGATTTAGGCTTAGATTTTATCTATCGAGAACTATTCCAAAGTATAGAAATGTGAAAACAGGAAAAAATGCAAAAGTTTATGTAGACATATTGATCAAATGGAGATTTCATTTGAGTTATTGTGAACTATCAAGCAAACCCCAAGAAATAAATGAAAATGTTTTAACAACATGAGAACAAAGTTTGTAGTTACGGGTTGAATTTGAGGTCCTTTGGTAGCCTTGTGGGAATGTCTGAATCGCTGTATACAGCCAGTGTTAGATTCTGTAACCTTGGTGCACTAGTTCTTGTTCTGTTCTTGTTCTCTCTGTACCAGGTATCATAGGCTGTTACTGCAGCTTCAGCAATCCTCTGAACAATGCAAAATCAAAGTTTTTAATTGACAAAAGATCAAGCAGTATAATATAACAAATACACAATACTGTTTTATATAATATAACAACGTTTGGGAATAGCGACCTTTTCTCAAGAAATACATCTATGTGTTATCTGAAAATGTAGCTCCCAACTACTTTTATGATAGTTTTCATAGATTTAAAATTTTTCAAAGACTATTTAATGTAATTTCATTTAAAAGTATTCAAATTTTTGAATCAAATAAATTGACTTTTAACATATTCATCTTTAATTTTAATCTTATCAAAATTTTAAACAAAAGCGAGTAAATATTACATTAGACATACATTAGCTGCAAGTTTCTTGTCTGTGAAGTAATTGCCAAGTCTCTCCTGGACAACTTCAACCACCTCTTTTCCACTCTTCTCTTCATATGTATAATTAGCCAGATCAAATAGGCTCTGAGTCACCTCTCTCTTGATACCATCACTAGCAAGCTACATGTAAAAAATAATCACAGTCATAGTATGTACCTTAGTTCTTCCTTTAAAAGGGTTTGCTAAAAGCCCTATGAATTTCAATTTAAAGTTGGAAGGTGGGACAAAATTGTATCCACATTTTTGTGTCTTTAATATGATTCCAAACAAAACAGCTGTGATTGAGTTATTTATAAAACTATAATGTGCAAATTCATAACTTATACAAGAAAATAATAAATTTAAGTTGATATTCAGCAATTAACCCACAACTCACCTGTAATATATAGTTTTGTATGAGAACTGCCCAGTTCTGCACATCTCCTGCTAGTGAACCTTCATCTCTAGGGGTCTCCTGGTGGTAGCCTTGCACGTAACCATGGTAACATACAGCACAGAGGAAGAAAGTACAGATTGACAGCTCCATTCTATAAAAGATGACCAGGTAAATATCAATGAAGGCTGATATCAATTACTTTTATCAACTCAAAGCAAAGTGCCATCTAGGATTGTTCTGAGTTAAATTACCAGCCATGTCTAAATTAGAATGCATAGATTAGGAGAAATCAATCGGGATGACTAAGACTGGTTGATTCTCCTAGGCTGGAAAGTGAACAGGTGAGACAGTCATTTCATTTTACAATCAACATGAATGCATATACATGAAGTACCCGTCATTTCAGTTTTTACTGTCCTTATAGTTTTTAAGGTTCTCTGGTACTCATCTTTTTACACCAAGGTAATTAAGTATCAATTTAAAATTGAGAATACATGTATAACAAATTATTGTATCACTGTCATATTCCACATTCTCTGATTCGTCCATGTCCTTCACATGACTAAAAAATAACAAGCGATACTCAAGGGAGGCCACATGACTTCCATTGAATATCAAATGATATTCACCAGCCACGACTTTGCCCAGTATATTTTTTATCTTATATATTCCCGGGAGTACATTGTTATTATCAATTAAGCATTAATATTAATATTCCATTAATGAGAGTGAGGAATATAACAGTGAATAATAAAACAAATATTTAATTCTATTTTCGGTGAATAACTGTGACACTCTCACAAGATGATATTCCACTAGCCCTTCGGAACTTGTGAAAGATGCACAGGTATTCACATCAATATAATTAAATATTTGCATAATATTTAAAATTAAAATATCAAGAGTCATTACATGTGGCTAACCATTACACCCATATATAAATAAGGAAGTGAGAAAACAAGAAAAATACCACAAACAGAAGGATAAAGCAAAGCAACTCTACAGGCATATCAGTTTAACATCTATTATAATATTAGGATGATCTAGAAAACTGTCAAATACTTAAACGAAAATGAGATATTGACAGATGACCAATTTGGTTTTGACCTGGTCAGTTAGTTTACAACCAAAATACTTGTAGCTGACAGGTTCCAATAATTGAAGTTTTACAAAGTTATGGCAACTTTTCTATTTTTATGTTTGAGCGAATGTAAACAATGGAGGTTACTTTGCTGTAAGGCTTTCTAACCACTGTATCTACAGTTTGATAATTGTTTTCTGTACAAAAGAGCAATTCCTAAGAGACTGGGTGCAACTATAGCTATAAAATGTTACATCTCCATGTCCGAAAGAGGAAGGTCACCATTTTTACTGAAATGATCAGTATAATTATATTCAGTAGTAATGTAAACAAATCCTCAATAGTAATGTAAACAAATCCAGTATCATGCAGTTGCGTAGCCAGGATGAGGCAGAAAAGTCACTTGCCTGAATCCTTTGAGAAATGATCCTTAATCAATGAAGTTGTAAATTCACTACATACGATTTGGGCCATAAATAAATCAATAGTCGATTTTCTATCACCATTTACAAACAATGGTGGTTTAAAAGTCCATAGTTTATGAATAGTGACTCTATCCCCTTAAATTTGTTTATTTTACATTTTGTTTAAACTCATCCAGTGATGTATGACCTCATGAAAATCCTCAAATTTTTAACATGGGAAATCCTCATACTTCATTGAACAATTTACCCCTCCCTAATTGTCTTTCTTGTATTTTTTGACTCATCACTTTTTCAGTTTTGCTATTAGGCTATGCCACTGCCATTAAATGGAACACAAAGGAGGTGAACTCACATTCGACAACATGATACATGTACATGAAGGTATGTTTACAAACAGTAATTCTGTTCATAAAAAGCAATAGATGGTGAACACCGCCTCTAATGCGTTGGATTGTCGTATGGACTTGCATTAGAGTCCAACACGATCCTCAGAGACCCAGAGCGTGCGTGAATGCACCTAAAAAAGCAAATGCATAAAAGCACAAGTGAGAACGAACAAATGCAAAGGCGGCTGAGAACCTGATGCAATGAGTGTATACAGAGACAGCCTCGGGAGAAAAATATATGTTACAATACTATTCCCGACCAGGATTATAAACATAAACATCAGACAGAACATTCTGATCTCCTGACATTCACTAGATTAGTCTAATCTAAAGATCACTTGTTATTTATGTTAAATTTGTGTGTATAATTTCTCCTTGATGGAATGCATATGAATACAATCGATTACCTTATGATACGTATCGCTAAAGTATTCCTAACTTGTCCAATAATTCCATTACCACCGAAAACCCCTGGCAAAGATCGCTTTTATTTTCAAGTGAGAAATTTTCAATAACGGAAGTGATGTCATTGTGCGCAAAATAACCTGCGCATTTGTTCAGAGTTTACATCCGGTTAGCATGTTTCGTAAAGTTGTGAAATTTCGAGTTGTTTATCAACATTTTCTAGCCTAAAGAAGTACTCGACGAGCAGAACGTGTTCATATATTGCGTCTCCTTCATCGAGGGTAAGTTAAAGATTGATCTAAGTGGATTTATTTTGTTTGTTTGACAAGAAGATTGTGGTTTTGTGGACGGTGCACAGTCAGTGAGTCAATCAGAATAAAATGAAAATAAAAATATTTTAGTTGTGGTAATCACAGGAACTTGTATCAACACCTGACATCCATTGGTGGCCCAACCTGGAAGAATGATACCCTAGACTAGACTATATAGACCTTATAAAGAATAGAAGCTCATCATTTCAGGTTTGGAGATCAATCAGGTGTTGATACAGGTTCCTGTGCTTGTCAGCAGACATTATACTTATATGTCTCTGTAATCAGCAATTGAAGGACCACATTGCAGCATTATATGAAAAAATAAAAACATATGTACCTGACCTCAAAGTCAGCACTATCAATGGTATACTCTACCTTTATAGATAAAATACTAGAAGTTCACAAGCTGTTTGCCATTTTTGTTTCACAACTGCGTCGCTACATCTCGTTCAGTGTAAAATCGTATCCTAAAGCCCAAATCCCGAGAATCCCGACTCACTGTTTACACCAACAATCAATCAGATGGTATTATTACACCAAAAGTAGTGCGAAAAAGTTTTGATGACATTTAAAGACACTGTTCCTCTTTCACGTGCATTATCTCATGGAAATGGGCATACCAGTGTTGCCAGTGCAAAGATCTTTGTTCCATGGTAAAGGAAAGCTATCAAACATTGTCTGAAGAGCAGATCTAGCTCCGTAATTTTACTTTTAACATGGCGACCTTGACAACATATAGCCATTTGGGCGATAATAGGTGATTCTAAAGTGAAAATGAGTGCTTTTTTCGCAGTTTTTCTTTGACCAAGGCTTGCAAAAAATTTAAGTGATAAACCATCCAACAATTTTTGATATTTTTGTTGTCTCGAAGTGTTCTAGACGATATCAAAGTTGAAAAAAATTTGTATGTCTCGAAATATTTTGAATACCATAAAAAATTACCGTTTTTTACTGTAAAAACGACCGTAAAAAATCTGCTGTAACTTTACCAAAATCTACCGTAAAATATTTTATTATAATTCGATTTTTTCTATAAGAACGGGCGTAAAATATACCGTAAATATTTGAAAATTCATAGGTAAGAATTGAAAATTATCAATTTTCTATCATCTCCCCATTGTTTTTTCGAAAATAATAAATAAATATTGTTGAAATTGCCATTTGAAAAAGTGGTCTCATTCAGGGTTATCAACCTGTTTTTTAGATTCAACTTGCCAATACTCTTCCCTGGGCCTATGTTCGTAATCAGGTAAATCAACAGTGTGACCTCTAAGCTCTATGTTGATGTTTTTGTGTCATACAGTATGGTGTTTTAGTCCTCCAAAATTAACATGCTGAAACTCCCTAAATTACCAAAGGCCACAGATTTACTGCACATTATACCCTATAACTATCTAGGCCTACAAATGCAGAATCCAGCGGCAGTTGTGTAATTTTAAGTAGAGGGGTTTAGTGCTCAGAACTGAAGTGAAAAGGGGTGTCTGTATTATCGTTGGTCAATGTCGGTACTTACTGATTATTTAGCAGACATTTTGAAAAATGCTATAGAACACAAACTGGACGTCCCTCCCAGGTATTTCTCGCCCCAAATCACATAGTACGTCATTAGACTGAAAACAAGAAGATAGGATTTAATCAAGATAATATTATTTTCAGGCTTAGAATATTGAACAACAAAATAGTAGTGCAGTCAGTGATTGGGATCAGGAAAATGGAGGTTTCCACAAATCTACCAGTTGAAGGACAGTTTGATGATGCTGATGATGAATCTGAGTAAGATAATTAATCTTACAGTTACATGCTCATTGAATGTCCTGTATTTAGTATATAAGAGCCATGAACTATTTTTAAAAGGGGTTTGAGGTAGCACATGTCAAATTTTTCTTTAAAAAAATATTTAAAAGGAGAGAATTAAAATTGAAAAGTCGAATTTCAAAATTCATTCTAATAAATGATTGGTTAGTGTTTGGATAGTTGGTTAGTCTCTTCAAAAAATGTCAACAGAAAGAATATCCCATAGAAGCAGATACTGTATGTATCCCTAAAATGAAATTTTAGTTAAGGTGACTATCAGTTTTTTTCCTGAATAGAGTATTTCTCATTTTACTTCATGAAATTTGCAATACTGTAATTTACAGGGTGTTCAAAAAAAACAGGACCGTACGAAAGTTGAATTATTCAGTCAATTTTGGATATTTTCCCTTGAAATTTAAGAATTATTTAATTCATTCAATGAGAATTTTGTTGTGAAAGTTTCATGATAATCTGTCGATTGTGTCAAAAACTACAGTACCTTACAAAACATGCTCAAAATGGGCACTTCTTCTCTCTATGCACAAATGAATCCTGCGAACAAAGTTGTTAATGACCCTGACCTATACACATCAATGTGGATGGTACAAATTGGGGTAGTTATTGCCCTCTTAAGATTGTTAGGGGCCTGTCAGTATACATATTGGCTTTGAGAAATCCCCAAAGATAAAAATCTGAGAGATTTAGATCTGGAGAATAAGCTGCCCATATGTTATGAGTTCTGCGACAGATGAGCTGATCACCAAAGCATTGCTTAAACCATTTCAGCGTATCATTTGAAGTGTTGGGGTGGTATTGGCTTGTTTAAACCAATGCCTATCTCCTTAAATGCCCCTTCTGGTGCTTAGTGACCTCCAAAACTTAGTCAGAACTTGAATATGCTGGTCCTTGTTCATGGGAAAGCAAGTCCCCAGTCATCTTCGAATAAAAAAGGACTGATGATTCCATGTTTGCTCAATGCCACCCAGACAGTGAATTGTTCAGAATGCAATAGACACTGTAACACTTCATAAGGAGAATGTAAGCCCCAGTAGCAATTGTTCTTGAAATAAACTTGTCCATTCAAAAAGAAAAGTGTAGGAGGATCATCAACAACTTTGTTCGCAGGATTGAATCGTGCATAGAGAGAAGTGCACATTTGAGGCATGTTTTGTTAGGAACTGTAATTTTTGACTCAATAAGCAGATTATTATCAAACTTTCACAACAAAATTCACATTGAATGAACTAAATAATTCTGAAATTTCTAGGCAAAATATGCAAAACTAACCGAGTTATTTAACTTTCTTACGGTCCTGTTTTTTTTGACACCCTGTATGTTATCAGATTAGTCTTACTGCTAAAGGAGCCTACCATATGATAAATATTCACTGTGTTCTTTATTTCAGGTGTCAAATATCACAAAATGTATCTAAAACAATAGGCAAATGTAAGTATGTACATGTAGATTCAAAATTTATAGAGGAATAACAAGTATTTAAAGTGAATTGAATTCATTATACACAAAAATACACTGTATGAGATCAAAAAAGACTATTTTTTGAATTATCATTTTTTGGATCACCCTGTTTTACTAGGGGTAAAGTGCTATAGTATTGGTGACAGTAAAAGCATTCCTTCTGCATGTATTTTCCATTTTTTCTTACCAACATATAATGAGGCAAATTATCCTATTTATAAGAACGCACAAAAGGGCACAAAAAATATTTTAGAATTGCGACATTTTTGAAACTTGCTTTCAACTCATCTACCCATGTCACCATAAGCTGACCTCACATATCTATGATGTATTGAATCACTGTTGCAGTATATGAATTACAAGTGAAAGAACAAAAAGTAGTTGAGGAAAAACAGGACCCTTGCATAGAGGATGAACGAGGATGGAGCAGTGAGGAAATTGAGGAAGACATCCTCGATGACTGGGAGGAAAATACTAGGGATTTCACCAAAAGATACAATGCAACTGTTGGCAACTCAGCACAGGTAAATTTGATAGAAGGGCTTCCTAAGGCTTAAGAACGTTATTACGAAGCATTACATATCACGATGCATACATTTAATAAGTGATATTCACAACATTGAAGCATTACATATCACGATGCATACATTTAATAAGTGATATTCACAACATTGAAGCATTACATATCACGATGCATACTGAGTTTGAATATTACCTTGTATCTAACCTTTTTGAAATTTGGGAAAAATTCAAAATCATTAATATCAAACAATGCAAAAAATGTTATGTTATTTTCAGCCGAATCAGCAGACAAAAACACCTCAGTTTCAGCCAAGTGAGAAGTCACTGAAAAAGTTTGCCAATAAAATCAGTGTTGGTAGGTATTGAATTATTAAATGTTTACATATTTTTGAATTATGTAATTTCTACATACATTGGTTCAGTTAATATCACTTTCATCAAGATTTGTTGATGTAACAAGTATTATCTTATGCATAGACTAACACCAATATATGTATATGTTGATGACTCCTGTAGCCTACTTGGTTCATTTCATTTGAAATAGAATAGACCTTAAAGTAGTTATTAGATAAGATATTGTTTCTTTGTTCTTTAGATTATTGTTTGAGATTTCTTAGGGTCATTCCATAATAACCTGCACTTTCTCTGTGTTTTCACTCTTATGGTTGTTCTTCTTTTGGTGATTGTACATACAAGACTCATACCCAGTCAATGATCAAAGGATTTTTCAAAATAATTTAAATTGTACCTCAATACAATAAATTGTAGATCGTTATGAAGGTCCAAAGTTGAAGGGAAGTGCTGTAAGTTCCCTGCTACAAAGTGATAAACAGAGCAACTCTGAGAGGTTCAGGGGGAAAGATAAGGCTGACAGGGCAACAGTTGAGCAGGTGATGGATCCACGTACCAGGATGATCCTCTTCAAAATGCTCAATAGAGGTCTCATAACGCAGGTGAATGGCTGCATCAGCACTGGCAAAGAGGCTAACGTGTACCATGCAACTGCTAAAGATGGCATTGATAAAGCAATTAAGGTAGGCTTTGGGATTAATAATGTTAACCGCACATTTATTTTATGTTTTTTGTTCACTCATTTTTCCATATGGAAATCGATTCTTCGATTGATGCAGTGTGATTGATAGAGAGGTGAAGTTACACACAAATGGGAAACACTTGAATATAAATGTGTAATGATATGGCCCCCAGGGATAAATATTTCCTTTCAATTACTTTTAACACGAATCTAGTTACAATTATTTCCTTGTTCTTTAAACCTAAATGGTAAAAGTAGTTCCTTTGGGGACCATAGTTTCATATATTTTAGTGTTCGTGTTCTTTGAAGCAGTGCCAGCTTAACCTCTCTTGTATATGCTCTGACAAAAATCCCAATGTCTTTCAAAATTGTCTTTCACGAATATGACTTTGATAAACGTACTAATAATAATAGATATTTATTATATCCAACAAAATTCAATGTATGATGTACATATCAAAACAAATTGTATGCAAATGTTTTCATTTTCATTTTCTTTCCATATTATTTTATTTACATGTATATAGGCTATGCCATCCAAAGTGTTTACCATTCTTGTAGGTGTACAAGACGTCCATCATGGTGTTCAAGGACAGAGATAAGTACGTGACTGGAGAGTTCAGGTTCAGACATGGTTACTGTAAACACAACCCAAGGAAGATGGTTCGCACTTGGGCTGAGAAAGAGATGAGGAATCTAACAAGGTAAGAGATTGGCTCAATTCAATTAATGTTACACAATTTACCAAGTTAATTCTGTTTTGTTTTGGTCAAACATTATGCCTGAAATGACCGAAGAATATTGAAACCATGAATGTGTACAGCAATGATATTGTTGACATTTATGCCTGGGTCACATTTGCTCCGATCCATCACCCGGCGCCCAGCCGATTGAGTGTTTTTTCGACATTGTATTCAATTTTGAACAAAATACTCAATCGGCCGGGCGCCTTTGTGAAAATCGGAGCAAATGTGACCAAGGCATTAGATTTGTGCTCCTCGGAATTCAAAATATTTACCTCAATGTGCTCAATTGAACATGTCAAGTACATTGGAGTCAGAATGACCTCGTTTCTTCTAAAACAGTGGTTTTGATCTGATGGTTTTACAACTCACTTCTGACAATGTCAGCTTCAAAAACACTTGAAATAGAGAGTGTGTTTATATACAAGTCATAAATAGCAACATTTATTTGCAGTAGATCATATTGTCGCGATCACGTATTTGGCGCTTTGGCCATACATAACATTTTATGTACAATTAAATATTTCTTAGAATTATAACTTAAAGAACCATATACTAGTAGGTTTCTGAGAATATGAATACAGGGTGTCCCAAAAGTAATAGGACTGGTACTAGCATTTTGTTAAAGTCCCCAGAAATGCTCCAAAATGTAACACATTATTATTGTCCAAAACCAGAGAATACACATTCTAGTCTAAATTGGTGCATTTTTAGTCTTTAGTAACCCTTGACAATAACAGTTAAAAAGACCCAATTTTGATTACCAATGATTGGCAATGAATAATAAATGTATATGTAGTTTTATCTTTCGAAATTTTAACTTAATGTGTTTTGAATAATATTTTAGCATTGATATAATTTTATTATCAAAATATGCCTCTCATTTGATCACTTCATATCGCACACTGAATTTCCATATTTTCATAGCATATTCACCCAATGATTCAATTTCATACATATCTGAAGTGTCAGTTGGCTATTTACCAGAATTGTTATTAATTAGCTTCACATTCCCTTACTCCGTCGCTTACTTCCTTATCTAAAGGTACAGGATCATCTTGTTGGTTTTGTGGCTTATTAGGGGATTCTCGTGGTGTTGGCTTTGGTGTTTTCATTACCTGCTCATCATCTTTTGTGTCCTTAGAAGGTGGGCTAGTTGGTATAGAGACATTTGCATACAGTTGTGGTTCATGACCAGATTCATCACATACTTTTATGTCCTCGTTTGTTTTTGTCTGTTCTTTAGCACTTGTGCCATCAGGTTTAAGGTGTCTTTTGCTAGATGGTTTAGACATTTTCACATACTTCATGCCTTTTTTCATATCCATATACAGTTCACCTGTATTATCATTTTCATTTGGAATTACTTGTACATAGTCGTACACTCCGAAACATCCAGCCTTTACTATGGCACTGTTGTCTGCCCACTCCTCCAACAATTCTTCCATATGTGGGATAAGCCTGACAATATCCACTGGATTGTCATCTTTCAGAGTGCTATTCACCTTAAACTGCTCATTCTGGACTTCAGCTTTATGCTGCTTTAAGTTGCAGATGCTTTTGTCCAATGCCTTGATTCTTGCTTTTCCAGAATTATTCAGCTCATCAGCCATTTTCTTGGCTGTCAGTGATTGTTCCTCAATTGTAATCTTCTTGTGTAAGCTATGGTCAGTGTTGCAGCATGCTTCACATATTGCCTCTTCATCATCAACACAAAAGTATTTTATTGTGTGATCTTTGTGTTTATCACAGTTGAGCTTGGGATCTTTTTTCTTTACTTCTTCAGGTTCAAATGCAGGATTGCTTTGTATTGGAGCTACATTATTCGGTATTTCATCAACTTCAATCCATTTATGCGTTTTGTTCACTTTCATCTTGTCGTGTGCTTGTTTGCATTTTTCACAGAATGTTGATGTACAATTGGAGCATCTCTTTATCGCAGGATTTGTTTCACAATTATCACATATCACTGAATCATAATCCTCCATTCCATCTGAACATTTCATGAAGTCTAATATCTTGGAAAGTGCCATTTTTGTGCTATAAAAATGCAATGATAGTATTCCCTCGGGGTATGTAGGATCTAGTAACTTTTTTTATCTTTTATTTATGACAACATACAATCTTTACTTTGATGTATTACACTTATTAGACTAACTGACTATTCTAAATGCCATAAAGAACAATATTGGTTGATTATTAAACAGACAACTAACAGTTATTGTGAAGTGTACTTAAACAGAAAAAACATATTATTGATAAGTACATTTTGGGTCAACCGGAATGATAGTCCTCATATAGGTAGACATTCTATTAGAATTCACTTTTTCTTATGCAGGTCAAAATATTGACCTCATAAAAAAGTTTCTCATGGTAATTTGATTCTTTCATGGTGATAGTGTTCAAAATCCTCATATGGCCTTATATGGAAAGAATTTAGGCATGTGGGTCAATGAATTATGGGTAATATAATGCACTTGTTTCTTGTATGCTAGCCGTAACCGTAACCTCAATTGATAAAAGGATCTCATGCAAGACCTCCAACAATTTATTGTAATGTTTGGTTCTTATAATATAATTCTGTTTCCACGAAAGAAATGTTAATGTCACAATGGCATTTGTTATAATTGTACTGTTCACTACTTATATATGATTTGTGACACTTCACATACATGTAAATTACTTCTATCAATTAAGTATTCTATTTCAAATCCATTATATCATAGTCAAGTGGTTTGTAGAAAATGTATGTCCTTTTTGCAAGCTGTTAACTTTTATTGTGTTAAGAGCATTCCATTCTTATTTCATTTATTCTCATTTATTGACCCTTTAAATTCCTTAAATCAAAACCTTTACAAATAACTTTATCTAAAAAAAGGCTTGGTGAAATACAAAGGAAACATGCCCTAATATAATATTTGAGCTACATTTAATTCTTCCCATTCTCTTATTAACCTAATACCAGTTACATGACATAAATATAGATGATATTGGGTCTCTGTAAGTCCCATCTTTAATAAAGATCTAAAACTTGCAATATCAAAACGATTTGACAACGACCTTATCTTCTCGAAATACCAGAGCTCGAAAAAAATCAAGACTCATTTTAACTGCAATTTTTTCATCACAGTGTATGCCTTTTTTTGTGTGTATTATTCTTAATGCATAATTATTATCCATTGTAATTACAGAATCTACCAAGCAGGTATCCCCTGTCCAGAGCCAGTTATGCTACGCAGTCATGTCCTTGTGATGGACTTCCTGGGCAACAAGGGCTGGTAAGTGTGCCACATGCTTTATTATCAACATATATTATGTATAAGGTATTATGTAAAATATGTCTGTAATTATTATCAATTCTTGGTAAATATTCAATATAAATGGTATTATGTCACCATATAACTTTCCAATGTCAGCAAATGAATGTACAATATGAAAAATATCTTCAAATTAATTTCTTCCTCAATTGTTTATATTTTCATTTTAGTTCAAAATGGGTTCAAAATGCAACTTGCTTTGTTTAAATAAATATATAAATTAAGATCACTTATGTTCTAGATTTATTGTGATCTTTTTTTCAGGCCTGCTCCTAAGTTAAAAGATGCAGAACTCAGTGATTCTAAAGCCAGAGAACTATATCTGCAGTGTATTCACATGGTGCGGAATCTTTTCCATGTCAGTAAACTAGTCCATGCAGATCTTAGTGAGTTCAACATGCTGTAAGTCTCAAAATAATTTTCTTCCATAATTCACATAATAAACACCAATAAGTAGTAACATGTCATTGTTGCTACAATATTTTCAAATCTTGACACTTTTACAATAATTGACCAAGTGGTGACATTATGTCATGTAAATTCCTTGTTTCCCTCATATTTTAAAATCTGCATATTAAGATATTGTTGATAAATGAAATAAAATACTTTTTGTTGAGCACACCCAGTCGCTGGATAGCGGATACCATCTGAAAGTGTCCCAAACCATCTAAGTCGTGCTATTTATGAACATAACCTTGCATATGATGTTTGATAGTCAGAAATATTGTTTATTGTTTATTGAGTTGTATTCTATTGTTGAGTGTAGATACCATGAAGGCCAGGCTTACATCATAGATGTGTCCCAGTCTGTGGAACATGACCACCCACATGCTCTGGAGTTCTTACGTAAAGACTGTACTAATATAACAGGTAAAGAATGACCAGAGATTCAGTCATAGCTTATTTTCAGGTTTACATATACAGTGTGTCCCAAAAAAAAGGAAACCAGCAATAGATTGCTTATTTCTCAAATATGAATAATAATAGGAAAATTTCACAGCTACCATCTGATAGGTTATGATGTCCCTTTTCTTATGATACCAAAGGTGTTTATTTTTCTTCACGGATGACTGAGTTCTAAGAGATTTAAGTGACCATGTCAGAAATTGGTTTGTGCCACTTTTTCTGTCATGAATGGCTGAACAATGAGGGATTAAAATGGCTATGCAAGACCATGTCCTATTCGAAATACACATTTCTGAACAAGCATTCAACATAGCAAGTTCATGCAGCTGACCCAAGATCAAAGAGTATTCGTAGTGCTCCTCCTCATCGTCGGATTATCGTTCGGGACAGATTAAGGGCGCTGTTCAACAGAAGAGTGAATGCTTGAACCACGCGATTGAGTGGCCACCAAGATCCCCAGACCCGACACCCTGCGACTTCTTCCTTTGGGGTTATCTTAAGGGTAAAGTCTTCACAACACCACCAAGAGACGTTGATGATCTAAGGGCCAGGATTGTCGCAGCAGTGAAGGATTTTAGGGGACAGAGAGACATCATCGGGGATGCAGTACGTGCTATGAGATCATGGGGAGACATTTGCATTGAAAGGAATGGGGGTCATGTTGAAGGACACTGGGGTTAAAACAACTTTAAATGGACATTGGGATTTAAAAGGGGTGTTAAATATGGTATGTGTAATTTTAATTGGAATAAATGAGTAAAAGAGTGATATCCTTATGTTTGTTGTTACTTATCACTTTGTAATGATGGTGAAATTGACTTGGCTGAAAGTGGTACAAACTCATTTCTGACATGGTCACTTAAATCTCTTATAACTCAGTCATCCGTGAAGGAAAATAGACAACCTTGGTATCGTAAGAAAGAGGACATCATAATCTATCAGATGGTAGCTGTGAAATTTTCCTATCATTATTCATATTTGAGAAATAAGCAATCTATTGCTGGTTTCCTTTTTTTTGGGACACCCTGTATTGACGATTTCTACTTATGCTTTGATGGTTTAAAAATTTAGATTTGAATTTCTGTATTTGATTTTATTATTGCATTTTCATATTGTGTTTGGTCATTGTCACAATTTACAAAAATACTGTCATATTCATCTAAAACCAATAATGATAGTCTTCATTATGGTAATCAGTCATCATTTGACAAAGAGCAGTATTGATATGAAGCAAATTCTCTTTGACATCACATATAAATCGAAACCTATTTTATGGAGTTAAAAAGCAATATGTTAATGTTGCGGTACAATGCTTTCACATTGCTCAAATGCATTCTACCTGTTGCTATAGAAATTTTTGGCTCACATATTGAGCCTATGTAATCACTCACTCTCATTTCATGTCTTTTACCCAATTAAAGGATGCTGCATTTAAATTATACACTTTAAATTATACTTTTGGCATTTTCCTTATAGATTTCTTCCGCAAGAAGGGTGTGTGTACAATGACTATGAAAGAAATGTTTGATTTTGTTACTGATACAACAGTAACTGGGGAGAACATAGATGCGTATCTAGAGAAGATGATGGAAGTGTCTGCAAATAGATCTACAGATGATGTCACTTCACTGGAAGCTGTAGATGAAGAGGTAAGTTGCTATGGGAACACTGTCTTTGTATAACAAATTGATCAAAAAAAAGCAATACAAATCCTGGTTGGTTAGGTACGCGTGCTTGCAAGTTAGAGATGGGATAATATCTATACAGTACAAGGAATCTGGGCATGTTCTAGCATGGTAATGATCAGAATGATTTTTGCCAAAAGTTCATTTTTTAGAAGTGCAAATTCATCCTTAATTCCATCTAAAAGTGTTTTAAGTTACATGTACTATGTTTTTCCTGAATTCAGTTTCTCCAGTTCATAGTTTACTGTGAGTTTGATTGCTTTATTTAATGTGTAAATTGTTCTAACTTTTTCATTGAAAAATTAATTCTCTTCAGGGGTGACACAAAATGTTTGTTAGACATCTTCACAAAAGTGAATAAAATAATCAAAAAGGTTTTTATGATTTTTAGGTGTTTAAGAAAGTATTTATCCCTCGCACGCTGGATGAGGTGGTTCACTTTGAGAAAGATGTCATGAAGATGCAGCAAGGAGATGGAGAAGAGGTATGAAGAATCAGTTGCTAGGTTACACATAATAATGAATTGTGAAGGCCTCTTTGGGAATTGTTACCACCTGGCACTTTAACATGGGACAATGGCTCACTGGACCTTTAAGCCAGTGTTTCCCCAACTAAGTTTATGTATGATAAACATTTAAATTATTAAGCAAGATCAATGTTAAGATTTTACATTTCAGTCCCATCCATTCATTTTCAGTTGGACCTTTCAACTTGGTTTCAAAATAGACTTTGCCATTCACTAGGGGAGGGCATATGACTGCATTTTATACTGGAAAAGTATATTTTTCAGTATATAAATATACTGAATTTTGTACTTAAAAAAAGTCAGTACATTTTCAGTACAAAAATATACTGAAAACTCTCCTTTCAGTAAAAATGCCCTTCCTAGTGATTGCACCCTGCCATCTATTGCCACCAATGCAAATCTGGATAGAATGTCATAGAATGTGTTGACCTCTGTGTGGTTACTTTTTGCTAACCTTCTAACTTAGAAATGTCCTTGTAACCATTGCTACCTACAACCCAATTGCATCATGAACAAAACCAATATATCCTTACTTTAGTGTAGCAAAA